ATAGAGGAGTTTCGGGTATATTAGAGAACAAAAACGTTATTTTATTCCACCGCAAATTGGTTAGGAAAATTTCACGTAAGAACCCGGAAAAATACCTTTCTCTAAATATTTAATAACATTGATTTAACCCCAATTTCCACATATTCACATATTTTGTACATCGCCCGGTTTCTTATCGAAAAAAAAAAACTTCTTCCTGCATACCAAACGCGATAAACTAAACACAACAGTAAACGTGCATTCGTTTTAAATATTCTCCCTACATTTACAAAAACCCTTATTACCGCTTCTTCTTCTACTCCTCCTCCTGCGGTAATCTCTTTTTACTTTACAAGTTCGCGCACGGCCGAGGGATAGTAATTAATAAAAAAATAAACCCCAAGTTTGCCTGATAAAAAGTCGCGAACGAACCCATTCCCCCATCTCCCGCGAAACTTTTCCCCATCGATTTATACCGGGTGTAAAAGCTCGACACATAAACACATCCATAACGGCCGATTAAATCGCTCTCTCGAGAGCTAATATACGATAATAAAAAAAAAGATACGACTGCCTAAATCTATATAGAAATAGCGCAAGATTGCGATTAATGGGCGTACAGGGTGGATGATCAGTTTTTGTAGGGAAAATTGGAGTACTATTTTGTAGACCATTCGGTAGGTATAAATTTGTATAGAAGTAGTGTAATATTGCGATTTATGGGTATACAGGGTGGGTTATGAGAGATTTTTAGGGAAAATTAGAGTACAATAGGACTACTCTGTAGATTTAAATTTATATAGAAACACTGCAAGATTGTGAGTAATGGAATTACAGGGTGGATTATAAGAGTTTCTTAGGGAAATTTAGAGTATAGCGTCTTGTAGGTATAAATTTATATAGAAATAGTGTAAGATTGTGATTAATGGGTGTACAGGATGGATTATGATGTTTTAGGGAAATTTGGAGTATGGCAGGACCACCCTGTAGATATAAAAAATGTATAGAAATAGCGCAAGATTGCGATTAATGTATAAAGAGATATGTAGATGATTTTTAGGGAAAACTTGCGTGTAGGCGGGACACCCTGTATGCCTAAATCTATACCAAAATAGTGTAGGATTTATAATATAACTCGTAGCATATGTACAGGGTGGATAATAACAATTTTCTGAAGGAAAATGTAGTATAGCAGGATTACCCTAAACACCTAAATCTGTATAGAAATAGCCCAATATTATGATTACTGGGTGAATAACAATTTTTTAAGGAAAGTGTAAGTACCCTGTATACCTAAATCTATGTTAAAATAGCGCAAGATAGCCATTATGGCGAACATACAGGGTGGATAATGATAATTTTGCAATTGAGTACCTACGCAAGGAACATCTTGTGCTCAAGTCTACCTATATCTGCATTTGATATGGCACAAGATTGGAATTAATTAGCGTATACAGAGTGGATTTTTAGGGAAACGTGAGTACCCTGTGTGTACCCAGTATGTAAGGTGGATAACGAGAATTTTTAAGTAAATAATGTGTAGTGAGAGCACCCGGTATAAAGAGATTTCCGTCGAGCCTTGGTCCCGACGTAAATCGAACATTTAGAAGTTCGAAACGGCAAATGCAAAGCAAACGCACATCAGTCTAATTTATACGTTTACCTGTGTCGGGCCGAAGCTCCCAGACAGGACGGGACGCAACCTGACGCCGGGTCACCCAGGATTGCCTAGTCTGACGTGTTTTACGAGCGTCTCCGCGCCCGGCGGCCCCCGAAGGGGAGCTCACGAGTGTGTCACCGTCGTCCCTTGTTCCTACTAAATTACCATGAACAGCCGCCCCGCCGCCGCCGCCGCCCCCCCGTTCGTACGTCGGAATTCCAAACACTTTATTTACTCGGAAATATGTATGTATGTGTATGCGATACGTATATACAGGGTGGCCCAGTACTCACGCCCCACCGGGAAAGGCCTTGTGGAAACGACAATGGAGATGCCAAAACTGCAGTCGAAAATTTGGTAAATAAAGAGGTTTAAAATCGACCAATCCCAGTAGTAGTTCAAATTCATGAAAATGACTTGAGTTAGCTATACACCAATTTGACATTATTGAGAGATTCTTTTGTCCTTTGCATTTTTAAGGTTAAGAAAAGCTGCCAAAATCAGCTGCGACTATTGATCAAAGATTTGCTTTCAAATCGATCATTCAGGAGCTTCGTCAATAGTCATAGCTGATTTTGGCAGCCTTTGTTAATCTTGAAAGTAAAAATTACATAGAATCTTTCAATAATGTCAAATTGGTGTAGAATCTTTCAATAATGTCAAATTGGTGTAGAATGTTTCAATAATGTCAAATTGGTGAATAGCTAATTCACTTCATTTTCGTGGAATTGAATTCCTACCGGAATTGGTCGATTTTAAACCTCTTTATTTACCAAAGGAAAAACTTTTTCATGTTTTCGACTGAAGTTTAGGCATCTACATTGTCGTTTACATAAGGCATTTCCCGGGTGGGGCGTGAGTTCTGGGCCACCCTGTATATATGGCGCACGAGCCGACGCCCGGGTTGTATAATTCAAGAAATTACGATGTCAACTCGCAAATGACGGGCGTTTCGAGATGTTAATGGGCGTATAATAACGCGCCGAATGTTATGGGAAGCGACTAATTTTTTTTTACATTTAAAATTTATGCGCCTCGAACGACGTTCGCATGATGTGGCAAATTGTTATGGAGCTTTAGATCGCAATGAAATTATACTACACTACTGTTAATGCCGTGAATTTAAGTGTTTTTAAAGTCATTTTTGTGCATCAAAGAGTAGGAGGGTTCTATATAGGGCAAAATTGAACATATATCTAAAAAATGCAGCCGGTTTATTTTTTACATATTTTATAGGAAGTCTGTGAAGGGATAAGGGATGTAATTGGGCGCGAAAGGGGTTATAGATATTAATTAGATAGGTAAATTCGGAGAGAAGAATGAAAGGACTTTTTAATCTGGCTGGTAAATTGGGCGCAGAGTCTCCGGAAAATTACCCAAAATCATTCCTTCGATGATTGAGAATATATTTACAGCAAAATATTTATTTCATGCACATAACACAATCAAAAATAGTTTCCAAAAGGCATAAACATCATTTAAAATTAACATTACAATCAATTTAACGAAAGACATTTTAAATAATAAATGAGCAGTGGCATTTCAACTATATAATATGCAAAACATTTTTGAGTATGTGTATTCTCATTCAATTTAATGGGTATACAGGGTGTATCTATGATGAAAATTAAGGTGGGGCTTGGTATAATTTTTTTTTTGAATTTAAACTACTCTACTCTTACTCCTACAACCCTCTACTACAATTTTCAATTTACCGCTTGAACGCAAATTATTCCCTTCTCTACCTGAATTATTCTCGCGCCCCAATTTAAGCAATAACTTTTAAGTGATATCTAATAATCAACGATAGCCACAAAATATACCCATTTACCACCAACATAACCAAAAAAAAAAACCTCCCTATAATCGAAACCACTAGCCACCTTGTATAATACGAGGTGCATTGTATTCGATCGTTTTTGATTTATCACAATAACACCGTTAATTAATGTTTGTCTAAAATTGTGCCAGGCTCGACACGCACGCGTCTAATTTCGCATACGATATACGATACACCGGGAGTCCCGGTGTGTTATCGCCCTCGACAAAAGGACGTAATTAGTGCCGTCGGTGGTTTTTTTTTTCTTCTTCTCATTCTCGATTTTTCGTTCGCCGGGCGGTTCCTTAACGGGCGGAGGAAAATCCGGTAATATCGCGGCACGGGGGATTGTCTCATGCGAGCACGACAGCCCGATCAATCACGACGGGACGTCGATAAGCGCCCCAAAGAGGAGTCGATACGGCATTATGCACGGCCCGATTTTTATGAGTTGATCTGGCCCGGCTCGCGAAGCTTACCTTACTTAGAGGGAAAACGCCGGTCGGAAATTTCCGAGGGGATTTTCACGGTTTGGGACTGGGGTGTTCTTCGCGTCTATACGTACACTGAAATAATTATTTACAGAAAAACTGTGGCCAAATTCGCTTAGTATAACGTTGTAATATTTCAGTTTTTGGATAGCTGAAGATGAACTAAATTCTTTTTTTATTTTTCACTTAAAAAATATAAGTTTTTTAGTATAACATCTGGAGTAAGGTAGACTGGGGCCAATGTAAAAATGGGGTAAATGTAATATTTTTACCTATTATGTTAATGTTTTTATTATTTTTATAGTTCTTTTGTGCATTAGACATGGTTTGTTTCTTATTTTTTCTTTTTTATTTTGTAGCTCTGTTATTTTTTTGAAATAAATAAATAAACAGCATATCAAATTTTAGAGAAACCAAATATGTATTTACAATTGCCCCATATACTTTTCTATATAATTGTATTGCACTTTAGAACTGTTTGTTACATTTACCCCGTACCATGGGGTAAATGTAACATATTGTCAACATTTTAAAAAATATGTAAAATCGTTTTCTTCGTTTTTCAAAACTTTTATATACCTCGATTCTTTAGTTTAGGAAGTTGTGAATTTAATGTGGTATCAGCATTTCTAATAAGAGAAAAAATAAAGCCACATTTTAGGATTTAATTTGAACTATTCAAATTTTACAACCGCGATTTGCCCCAGTCTACCTTATTGTGATTTCATAAAGGCTTTTTTTTCAGTGTACATATGCTAAAAAGGAAGCTATAAAGAATTTTACATTTATGGGATACTTCTGATGATTTGATGTAGGGGGTAAAAAATTGGTTATCAATACTGAATTCGTCAATAGAAAATTGCTGTAATAATAAAGCTGGAAGGGGCGATAATTGATTGATAATTTAGGAGAATGGGGGAAAAGTTGTCGAATCGAAAATCGACGTTTCTATTTCCGGAAATTTCATCTTCAGTGTCAAATTTGCAAAAAACCGCGATTTTAAATCTCAATAAATTTTCGAAATAATTATACAAAATCAATTCCATTCCAGAAAGAACTCCACCAACCTGGAGAAGTTCCATTATTACATTTCCCAAACGGAATTGTACCCGGAGAAGAGCCCGTACGTGGATAAAATCCTCCAAGAAATGGCGGAGTTGCTCATTGTGCACGCTGGTAAGTCCTCTTATAGTTATAAGTAATCATTAAATATGTCTATATTATATTTGTGCGGATCCGGTAAATCCCAGGTGTTCTTCTAGAATTCCGGTAACCTATTATCAATTGCGACCGTTAAATCCTAGAAAGGATACGGAAAACGTTACGCCACAAGGCAGGTAATTTATGTAGAAGGGACACTGTTAAACTGTTATATAAGAAGCTTATACGACCCGCAATATATTCCGGAATCGTAATTTATGATGGGCTTAGATTTCAAACAATTTAACTTATTACCTAACCCGCGGAAATTCGCATTCGTTTTCCTCCCATATACCCTCTCAAGAAATTAATTTCGTTTTTCAAAGTTGTTATCGAAGCTCGAACTGTTCATTACATAGGGGTAGTGTTATGCGCGTATAGAAAACTAGCAATTTGTTTTCCCGATTCTTTTGTGCTAGACCCCTTTTATTTTCGATGTGATTTACTCGAAAATTTCATTTTCAATTGCCACTACTTGATTAGATTTTCTATTAATTAATCTTCCAATCCATTTTTCACAACTTACTGACGGTCTCTCCATTGTGCCCCGGGGGATGATTGATGGATTAATAATTTTGTTTATGTAGATTTGGCGTGTTTTTCTCACCCCCCACACACCGGTTAATTCCGACAAAATATGTCCCGCTAGTTTATTGCGCTTTGTCGTGTATGGACACCTTTTCTCCATTAAATTACGCTCGATTAATAGGGGAAATATAAATAAAAAAAATTGGTTTCTTGTTTCCAGCTTTGCCAGAATCCGGTTTTAAAATTTTGATAAGGGATTTATTCGGTAACGGACAATCCGGTGACTATGATAAGGGCGGTATGTAGAACAACTGTGCATGATTTATATTTCATAAAACTGGGGAGAACTAACTTGAAGAAAAAATGCATTGAGCGAAAAATGTTTCGAGATGTAGAAACCCCGATTTCTCCTGATCATTTACACAAACTCATTCCAATAAATCACCAATCGCTGAATCAATGGCTCTTCCTGCTTTATTGTAGCAGCGACTGGCCTCGAATCAGTCGGTTATTCGGGTATTTTGGGAAGCTACAGAGAATATTAATCATGCATGGTCAATGGGAAATCTAGGCTTAGATAACCTACAGGCTTCAGAGGAATAACTGGGATAAATAAAATATAATCTAATAACGCAAAATTTCGAATTTTTTTGTAAAAATTTCGCTTTTGTTGCAGCTCAAAAAACCGGCGGGACTCAACTAAAACTTATCATCGACTACGTTAACGGCATGAATGCGCTATTCAAACCGATGAGGTAAGTAAAACAATAACTGTTATTGTTAATCTAACAATGATATTCGATATTTCCATTCAAACGTTCCTGTTGGGTTTTGCAGCCGGAGTAAATATAAATAAACCGAAACGATAAAACACTACTTAGATGTATAGTTAAAGCGTAATTTAATTAAATCTCCGAATAGTCGGAATTGCAGCGTAAAACTCAAAAACTCTCGCGCTTATTGGATATAAAATGCAACAGCGCAATTTCCGCATCCTCTCGACAATATGAAAACGGAATCGCTAATAATTACAGGATATTATGCATTCCTTTTCGGGACGTCGGGGGCGGAGTGGGGCAAGATAAAAACCGCCCCCCCCCGCTACTCCCGTGGTTTATGCAATGATTATTCAAATAACCACATTCAATTAACAGTAAAACATAGTAAAAGCTGGTTAATTTGAGTTTTATCTGCGCCCGGGCCGCGACGATGATATGAAGTACTCGGCAATTAAAACTTTATGCATTTGAATTTCAAATTGATGCCGTTTATCCCGTGCGAAATGCCGCGAATCTCGGCCCTTCCGTTTCCCGCGAATATCCGCGTACGATCGAGCGATGCAGTTTGCGCCCGAAAAAAAAAAAAAAATTATACGGTATTTTTTTTAATTAATTAATTAAAATCCTGTGTTCGACGTTCGAACTATCGGAGGTAATGAAATTTCGAAATTATATATATATATTTTTCCATTAACATGCGCCCGGCTCGGCGAACAATGGGAACATAAAAAACCGTCGCAATAATAACTCGGCCGTAATAAATTTTTGATGGATCCGCGACGCGGATTTATTTCAAGAAAACAAACACAAATAAAATGTGACAGTAATTAAAAAAGCGCCGATTTTTTTTTTATTGCTAAAAATTTTTAATTCGTCCGTCGTAAATCGAGGGAATTAATTAAGCGTAAAAATTGATTAACAATGTACTGTTCTTGCTTCTACTCGTTATTGATATTTGATTAAATTGTTATCGAATGAAAATCGCCTTAGTACAGGATGAGCTAAAAAAATGATTTTTAGCAATATAATATACTCCTATATTTTAACTTTATGGGACATCCTGTACTCTTGTCGTTTGCCTACAATACAGGGTGTCCCAATGAAAAGTAGCCCCTTTAATGAACTTATTTTTAAACGTATAATCATAAAAACATTCGGTTTTCTCGAATATCCTTTATTTTATTATAAGTTTTGTTAAAGTGATACAGAAACTATGCATTATCAATAAAGGGTGTTTTATTAAAATCTCCTCTTTTAAATTCACATTAACAATTTTTTTAAATGGAACACCCCGTATATACAGAGGTATTTTGAAAGTTATACTCTTCTACTTTTCAAAATTGTGTTATTTGTACACGTTTTTCTACAAAAGAAGATGTTCAATTTCATAAAATTTGGTTAATGTGAATTTAAAAGAGGGGGTTTTTATGATACACCCTGTAACAAACAGTTATAGGAAAATAAAATATATCTGCGAAAACCGCATGTTTTCATGATTAGGCGTTTAAAAATGATCAACTCACTAAAGGAGCTATTTTTCATTTGGACATCCTGTACTTAGGACAAATTTAGTCTCCTCTATATTCCTGATCTATGTTTGGGTACTTATAGTAAGACACCCTGTATGCAGAACAATTCTTATCCAATTCATCGCATACGTTTGGGAAAATTTCCACCCCATTCGTAACAAATCGAACGCCTAATAATTCACTTTCTTTTCATTTCTTATATAAATTTCACGCGAACCGGATTTGATTTTAAATAAGTTTTCTCTAGGAGGTAGGGAATAAGCGAGAACGAGTGGAGAGAGGAGGAGAGAAAAAAAAATAAAGAGAGAATCGAGCGGTCCCGCAGGAAATTTGAAATGCGATTTTTATGAACGCCGAAACCGGAGAAAAAGACGTCATTGGCGCTGGTATGTAAGCAAAGAAAGATAACAAATCGTTCGCGTTGTATACGTGACAAGGGCGACAAACTAACGTTTGCATAATTTCGATTTAACTCCGAAATATTCGCGCGTTCGGGTCGGCTTGTTTAAAAATTTCACGCGCATACACACACTCACACAACACTTTCCGAACCGCAATTACGCAATTAGATACTGGGTGTCCAAAACAAACATTGCATTTGAACCGCTTTACCCAAAAATAATCCTTTATGACCCTCAATGGGGAATTTTTTCCGTTTCAAATTAAGGCCACACAATTCATTTTTAAAGTTTGAAATATGTCACAAGTCATTAACCAAACACTGATAACTGAATAAAAGCGTTTGTTTGTATATCGTTTGCTCCATTTCCGATTGCAACATGGTCATTTCTATAAGTGGAACAAAGAAAGATTATTAAAATGACAGTTGTCAGAGTGAAAAGTTGCCATGACACAAATGTCACTCTTTCTTTTTCCTTTGGCCTATATTTCCTAAAATATTGAATATTTTCAGCAACTGAAAACTGCTTCGAGTTCTAATAATCACTTATTTCTATTCTTATATCCGGTTAAAAACTTTTTGGACGCCCTGTATAATAACACTTATCGCGTTTTATCGTGCAAATCGTTGCACTTGTATCTGCAAATGCGTTTTAATTAACTCGTTAAATTCCTTCGGGAATTTGAGAGACAATAAAAGTTGCCGGAAGCTATATATACACAAAAAGTCGAATAAAAATGGCAATTGGCCTTTTACTAGATGAGACCGGTAGATAAAACGCTACAAGATAACAGAATTTCTGAAAAGGGAGCTTTGTGTAAGCTAAGAGGTAACTGAAAGTAAGTTGATAAGGATTTTAACGAGAATAAGAGACATTCCTAATTTATCAATTCCAGTAACAATTTTGTAGATGATAAAATGTTGATCTTAAGAGAGTCAATTGTATACAAAATCGAGTCACTTGTGAGTCCAAGTGAGTGGAATGTAGCGAAAAAATCAGTTTTTGTGTTAATCATCCAGTAAGTACGGTCTAATTATACCTACGGTAATTTAATTCTTCATTCGATCGTGAAAAAAAAACTGGAATGTTTCGGTGTATAGTTTGAAGCGGCTGCATCATAATTAATCAACCGAAATACGTTCGAAATTTCCATAGCACTCGCTCGGAACGGCGCTGGTAAAGAACCAGGAGGACTCTTTTATTAACAAGTTTTTTTTTATTAGCGACTTCCTGCGCACTACTCGAGTATTTAAAAGGAGATTACGCCAATTGAGAATTCATCGAACGGCTCCGATTTAATTGGGGGCCCCCCCCGGTACATAAAATATGACGAGGCGCGTCGAAGGAGAGGAACTAATCGCACGAATTTCCGTTTGTTGTTTCAGATTCCCCAGGGAGCAGCAGACTCTTCCCAATCACTTTTATTTCACCGACTACGAGCGGCACAACGCGGAAATCGCGGCGTTCCACTTAGATAGGTAAATTTGTTTATACGATTCAATTGTAGCACTTTCTTCGGTAAATAGGAAACGAATCGAGATGTAAATCGAGTTATTTGATGTTTCTGATGGTGGAATTTTCAGAAGTCGAAACGTGTATGACTGTCGCTCTTAACTCTTACTTCACTCCGATCGTCGCTTCCGGTTGTATACAGGGTGTTAATTAATTGAGTGCCGATACTTGGGATGTGATCATTTGGGTGATTTTAAGAAGAAAAGTTTGTATCAATGTATCTCCTAAGTCTCTTAGTTTTCGAGCTACAGGGTGTTATAATTTTAGAAAAAAAAATAAATTTTTCTATCGTAATTTTCTTATTGCTCCAGATATTTTTTATGAAATTTTGTTCACTTTTTAATTATTAAGGAGCATTTTTTGGGGGTAGAAAATTATTTAAAATTTTTACCAACGACGTCCGTACGGGGTTTGAATTGAATATGTTTGAAGAAAAAGATTACCAGTGACGTCCGTCCGAAATTTCATAAAAAAAATTTGGAACAATAAGAAAATTATGATAGAATAATTATTTTTTTTTCTAAAATTGTAACACCCTGTAGCTCGAAAACTAAGAGCTTTAGGACATATATTTATATAAACTTTTCTTCTTAAAATCGTTCGTTTTCTTCTTCAATATTCGTTTATATGAACTTTTCTACTCAAAATCAGCCCATTAAAATAACTACATAACATTAATTAACACCTCTCTGTATTAGTACGAACATCACTAGCCTCTTTTCACCAAAATAAACTTATAATACTCGTTGAAATTCCACCATATTCCTCCTAATTCTAATTACACAAGCATCCTGTAAAGCGATACTCCTAGTTATCGGGTCGTACTCGTACATTCTCCTTCTTTAACTTCAAACAACTAAATAATCGCCATTCCAACATAGCGCACGTATCGCATTTTCACATTCCCAGAAACTTCGGGCGCTCTTAAAACACTGGTCTCAAGATAAATAAAAGGCCCTGTTTATATGTGGGCTCGTTAAGTATATTCCGCCATACGCCCGTTGACATCGCTCTGAAAACCTCGCGGCTCGCCGAAGAATTTCCCACACACACGAGAGCGAAGAAAACTAGCCGGGGAAAATATAACTTTCGGTTAGACGCGATGCCACCTGTACTTATACACACACTTGTAAAAGTTTTTGGTGATGGAAACTCGACGTTATTTTGTACTGCGAAGTTTTTCTAACTACGTACAGGCAGTTATGGAGTTGCAGTATTATTTTATTGCGCGTGTAGAATGTGTTCTGGATAAGATGGGTAGTGTTAAAGGGAAATTGTGCTAAAATTTGCAGCACTCTAGAAAAATCTCGTTTCTATGGGAAATGTACAAAATATGGCAACACTGTACTAAACTTTTATACAGGGTGTTTCTGAAATAAGTGGTTAAACATTGGGAGCAAGTAGAGAAACTCAAAGTATGATAAAAACTTAAATGTCAAGTTTTTGATTGAATTCATTCCTTGAGTTTTAAAGATGATAATAGTTTAATAATTTTGTGTATCAGAATTTAAAAAGTCATATTTCGTGAGTACAGTTCACTTTACGGAAAGAACAAGTATACCTTTTTTATGTAGAAAACTTTCATATTCCTAAAACAAATCAATAGAAAAGGTTAAAATAAAAAAGTTATGTTAGAATTACCCCACGAAACCCCCATTTTAACCCACCCCTGGACAACTTTTTTAACCCGATTGAATAGTGCCGTAAAACATTTCGTTTGCTTAGTATGTGTACCAAATTTCATCATTTTATCTTTGCTATTAATGAAATTATTAATAAAAATACCTCTTCAAGAATCCATCTTTAACATCCTGTATACCGATAACCAAGGACATTTCGATAAAACGACCCCAAAATTGCTCCCAAAATTTGACCACTCATTTCAGAAACACCATGTAAATAAATGTATTCCTTAGATTGCTGGGCTTCCGGCGGGCCATGCCGGTGACGGGCCGCCTGCTCAACATGACCTCCGAGCTGTACGAGAAGACCGACGGCGATCTCTTGAACACGTTCTTCGTATCGCCCAGCGAGAACCTCTGCTTCCACGGCAAGTGCTCCTACTACTGCGACACCTCGCACGCCATCTGCGGCAATCCCGACACGCTCGAAGGGAGCTTCGCCGCCTTTTTGCCATCGCAGAAACTCGCACCCACCAAGGTAAATTAAATATACCTCGAACAAAATTCCATCGCTTCGCCACGGAGCGATAGGAATAGCAGGAGACGCGAGTTGCGCATCTATCGCACCGTTTACAGCTGTACCTCTCGGTCTGTACAATGAAATTAACCTAGTATAATAGCTGGAGACCCGAGTTGCGCTTCTCTAGAAGCTTCTACAGTTATACCTTTCGGTCTGTACAATGAAATTAACCTTGTAACATCTAGAGACTCTAATTGCGCAACTTCCTCACTTTCTACAGATATACCTCTCGGTCTGTAAGATGAAATTAACCTTGCAAAATAGCTGGAGACGCTAATTGCGCAACTTCCCCACCTTCTACAGCTTTACCTCTCGGTCTGTAAGGTGAAATTAACCTTGCAAAATAGCTGGAGACGCTAATTGCGCAACTTCCCCACCTTCTACAGCTTTACCTCTCGGTCTGTAAGGTGAAATTAACCTTGCAAAATAGCTGGATACGCGAATTGCGCAACTTTCTCGCCTTCTACAGTTATACCTCTCGATCTGTACAACAAAATTAACCTTACAAAATAGTTGGAGAGGTTAATTGCGCAACTTCCCCACCTTCTACAGCTACACCTGTCGGTCTGTTAGATGAAATTAGTCGTTAGTTAAGCGCGGCGAGATGCAAATAAACTCGGTGATTTCTCAGGTGTGGAGACACCCTTGGAGGAGATCGTACCACAAGAGGAGGAAAGCCCAATGGGAGACGGACCCGAACTACTGTAATCTCGTCAGGGACATCCCGCCTTATAACAAAGGAAGGCGCCTGTTGGACTTAATGGACATGTCCGTGTTCGACTTCCTCATAGGCAACATGGACAGGCATCACTACGAGACCTTCAAGTAAATTTAAACGGGGTTTATTTGTGGTGTATTATTGATTTTTTTTTTGCCAGGATGTTCGGGAACGATACGTTTACGTTGCATCTGGACCACGGCAGAGGTTTCGGTAAACCTTTCCACGACGAATTGAGCATCCTGGCGCCGGTTATTCAGTGCTGCTTAATCAGACAATCCACATTAGAGACATTGATAAAGTAAGTACGTTTAGTGATCGATTTATACCGGGTTTTTTTTTGTGCCGTCGAAAAGGGCTGGCAGAAGGATTTCCCCAGTCGCCGTTCGAAAGAGATAAAAAAAAAATCTAAATACTTGATAAACATCGACGTACACACTGACAGGTTAAGTAGCGAAGTAAACGAGCGGGAGGAGGCCTTCTTGAAATTTTCAGCTACCGGCTCGTTTCGATTCCATTAAAAGTTAAAGATATCGAATCGATTTTATTTGCCGGGAGTCGCCTCTAGATTAGTGCGCGCTCTAATTGGAATACATTCGATGAATAAGTTATGAATTGTACAACCACGTTTTTTTTTTCATTCGCCGGAATTCAATTTTAATAGGGGCAAAACCTTAAATAACTCTAAAAAAAATCAATTTGTTTGGAATGATTTTATACAGAGTGTTAATTAATAAGTGCGACAAACTGCAGGGGGTGATTCTGCATTAAAAAATAATGATTATTTTGCTATATAAACATATGTCTTCAAATGTTTCGTTTAGAGATACGGGGTGTTAAAGTTTCTTCTCTACTATTAGATAACATTTTTTGAGGAAATGAAAAATACACGTCAAGATATTTTATATTTTTACTCGAAAACAGCGGCCCGCACGAAAAAAACACAAGAGAGTTTTTTAGTCACATAGTGAACGAGGAATTCATTCATAATTGAATTTTCAATAAAAATGCCTCAGTGGCGTAACAATATAATTTTTTTTCTATAAAAAAAAATATTATTACCCGTATGCGCGCCAATTATGAACATAAAATTTTCAATTTTATGCCAATTAATGCGTAATAGTTACCTCCTAAAGCCCACCAAGTTTCATTTGAATATCTCGTCTGGTTTCTCAGAAATAAATAAATCTTCGGTTTTTAAGAAGAAACTTTTTAACACCCCATATCTCGAAAACGAAGCATTTGAAGACATACGTTTATATAGCAAAATATCATTATTTTTTCATGCAGAATCACCCTCTAAAGTTTGTCGCACTTATTAATCAACATCCTGTATACTAATAATGCAAGTTTGTTTGCTATATTATCTATGAGTACTTACGAAAAAATTCCTAAATCTAACGAAATTTCACTAAACATGGCAACACTGTATTCGTTTTGTATATGCATATTGTCGAGGGAATTATTGTTTGATGCGGCCGAGAGTTCCAGTTATATCTTCCGCCTTTTTAATATTGTATATTTCTTTTTCGTGGGGGCGGCGCGCGAGGGTATTAGCCGGGCTCCCCGTTTCGAGAGCGGTTTAACGCCGGCGAAATAACCGCGAAGCGGGGGCGTCGGCGGAGAGAGGCCGGGCAGACGTGGGACTTTCTAAAGATCTCGCAGTGGCATGCATTAGTTAGGAGCACAGATTGGCTGCTGGAATATGCACGGACCATCAATATTAATGCCGTATCAGAGCCAGATGTAAGATGGGCTCGTTCGCGAGCCGGCTCTAACGCGGTTTTCCACCTTATGAGTTTTTTATCGCGCGGGCGGGAGGTAGAAAAACACGCCGGTGCGGCGCTGAGAAAACATTTTTACCTCTGAGTAAATATTTCAATAGCCGTTTTCTTAGCGTGGCTGGATATGTCGCTTTCTTGTAGGAAAATATTCCTAATAAAAACAAAATGTTAAATATTGATTACCAACCGAATACTATTCGCGTAAAAGGCCACTTTAAAAAAATCACCGACGATAGCTTTGAGCTAATCTAGTAAAGATGAGCGACTTTTGAATGCCTCTAAAATTGGTTATAGTTAAGTTAAAGACTTGAAATTTTCAGCAGGTATAGTTTAATATCTTATCTTTTTCCTCACCAAGTAGTATTATGCACAATTAACTCGAAGGGTTGGAACCACCCCTGTGAATAAGAATATGTTCATAAACTCGAAACTGATATTTTCCTCAAAAAAAAAAACTTGCTAACCGAATCACCTACGCGTAAAATGCCACTTTAAAAAAATATAGGAAACTGATTTTATCTGAAAGAACCCATTTTTACCTCTGAGGATTTTTCCTTAATTAAACCGAAACGAAAACCTTCCAGTATCGACTAGTAACCGAAACCTAAACGCATAAAAGACCACTTAAAAAAAAACATCTCCTTTGCGCGCTAATCTCGCAAAACGCGAGTTTTCCACGTCAAAAATAAAACTCTATCGAAATCTCCAAGCAAATCAACCGCAACGATATTCAAAAGAAGAAAAAAAACCACCCCGACTTAACGAATCCCTCTGTATGCATTTTCGAACGACAAAAGCGCCGCCTAATGAAAGACCTCACGATTCCGTTCCTTTCAATACCGTCCGAAAATGTATAGAAGCAATAAAACCTCCACCTAACTCTCTCCTCTCCGAAAACAAAAAAGATAAAGCACGAAAAGAGAGTATAGCTTGGAAAAAAAAAGCTCCGGTTGATGAGCGAAATAACGGAAGACCGTTCCGGCAGCGCCGAAATCGCGGCGAATCGACGGGGCCCTCACGAGAACGGATCGGACAAACGGCCACTTAATAGAAAAACCGTAGTTTGAAATTCGCGTGTAACTATAGCCATTCGGGCTAATTGCATTCGGAAGAACCGGACGGGATTACGCAGATAAAAGAAACGATGTCATATAACGGGATACGCCGGAAGGGGGAGCCCGGAATTCGGGAGAGGATGGAAAAAAAGTTCATCGGGATAATGGGAACAGTTGTTTAGAGAGTTAATAAGTTTAAGGGTGTTTTTCCATTAGAGTTTTTTTTTTGTCTAAAAGGCCCTTTTACGTACCTGCAATCACTGCGTTATCTACTTTGCAAGACGATTCGAGCGCACCCTTTTACAATGAAGGGGAGTTTGTTTTTATTGCTTTTCAAGTGATAATGGAATTGGAATTCATTAAAAAAACCAAAAAAAAAATGTTTTATAGAATCTAAATTTTACAACGGGACTCTAAAAAAAGTTTTTTATGTATCTCCATTTTACTTCTGTTTTACCTCTATTTTACCCCTTTTTCCCCTTTTTTTCCGCTCTATTTTACCTCAACTTCACCTTTATTTTACCTCCTATTTTGCTCATGCATATTTTCTGTGTAGCACCTTATATTTTGAATATTTTTCATCTTTTTATTTATTCATTTCATTTTTTTTATGAGCGAATTAGAGCGCCTCTCGCTCGACGATTTTTTCGTGGGAAATTCGATTTAAAAACGGGGCACATCAAAACCGCACCTTCGCGCGATAGCGGGAGAGAGAGAGATAGTACGGTTCTCAAATACTAATACAATTTTGATTCATTTATCCTAATCTGCGTAGATGGACCGATAAGCCGGAGTTCGGGCGCCGAGACGGGCGCCGCTCGCTGCCGGGACGCTCGGATACGAAATCAATTAAAGTTTGCTAATTTAATGTAGATTCGGTCGCGGCACCGTAAAAAATTTAAATTCGGTTCGGCTGTTTTTTTTTTCCTCTTCTCCCTCTCTCTCTAGGTTAGGTATATGCGGGCGCCGCGACGCCCGCCGTCGCTTCGGGCATTCTCACACGAGACCGGTTTAATTGCTTTCTGTAGTAAAATATCTTCCGGGCGACGGCGGCCCGCCCGGAACGGGAAAACGAAAATTACCGTCGGTTAATTTAAACCGCGGTTTAAACGCCGGTTAACCCAAAAAAAAATTAATTAATTTCCTTCATTATTCGCCGCTGCAAATACGGGACCTGTTTTAATTGCATGGAAATATTACGAATCGGGCAACGGAATTAATGAAAAGTTTAATTTCAAAATTAAGAAATCAATTATACATCAATTATTTTGTAAATGGAACCAATTATCTACCTAATAGAGTCGTTTAAAAGTAAACAGAGTCAATTAACTACCTGATAGAGTCAATTACCTGCATTATTAAATCGTTTAAAGTAAACAGAGTCAATTAACTACATAATAGAGTCAATTAACTGTATAATAGAATCGTTTAAAAGTAAACAGAGCCAACTAACTACATGATAGAGTCAATTAACTGTATAATAGAATCGTTTAAAAGTAAACAGAGTCAATTAACTACCTGATAGAGTCAATTACCTGCATTATTGAATCGTTTAAAGTAAACAGAGTCAATTAACTACATGATAGAGTTAATTAACTGTATAATAGAATCGTTTAAAAGTAAACAGAGTCAATTAACTACCAGATAGAGTCAATTAACTGTATAATAGAATCGTTTAAAAGTAAACAGGAGTCAATGATCTGCATAACAGATATAAAACAGAATCGTTTTAGAGTAACTAGAATACAAAATATCGATTGTACAAGTCGTTTCAATAATTTATGAACCAAAAAATGCCCTCCTAAAAAGTTTGCATATTTTGATGAAAAATGAAATTTCCTGCAATTTCGAACATCGAAATTGAAGTAACGATCGGGAAAAATCGTCGTTACCAACCTAATTTTTGTTTATTGCCAACATACCGGCGAAAGTCCCGATCGCAGCGGGATTAAAATCTCCCCGACACACCTACACGCTTTCCACCGGGCATTTCGATTTCGAACCGGAAAACTTAAATTATACGAAACGTACGGGAGAATGGAAAAATAATGTCGCGCCGCTCGCAATTCAACTCCCTATTTTCGAATGGGGTTTTCCGGCCCGTCCGGATTGCCGACTTGACCTTTTTAAAACAAAATAAATCAGTTTCCGTGGGCGTGTAAATATTGAAAATGCGAAAGTCGATTTCCTCTACAATAAAGATATTTCGTTTTGTGCACAGCGCACATTCGAATATTTGTAATGTACAGGGTGTTTTACTGTACTAAAAGGAACCAAATTTATTATTATAAAACGTAGTATTCCTGAGAAGTTAAAGGCTTTTAAAGTGGAGGTTGAAATTGAATATTTAGTACAGTACAGTAGAAATAAGTTTGTAGCTATAATTGTAGGTCTGTAGGTAGGTTTATAAAAAATTCTGTATTAAAAAAGGTACACAATAAATTACCAGAAACGCTCAACTATCGAAGGAATTTCATCGAAAATACGGGAAATATATATTTTTTAAATTGTCGACCTTACATTCGCATTTCACGGCAGGAAGGTTATTTATAAATATTTTCCTCTCTTCCGGCCCTTTTTCGCTCCGATATTTGCTTACATTCGCCGAATCTCATATTTGTACGACAATCAATTCGCTCCGAATTAAATTTCAGATGAAATTTCGTAATTTTATACGTTTTTCCGTGGAATGAAAGCCGCAAATAAATTATATTATCGACGTCGTCGAGCTTCCGCGGACGGGGCGCGCGTTTTTCCGGGCAATATGTCGAGGTATTCTCGAATTTCCGTTGCCGATTCTTCGCGACTGAATAGTTCTGTTGAGAATATGATCGGGAAGTTAATGAGTCGCGGAGTGAAAGCGGCTTTTCATTAGCTCTAAGCGGGGAAAAAGCTCGAATGGGGGTATATTTCTTCTCGCCGGCGGAGTTTCAGATTGCATACAGTCCGAGTTATCTCGCCATATTTATAGCCGGATAGAGTCGGGGCCCTTTTTAAAATATTCTCCCGAAGGTTAGGGATCGAATACGTGTTAGGTAAAGATTGCGCTGCACTGGTATAATAAAGCCGGAAACGACGATGATTCACTGATTGGTGATTGTAATTTTTTTAAGGGTGTAATGCATCGTTTTAGAAAATTAGTAATTTTAATAAGGTGTAGCGAAAATTGGAAATATCTTGAAAATTAAGCGATTTTTGAAAATTTTTGATTCTTAAAAAGTTGTAGATATACGTTTTTTCTACAAGAAGACGTAAGAAAGGAGTTTCCATATTAATTTGTTTTCAAGATAATTGCGATTTATCATCGAATTGCACTAAAATTAGTAAATTCAGTACAACCCTTAAAAAACTCAAAATATCTCGAAAATTAAGCGATTTTCGAAAATATTCTCTTCTTCAAAAATTGTAAAAAATCCTTAATTCTCCAAAATAAACCAATCGTCGACTTTCTATCTCAATTAATTTTCGAGATAAACGTATTTTCCTCCAATTTTTTTATAATCTACTTATATTTAATAACCACTTAACAGTTAAAACTCTCAATAATGAAAGATACTTGTACTATTTTATAATGCAAAATAAAAGAAGAAACTCTTTCAAGTTGAGCGCCCTGTCACGGTAGCAGCTTCCCGAACGAAAATCGGGCCCCGATTTTCGGACGTATACGTTTTCATTTCTATTAAAATTTGAACGGCTCTCGATTGTATAATTCAGCAGTTGATGAGAAATAAATGCGGATGTAAAGATCTCGAAAAACGAACTGGAGTATCACTCGAAAATCACTTAGAGAGCTTTATTAGCTTCTCGACTTCTTCCATAAAAATACTGATATTTGAAAGCGGACTGAAATCACTGATGGAAGAAGAAAATGCGAGAGCGAAAAAAAAAACAATAACCCGGCAAATGTTCTACAATAACTCAAGTAGTATGTTGTTTCGTATAAAATCGAATATGCAGAGAATATAATCTCCCTTAAGAATAAAACTCCATAGATAGATAAAATATAATCCTACTTTGTTTCTCTAAAGACATCCCAATCGAACTCGGATTGTTTTCTATCAAAATGAAACTGGCCTTTACCTTAACTAGACAACAGTTGTGAAAATTCATCTCAGGGTTGAACTGTAGGAGTATATTTTTATTGTAGGTTTCACAATGGTCAAACGAAACTTAGCGAAGCGATGCGAATAAGTATGAGCTCGGATCCGATCAGCCCGATTCTGTGGGAACCCCATTATGAGGCGCTGGACCGAAGAGTGGAAATCGTCCTGAGAACTATAAGAGACTGTTTGCAGAAGGGCGAAAATCCCATTTCCGCCAACTATAACGACACGTAGGGATGGAAGTTAACCAATTTATTTAGTGCATAAGTTTATTTTTTATAAAAGTAGGAGGAAAACTTCCGCTTGCATCCGTATATTGTAAAATGCATTCATATATTTGTAATGTAATATTTTGGATTATAAAAAGCGTGTGTATATATTTCTATATCGGAAGGGTTTTTTCTGCTTGTATAAAAAAAAGTGTATAAAAACTTTGTGATATTGTAAATTGTAACCAGAGATTTTTAATTTTGTTCCTAATTAAATCCAAAGGTTTTGATGGTGTAAAGCGATAAGGAAACCGAATCTTTAATATATTTTTGTTGATTTGTCTGTTATTTTAATAATTAAATATAAAAAAAATTATTGTGCGAATCTCGCGTATGAAATATCGTAAAAATACCATCCAATTTATTTATTATATTACCAAAAAAAATGTATGTTATAATTCGAACGCAAAATAAAAATAAACAATTATTCAATTACATTCGCCTAGCTTTTCCACAACCCGAAATAACAAACGGCGATAACACATTTTCGATAAGCCGTTCGACCATTTCCTCGAAAATATTTTTAGTCCCAACTACCACCGTTTCCTTATCACGTTTATATCGTGCAATCGCCTCAGTATTAATTCCGCTGCGCCACCATGAGCTCAGAAAGAATAGACCTAACAGGGGAAAAGGAGAAGGGAAGGGGCAACTACACCCTCAGACCCAGGGCTGTCATGTACCCCATGGCCCAGGACACGACGGGTGCTCCCCAGAAACACAACAACTTCATCGTCATCAACGTCGGAAAAGCGGCTATTACAGCAGAAGTGAGTCCAAAATTTTTAACGCGAGAATTTAGGAAAATGCATTTTGCAAGTGGAAAAAATACTAAGCGCTCAGTTCATAATAATAAGCACCAATTTGCATTGCAAAATAAATTTGATGAACATATTCATCAAACGGTCGTAATTTTTCATAATAACTGTCACTAGTGTCACTGTCAATATGTCACTTCTCGCCGAGAACCTTTATTGGCCGGTAATAGAACCGAATAAAAATCGAGCATTCTTTGATTCAAAACTCAACGACTTACTAACTGCTGCTTAAATCCCTGCTTGCAGGTGGAGTACGGTACCAGAGAGATCAGACTGGGCGTGCTGGCGAAGCGGTCGATCCAGCCGGGCGAAGAGGTGGCTCTGGAACTGGGCGATGGGAAATTCGAAGTCACGGCGTTGAAAATCACGAACGCGACGAAGACGAAGGCGGCGTTCCAGGTGGAAGGCGGCGAGAGCGTGCTGCCCAAGAGCGTTACCGAGCACTACAGCGAATTGTTGGGTACAGCCGGTTAATTGGTAGATTATCAAGGGTTGCCAAATTGATTGATATGTTATCAAAGGTTGGCGACAATGGGGCACGGGTAAATTGATTTGCTTTGCTTTTTTTTAGATGACAGGAGCTGTCAAAGTACAGATGTGATTCTCGATGGGGAACCAAAAGATGTAGAAATAGCTAGTTTAAGTGAAACTAAATAAACGCTTCAAATCGACCTATTTTGTAAATTATTTATCCCCTCGTCTCCGATTTCCAATAGAGGTCGTCAAAACGAGAGTAATCCGCTTATTAAGGTCATATTCTCGGCGATTTAACAGATTCCAAGCGCTTATCTATTATGTACAAGGCAAATCCGATAGGTCCTCGAAATAAAACAGATTTTTCCAACATTATCTTTTATTGTTAAAACAAATGAGTTGCTGCTGGAAAGCGTATTTCCCAAAAACCTTTCGTCTCTGCGAACTTATTGTATAGGTAACAAGAAACTTTTTATTTTTATTGTTAAAAAAATCACTTTTTTTTGTGGATTTTCTCGACCTAGGACAAACTAGCGATCAGCGCTCGTGTGTCACACAAAGAGGTAATTTCACATTTCGCATTCACTCCTCAGTTCTATGTTTTTATTATAAAAGCGTCGGAAGATCGAGAGTGCGACGCAAGAAATATCCCTCCCAATATTTGATTTTGTTGTTTCGTTTACACAAGAAACTGATACAGTAAATAGAAAATAAAACGTTAGATTAGATAATAGAGTATTAAATTACATCGAAAAAGACCTAAATAATTCATAATCGTATAAAAAAGCATTCTTGCTTCGCACCATCTTCCTTTATATTCAGTACATTTACATTTAAAATTACCAGTTTAAATATTACTCAGAAAACAACCTAATACAGGGCGTCCTCCTCGATTCGAACACTATAAATCTAATTAGAAAAACCTACCTAATACACTAAGATACTCGAAATGTACGCTACTTATCGGAATGACCCTGTATGAGCAACCAAACAGATGCCTTTTTACAATATTTCAAAATTCCAAAAATAAGAAATCGCGAAAAAATCGCTAGAAATTTTTAATCCAAAATCGAACGTTGATTATTCTATTTTATCGAAGTTAGAAAAATACCGGACACCCCGTATAAAGTGAAACGTCTCGTTTCCTTTAAACCAACTAAATTTGAAATGCATTGATTCAATTAATTGCTAATTTCTACCAAACCAAAAAAAGTTTAGGAACTGATCTGCGATACTGATATAATTCAGAAACTTATTCTATTTGTATTAATTTATTATTTGAAAATAAAAAAAAGAATGAATTTTAATTTCAGCTAAAGATTTTTAACTAAAATTTACACATCGGTATAAGAGAATAAAATACTTGCGGTGGATTCCGGGGGTAATAATATAATCCTGTCGGAGTATAATTTCAAATAAAACTGAACTTCTCTTCCTATTTAATAATTATTTCATTTAATTAAATAAATCAGCGTGCAGCGCTTGTTTCTAGAAACAAAAAAAAACGACTCTATCATGTGTCAAAAATTTTAACCTAAATTCTGTGAACATTTCGTATAGGAATAAAAATTTACTCGGAGCGGAATTGTAACAAAACACCAATTAGTCCAATATCACAAACCGAATTCGATACTTTAAACTTAATTAAACGCAAACATATTGTACAAGAATTTTTTTACTTCGATTGATCAAACAGTGCTGGAAAAGTTTGACGTTGATTGACCAATCAATTTTTGACGAGTTATTGAGAAATTGGTTGGAAAAGGGGCGTCTTACAAAAAAAAGTAGCCTCTCTATTTTAATCGACTCCTCAAACACGAGTCAATTACTATTCATTACTTATTAACAAGCACTCAACGTGTTAAGCGACACCTCCGAGTAACATTTCCCCCTTAGAAAAAAAATTGACAATATAACAAAAATGTTTTACAGACTTAAAAAAAACTAAAATTTGCAATATTTAAGTGATCGACCCCCATATGTTCCCGCCCTTTGTAAATTTAAAATTGTTTCAAAGAAAAAAAGAAATAAAGCATGTTAATGATTTATCATCGTAAGAGTCTTCGTGTCATTTTGATAAATACTACTTGCAATATATAAAATAACAGGTATGTAATACAAAGTTATGACCTGCTCGTGGGCTAGATAGCTGTTAAATATATTTACTTCTTCATGAAAATAATAATAATAATAAAAACGAAATCACTAAATATACCATCCTATTCGTTGCTGTCAGGGGAGAAAACATGTTTTCATCTTATCATTGAATTAAGTAATTTAATATTAATATAATAGGATTTTTAATTAACAAACACAACATAAATTCGTAATTTATCAATAAACTTAACGCGACAATAAGACATCCACTTCCCTCCCGTTCCTATAGTTTCCAAAAAAAAATCCAAACCAATCCCAAAAAAATCCTACAACACAGCCAATAAGTACAATCCGAGACAAAAAAAAAATAAACGTAATAGCTATCAAGGTTTACCTAATAAGATTGGTTTGCCGTATATAAGACCAGCAACGAATGAATAAGATACACACGTACAGTTTTACGAAGTAAATAGACTCGCTCAGCTAATTCGTCCACTAATTGGCACACAAACATTTTCAAGTAACGGCTCCGATTATTTTTTTTTAATTTCATACTATACACGCCCGCACACTTTTCTTACACACAAACTTATAGCGACTCGCAACGACGCAGCGGTTGAGAGAGGTGGGGGGGAGGTGGGGATTTGGGGGGGCGCAATGTCCGACACTCAGTCACGGACCCCGAGTAACTGTAGAAGGATGAAATTGGTGGGGGCGGGTTAGCGACGGCCGTAATTGTTGGAACCGCGATTGGGGGGCCCGCCCCCCGAGTTTCTGTTGCCGTACGAGTTGGTCCGGCTGTTGGGACCCTGGCCGGCCGCTCCGCCGCCGCCGGTGCTGTTCCTGTTCAGGCCGCCCGGACCGCCGCCGGGACCCCGTCTCGGGCCGCTGTTGTCGCCCCTGTTGCTCCTGTTGCTGTCCAACAGGCGACCGCCGCCGCCGCCGCCGTACGACGGACGGTCCTTCGTCTTTTTCTCTTCCACGTTCAATATGGTGCCGTTTTTGTCGTCTTTCGAGTAGTAGATGGGCTGTAGACAACTCCGAATTAATAACGTTTCTGTAAATTTAAATTCGCGATATGTTTACCTTGGCTTTTAAACAATTTTCTACGGCCTGTTGGGTCTCGTACGTTATGAATCCGTAGTTAGGGGGTGCTCGGGCGCCGGGAGGAGCGCCCAATTTCATCGGTTTGCTGTGCACCCTCAAATCCAATATGTTACCGAATTGGCTAAAGATGTCTCGGAGCTCGTCCTCGGTCGCCGTATGCGGTAGATTTCCCAAAAATAATTGGTTAACATCATTGAAATTTTGACTTTGCGACCTCCTCCTATCATCTACACAACACAAAACGAATACAAAATTTAACCAATCGTAGTGCATCGAAAAACCCCTCCCCGTTCAAAACAAATTTTTGTGCATTTACCATAAGAACCTTCCTCTCCTCCGGAACTCCTGCCGCCGGCGTTCGTCCTGCCGCCGCCCTCCTGTCGCCCCGACAACCTTTGTTGTTGTTGCTGCTGCTGTTGCTGTTGCTGTTGTTGCACGTTCGGGCCCCTCGAAGCGACCGAAGCGACGGCCGGCCCGGCGTTGCGACCGCCCACGTTGTTGGAGGCGGCGCGCGTCGCGGCGTTCTGGTAGCCGCCGACGCCGACGGCGGGCGGCGAGTTGGCCCGCAACGCCGTCGCCTGCGACAGCGCCGGTCCGGGCGTCGCGAACGGCAAGTTCGAACCGGATTTCAGGAGATTCGCGTAGGTCTTGGGCTCGTTGGAGGCTACAAATACACACACCGTACGATTAGTTATTCGATTGTTACGATATACAGGGTGTTCCAAAATTACATGCCTATATTTAAGGGGGTTATTCTTAGGACTATCTTAAGAAAAAAATCAATATTTTGTAATAACTGTGGTACTATTGAAGATATTTTTATGAAATTTGGCACACGTCTTCTATGAATCAAGATGCATTATCTGATGTACAAATAATTTTATTATTTTCACCAGTGGCGTCTGTACGGGTTTTGAATTGAATATTTCTGGAGAAAAAAATGGTACGCCACTGCCTAATATTGAAATAAAAATTATTTTCTGAATCCTCATTCAATTTAGAACAAATTTAACCCTGTGCTAAACTTGAAAAATACTACATTTTAGCTTTAGGACATTTGTTCATATGAAGTTTTTTTCCTTAAAATGGATCCAAAGAATCACCCCCTTAATTAGCATGTCAGTTCAGAACACCATGTATAGATAAAACAAGTTACCTGATTCAATGATATTGACTTCCGGGTCTTGCTCGTTTTCCTGCGGTTCGCTGAAGCTGTTGTCCAATCCGGGTTCTTCGATCTCGTCCATGGGCGGCGCCGGCGGTTCGTCGATGGGCGTCTGCTGGGCGATTTGCGATTGAACGAGGCCCGGTTGGAGCGCCGGCAGCGGATTGTTGGCGAGCCCTTGCGTCTGAGGCGTCGCGACGTGTCCCGGTACCGGTCCTAGAGACCAAAAAAAAAAAACGAAGCGTTAAGTTAGAATGATAGGGGGTACGAGGGCGTCGCTGTAGTAACCTTGCAAGACGTTCATGTCGTCGGGATGAAGGGCTCCGTTCACCGTGGGTACTTGGGGATTCATGACGTGAGGCGGCGGCTGTTGGTTGTGGTGAATAGGCACGGCGGGAATGCTAGCCTGCAATTGACCTGGGTTCGGGTAGTAAGGTGGAATGGTCGGTTGGTTGAGCGCCTGTTGATGCTCCACCAATCCTTGCCTAAAACAAACAAACAACGATTAAACATTCGCCATGTGGCCTTCGACTTATCGGTCGCTCACCCGCCGGTGACCTCCTCTTCGGGCTCCGAATGCACGCCATCGTCGCACTCCTCGTCCGAAATGATTTCGTCCTGATATCGAAAGATGTCGTTGTGCACGTAGAACTTCTTGGGCGACTGGGCGGCCAGTACGAACGTCTGCGTGAAACGGCGCATCGGCTGGCCCGCGTTCGACAGCTCGCCGGTCACTTGGACGACGACCCCGTTGCCCAGGGTGGCCTGCGGAACGGACGAGACGAAACGTTTCGAATTTGTCGTGCGAATAGCCTATGTTGTCGGGCGCTTACCTGCGAATCGACTTGGGTGATCTTGGCGTGGCAATCGCGAAAGTTGAGTTGTTGGATCTTCTGGTGGATCTGCTTCTGGCCGATCACCGGGCTGGTCTCCCTGTTGGGGGGGTCCAATCCGCCGTGGATAAACGATGATTGTTGATTGTAGAATCTAAGAGAAGCCATTCGTTAGTCGATTAGAATCGGTTTTTTTGTATTGTACGAGAGAAGTACTACTTCTACTTTTAGCTACTCTCTTTACTATTATTTCGTATAATGGATTATTATTCTATTTTTTTATCGAATCGATTAGTCATAAGCGATAATAAAATTTATTGGTTCGATAATAATTATTTCGACAAAGTAGCTAATGGAAATTGTTCCTATTAAAAATCCATTTAATCGAAACAAGAGCGAAGATAACATGGATTTTTTTAAAAGGAAAAAATACCTAGAATCGAACAATATTTTCTATTCGATAATAGATAATGTGCAATATTAAATTTATCTGATTAAATTCAACTTGGATATTTCGAGTTATTCCATTACACTGATTAAAAAAAGCTGATTTTGTAAATATCAGTCATATCAAAGTACAAATGGGATACGAAGGTATTGGATAGCGAAAAGCATTAAATACTTGCTTACCTATGAAGATGAGTGGGTGCCTTGTTTAACAGCGTATAATACTGCCTGACGAATTCCCTTCCGACACTCTGGGGTGATGGGGGAGCCTCCATTACCATTCCTAACGATTTGCTTTGACCGAAAGTGCTATTTCAAAATAATAACCTGCAAACTGTTAGACGACAAATCGGTTAGTTTGGTTATAAAACGAGCGTGTTATTGATCAATTTTCGACACGTTTAGTGTGAATTTCAAACAAAAGGAATTCGCCGAACTGCTCATAGATAAAGAACGCGTACCGTAAAATCTTCGAGCGCCGATTCCACGTTCCGGCGTCGAAATAATCTCGATGTTTCGCTTTAGAGTGCAGCGAAATGGATCGGATAAAACGGCATTTCGCGTGAACCTCGTCTACGATTGGACATTCCTGTCCATGTCGGAATAAAAACCGGCGTGGAACGGCGTACAAGGCGTTCGTAAAAATCGCATTTTCTTACCTTCGCAGATCTCAGTTGGATTTGGACAGCGTATCGTTGCGGCTTTTGCGTGCGAGAAAGAAAATCGGGCAGTTTTCCTTGTGAAAAATCGAACTGTTTTTAGACTACGCCTGAGATGCAAAGCACACGGGTGTAAACTTCATTAAAATTGGCAAGAGAAGTTGGTTCAGTTGGTTGTGTTGATTTCTGTTTTATCCGCATGGAAAGCAGCGCCATTCAAGGCCGTATCGTAATCTAGAACTTGAAGCGCTTCCGCCACGAAGCGCATGCGCGCCGGAAACAGCTGTCTAAAAACGAGGGAAAATTCTCGTATTCGGCGGGAATTTCAAATCTATTCTAACGAATAAAACATCAAATTTGTTGTTTATGTCTCACAATAACTAATAATTAAATTGATTTTAACGATTATTGCTCATGTTGATTCCAAATATTTATAAAATGGGTGCTTGATGAAGTTGCAAATAACCGAGAGAGTAGAGGCCAGTTTATAAAAACGAAGATGTCAATACACTTTAAAATATGCGGCACGTTTAAAATACAATTAAAAAACTACAAAACTGTGGAAAAATCCGATGAGCAATTTAAAAAGCAATAACCTTTGGCTTATCCAAACACTTTTATTCAATTATTATTCCTGACACAAGACTATACTATTACTGAATACAAAAAAGAAACTGAAATTATCACAAAAAATTAGGTGTATGCTTTAACAATAACAGTTCTATTTACAAAAACTATTTTACAATTCCCCGGCCTGGACCTTCTTGTCGAACAGCCATTCTCCAAGTTTCCCGTGGTCTTTCATCATCTTCTCCAAAGTCGATACCTTTCCGGCAATGTCCCTTTGACCATGGTATTGCTCCTCGAGGAAATCACCAGTCAAGTAATCAACCAGCTAGAAAACAATAATACAGATTAAATCAACTCATTTACTACTAACAATAACAATAATGATTAAACTGAATAAATTTTCCAATGAACTGATTCAATATTACCAATGGAGATAAGAGTTATCTTCTAATTATCGATGAATTTACAATTTATTGGTACTCACATGATAGTCGTTGTTGGAGGGATTGCTGGCTGTGTCGTGTTCGCACACTTCGATGACCTTCCTGATTTTCCTCGTTACATCAGCTTCCAATTTGAGCGCAGCTTTCATGGCACTGACAACATTCTCCCAAGTAGTTACCGGGGGTACCAACTAAAAAAAAAACAATTTATTATAGATCGATCGATGTCGATGACTCCCGATCAAACACGCACGTTTCTCTTGATCAAATCGCTGATGTTGGTGGTGAGCTCTCCCCGCATGAGCAGGTAGTGGATGAGCTTGATGGCGTGGTCCCTCTCTTCGCTGGCCGATTTGAAGAACATTTCTGACACGCCGGGCCTGTTGACCACGTCCTTGGCGAAGTAGGCCCCCATCGCCATGTACTGCATCGATGCCTTGAGCTCCTCCAAGACCTGCTCGCGCATCTTGCCGATGCAACCGTGGGTCATGTCGACCCATTCCTTCGGTATGTCCAACTCCGGAGTATTACCTGGATAAAAACGAATTATTTTAATACTAAAATTGCGCGTTAGATGATTACTTACATATCAAGTTGTTGGAGGAAGAGAACCCAATGGCACAGAATAACAAAGCAACAAACGCGATCGACTTCATTTTGTTGTTGGGAATTATTTTTAATTAATGCGACTCAAAAGTTATACAATTGATGATAGCGATATACACAATAGTCTGCCTTTACACTCACTGGTGTAGAAGGAGGACTATACAAACTGATATTAACGAAAAAACCGCTCGTTTGGTGGCAAATATAGTATTTTGCACAAAGTACTAAATTCTTATCTTCGAACACTCTGACCGATACGTCATGACAAATAATAATACAACAATAACAGTATGGAGTGGATATTTGACAAGTGGATATTTAAAATAGAGATGGGACGCTCCGTGGTATTCCTCAACTGTTACATCTTATTTATACAATTCGCTTTAGTTATCGACTGAAATAGACGCAAATTAGCATTATTTCCTAAATGAACAATAAATTTATTTATACAGCTGTTTAAATATGGAAAAAATGCGTCGTATTAATGTACTCAAATGGAACTGTGATTAGTTCTTCCAACTCTATTCTGTTATTATTTTGTGACTTTGCACTTTCTTTGTCCTTAAAATTTTCCATGCGCACGGCACTAATAAAATGCGCACATCCAAGTTTTTGTTTATCGTACAGTAGAGTGGTTTTCCAGGCGATTTATATACAGGAATTGCGATTTTTTCATTATTATTCGTGATTACGCTGGCGAGAAACCAGGTTAGTATACGAATTTACTTCATTGGTGAATGTTATTGAATCTAATTATAATTTATTATCGTCAGGGATCATGAAGGTTTTCATTATTTTGTCGATTTTTTGCGCTGCGGCTTTCGCCGAAGACTATTGTTACAAAGATGCCCGTAGAGCGTGCGGAACTAAACGTAAGTAATCTATTCGTTTTAATACAATTGTTTGATTGTAATTTGGATTTATATTAACTAACCTATAATGGTAAAATCAGCTGTCAATGTCACAATGTGTCCGTGTGTCATTACCAGCTGACTTTTGGCTAAATTGCCGCTGTATAAAAGGCCACAGAAGAGAAGACTCGAAAATGCTATATTTTTCAAAAATATGTGAATATTTATTAATAATTGTTAGTTCTATTTAAAGCAAAACAAAGTTTAATACCCAATTGTACAATAATTGCTTCACTAATTATTTAAGTAGTTGTAATTTATTTATACAATCTTTCCAAGAAAATATTACAAAACATAAACACCTTATCTATTCTGAGCAGCTATTTACAATTTAATTTGTTATCTAAATTTATTTGCTTAACGTTATAAATAATCTAGAGATTATTTCGAATCAATATTCCAGCAATTTTGAACTCAATTACCTGATTTTGAAGTACCCATTTATTTCTTAACTCTAATTCCTGCTTATCTGGATATTATTGACCAATTGACCTGAATGTATCTTACTTACACAATTATTTGCAATGACATAAAATTTTCTTGCAGTGTCTCTAGACATGAAAAACTGCACGGCTAAATACGGGGCCATCGAACGGGCCGAGGCTAGCCTCCAAAAGTTCGCCTACCACCATTTCATCCGGTCCTTCGACTACCTCCTCCTGTCCACGCACTTCGCCAACTACCAGAAGAACAGGCCCGGCTTCGAGAAGTTGTTCAGGGACCTGTCCGACAACAAATGGCACGAAGGCATCGAGCTGATCAAGTACATAACGAGCCGCGGGGGCGAGATGCAATTCAACGATGTGGACAACCTGGTAGAGTCCGAGGACGGTAACTTCGATTTGCACGAGATCACCGCCATCGCTAAAGCTTTGGACATCGAGAAGAAGATGGCCAACGAGGCCAGCGAGATCCATCACAGGATCTGGCACAAGAGCGTCCTGCACGATCCCGAGATCACCGATTACATCGAGAAGGAGTTCGTGCACAAGGAGAAGGACCTCATCAGGAAGTTGGCCGGGTACTCCACTGATTTGAAGGATTTGTTGAACCCCGAAGACGGGTCTCTGTCGTTGTTCCTGTTCGACGAATTCTTGCAGGGTAATAAGTTGTTCTAAGGGCGGTTGTTCCGCACGTTTTATTTTGTAATTTGTAATGTTAGGGATGTAGTATATTTGAGTTTGTAATAAATTAAAAGGCTGTTTGTATATAATGAAATAAACGGTGAAATAAACGTAAATGTTTTTGTTTATTTTTTATTCAATTCAGGACATCGAGAGTCATTTATGCGGTTAACACAAAGTAATAAGCTGATTTCTCTGAGCAATTATATAAATCTTAATGTAGCCTCTAAGAATAAAATAGACGTAAATTTATTTGGTTTATAATACATTTTTAATACACATAAAATGAACAAACTATAATATCAAACGTAATACTTTTTTTACACTTTATAGATAAAAATATATAAATTAAGAAAACTCGAATAATACAACAAGTAATCGAGAAGTCTACTCAAAAATATTTTAACGTTATGTAACGTAATTAATTGCGTTGTTGAAAAATAAATCATTTAGATGAGTACCTTATTAAACCTAGATTATTACTAAGATAAAATTAATATAATATATTCTATTTATACATCTTCGTAATCGTCGATAGATCGAAGATTTCCGAGTCTTTTAATAGAGAGCGTAAAATGTGAGATTTGAACTATTCGAGTTTCAATAACATTTATCTAATCAGGATAGATCCATATGCATTTAATTTATGTACTTACATTTAATTCTAACACACTGTAAGAGAAAATTGCAGTATAATTTTCATACCGGAGAGCTCCGTCCTCGCGAAAACACCTGTGAAGCTAGAAAATTTCACGCCAGCTTTTCGAATGCAAATTTAATCTCGTTTTGGAAGTACAGCAAGTGTATCAATAATTAATCAAATTCAACAGGTAAAAAAATATTCCGCCTGTTCGAAGAAATTTCCCATCTCGCTTGAATATTTCTGAATAAATTCCTGAAAGCCAAATCGATGAATCCGAGCAGAAAAAATCGCTTTAAATAAGTAAGTACAATATACCAGCTTTATTGCATTACTTATGCGAACGGAGAGATAGCTTCGTGCGGACGGGGCTCCGCCGTGAGCAAGAAATAAACGAAAAAAAAAAAATATTACACGTGTTAGAGTACTTCAATGTGATCGGGCGCCGTTTAAACGTAATCGTCGCTGCGGCGTCTGCGGCCCGGCCCGCCGGCGAAATTCGCCGCCGCCAGCCCCATCAGATGCTTGGCGGCCTGCGAACCCGAAAATCCGCGGCCCAGGCCCAAGTCCAGGCCCCTTTTCGAGCTGAAAATACAACACCATTAACATACAACAACTATTATCAATACTATTAAAATGAAGGATTTTTTACGATGGTTCATTCGTTGAACTTACGCGGGGTTTTGTCGTAAGAATTTGCAGTGAATTGCAAGTGAATTCGAAATGTTTAGTTCAAAAGACAGTTCTAAACGATTCCGGGGCTTTCTAAATGGTTCTGAAGCCTTCTAAATGGTTTTAGACAGTTCCAAAAAATTCAGGAGCGTTCTAAATAATCCGGGAGAGTTCTAAATGACTACAGACCGTTCTAAATAACTATGGAGCATTCTAAATGGTTCTAAAGCGTTTTAAATTATTTTGAAGCGCTCTATAGATGACTATGGAGCGTTCTAAATCGTTCTAGGCAGTTTTTAATGATTCTGGGGGCGTTCTAAATGATTATGGAGCGTTCTACATTGTTCTATATAGACAGTTCTAAATGATTCGAGCCGAGAACTTTTTACCCTACCCTCGTACGTAATCTTTTGATCCGAAACCCGAGTAAGTTCAGTGAATAAACTATAAGTTTTCTTACCATTCATGTAAAGTAATGGGCTTGCCTAAATAGGGATTTTTTTTAAATGTGAGAAGGTTATCGTGTACGAATAATACATAAATAAACTTTATTCGATTTGAATTATAAACTTACATACAATTAAAGATATGAATAAAGAAAAAAATTGGCATTTTTGATGTCTCTCATCGTCTTCCGGCTTGAGTGAAAAAATGGCGCATGGACATATCGTTACCTAATCGACCTCTGTAGGTTCCAACATCGATCCTCTTCGATTCCTCGCCGTCTCTTTTCGAATAAATCACCGGCGATTTCAATCCGAGCGACCTACATACATAAAAAATAAAATAATTCCGCGCTTATTCGGTTTTTTTTATCAGAAACAAAGTTCGACGATCGAATAAACACTTTTAAAATGGGGACGTACCCGTAATAAAAACGCCTCACAAATCACAAAATACACTGATAATAAACGATACACACATCACATGTAACACATTATACACTCAAATATTATCAAACATTATGCAATTATATCGAAGCTTATTATTTAAAAATTAAACCCGCTGGGGACAGTAGCCAATTCTTCTAAAACTTATCCAATTTACAATGAACTAAAGAGGAGAAAAAGTAAGATCCTCCGGATATTTCCGAGATCGTATTTACCTCGATGCGATTTTACTTTACCGCCGATACACCTTTTATGCGAGTGTACTATAATGTAAAGTTAATTTTCCGACTCAATTGTAATCTTCCCTTATTTTTCATCCGACCAATTCCGGACGTTTCGCATCGGCGAAACTCTCACCCAGAAACTTTTCGTTCGAAAGAGAGAAGGAAAAAAACGAGGCGAAAGGAGGGAAAAACGGGGGCGAGCGAGCGAGGCATATACGGGTTGATATTTTAGGGATTTACGAGCGATTGAATTCGTATTTTGATAATGGCGAAGGTAACAATGAAGATGATCTCAAGAGGGAAAACAAAGACCGGAAAACGTACCGGCTATAATGTTTATTTTCCACATCGCCGGATCATTTTCGTATACGCGAAAGTGTGTTTTAGTAATTACACGGAGGTAGTCAGATGAAAAATGTTCGAGAAATTTTTCTTTCGCTTCGCGACAACGTCGATTCTTTTTTAACACTTTAAATTAGAAATATATCGAATTAACCGTCGACATTTTACGTTTACTTTAATGGAGCGAAATGCGTTTTTTATTCCACCCGTACTCCTCAAGAAATACGGGGACATATATTTTTAATTTAATTTATTTTACTCGCTTTAGCGGACGCCGGATAACATTAAATATGTTTCTTAGCGAGCGTGAGTCGCACAATTTCTCGTTAGAAACGTACACAAAAACGAATACAGCAAAGCATTGGTTACTATTATTAAACAATTTTGGATAATTACTTACTTTTCCAAATCGTCTTCGTTGATTAAAGCCTGCCTTAGTCTCGATATGGTCTGCATCAGGTATCTAGGATTCTGACGTTCGAGGTACAAAGGAGAGAAGTACCCCGAATAACTGCGAAAAAAAAATACAATAAAATAACCAATTTAAATGGAATCTAAATTTGCATATGCACGAATTCGCGCAACTTCTTCCACCGACTGAATACATCAAGAGATTTTTTTGCGTTATTCGAATAACCGAGTTAGAATTTAGTTTGATAACGACTTAAAAGGAGTTCGCAGGCAAAGCAAGTCGCTCGATTCGTTATAATTTCATACAAGTTGCGACTTTCAACTCTGTTTCTCTGTTTGCAGTCGTTTTGTGCAATTCGATGCAACTTATTTACAGAATAAAAAGCGATACAATAAATTATGTAGTCGAACAGAATGGTATATTTGAGAGGAATCAACCTATTATGCTACTTTTACCCTTTTCTAAAACTACTTTATTCTAAATCTAGTCTACTCTACTCTGAATCCTCTCTACTTTAAGTCTACTCTAATCAGAATCTTATCTGAATCCAATCTGACTCTACTGTGAATCTATCTACTCCACTCTACTCTACTTTGAATCTACTGGAAATCTATCTACTATACGCTGTAATGAATCGCTGTATGAATCTAAGTACTATACTTGAGTCTACTTTGAATCTTTTCGGAATCTACTGGGAATCTATCTACTCTACCTTCTCTGAATCACATATATTGTAAATGTATCTACTATACTCTAAATTTTAAATCAACTCTACTCTGAATCTACATAATTTGAATCTACTGTAAATCGATCTACCTACTCTGAATCTACTCTATTCTGAGTCTACTAATTTTGTGGGTACTCTACTCTCAAGTGTGCAAATGTCCCTCCTCGGTGTCTTTAGAAAATTGCTTCAGGATCACCACAAATTAGGATACAGGATACAATTTTCGATAACAATTTTCCGTAAACAAGTGAGCTATTTATTGAAATGTCGAGTATATTTTCAAGTGCGCATATTAAAAGCATTCGCAGGAAATTTCCGCGTTTTTGCGCTAACCTCTGTCGCCGAAATTAGACCGAAAATACGTCTCTTTTTCGGGTCGAGTGACCATTTCATTTAGAATTCTGTCCAACTTTCTCAACGACCAGGATGTAAAATAATTAAATACGCAATACCAAAGTCATTCACACACACATATGTATATTCAGGCAAAACAAACTTGTATTATCTTGATATTAAATGCGCAAACTTTTGCTTTGTGGGTGCGGGAATTCACGCAAAAATCGATACAGAAATCCAATTTAACGTTTCTATTTGTGTATATCTTCCAGCGAGATTCTTTTCGGATTAATTTTATTGACAATGTCCACTAGTTAATCTAATTCTTTACTGGAAGTAAGACGGTAAACAGACCTGAATCCCGGGACACCTAATGACTGATTTATGTACAATTCCCTTAAAAACACCCGGCTTGAAACATCTCAGAAATAATCGGTTCCGATTAATCCGGCCTGATTGTAAATTCATCGCCTAATCCTACCGTCTTCAAAGCTCATAATTTCCGAGGATTTAGTCGACTGCAAAGCGTCCGGGCTGTATTACCGGAGTAAAATACAAGGAACGTGATTGATCGTTATGATGCCTACCTGTTGCGTCCGTGATTGTAACTATATTATTCTCTCCGACCGGTATTATTTATTTTACCCGCTATATTACACAATCTTCGGCGAATCTCGTACGCAACAGGAATATTCAAATATTCTAGAGTTGTTCAGATTATAAATTACGGAACGTACCTTCCCATACTTGGAGCAGCATCGGTGGTCTTCGGCTGAAGCATCACCAAACAGGCCAACAAAAATATTATTGCGGGTACGTTATTCGAATTCACGGCCGTGGAAATCTTCATTTCTGAAAAAGAAACCCGAAATTATAGTTAAAATATGATTTCCTTGCATTATTCTCATAAAGTGTCAATTTTGACATCCAAGGCTAACTAGTTAGTTGGGATAGATTCATCACAGTGAGACTTATCACATAATTTTGAGGATGGTAAATAAAAAAGAATTTTAATATTTTTTAATATATTACCTATACTACCTATAGCACTATTGATTGCAAAATGCAAAATTATAAAGCAAAATTATTTACTAGAATTATTCTCATAAAATGTCAATGTCGATATCTGTCAATTTTGACATCCAAGGCTAATTGTCTTAGTTCGAGTAGATTTAAATGATAAATTTTAATGTCTGATGGACAATCCTAAAAATAGAAACATTTTTCAGTAATTAATACCGTTATAAAGAAAAAATAATTGTTATAAACTACCTATAACAATATTTGATTATTGATTATGCAGTCAATATGCCTAAGTCATCAATAATGAAAAATTATTCTCATAAAGTTTCAATTTTGATATCTGTCAATTTTGACATGAAACGTCAAAAAAAATCTGTCATCTAAAATTAATCCAAGGTAACAATATGTAGAGGGTCGTGTCGTTACGTCACCATTCAACTCGAATTAAAAAATTACTCCAAATTTCCAAAGTTTTATTTGAGTTACAATAATTCCGCGGCGAGAATAATTGTCGTAAATAGATTTGCTTTGTCGAGCCAATTGTTGGGTGAAGATATTAGGAAAGAGCGCAACTGGTAGAACTTCCACATCGGAAAAATTCCGTTTGTTCAAAACATTAGCGGAGATCCTTAAGTTACATTCATTAGGCGGATTTTGCATACGCAACGGGGAACTCGAGAGTTTCTCTTAAGCTAAATATCAACGGTAAATACGGCGTTGGGGCTCGAATTAAGAAGTTATTTGGGCGGAATAATAGGATTAGAATGGAGACACTTCATTTTTCAACTACTATCTAAACAATCTGATAAATGCGAAATTTACCACTAAATCCTAGTGATTTTTGGTACTACTTTTAATTTAAAGAAGTTGGTAACAATGACAACAATCAATGTAGGAGAGGCTATAGAAAGATAAAGCGTATCTTGCTCTCAATTTGTTTTATTTTTTCTGGATAAATGGCGCGTACTGTATTTTTTTGAACAAAGTGGGTATCTTATATCGAGCGAATGGGTTTATTATTTACGTTAACGCTCTTGGATATCGACGAAAAATCGCTTTTCCATATAGAGGGAAAAATAATGTATTATAGGAACATTTTATTTGGACAGTTTAACGAATGCGCTACATTTGAACGGGCAAAAAAAAATGTATATTTTTCGCGAATGCGTGCTAACGACAAATTCGATCCATCGCTTTTTATCGACGCCATTTACTTTGCATTACTTGGAATTTTCTCTATGCAAGTATCATTTATTTCAGGCATAAATTCACTCGACATACATTCACGCGATGTTATTCGGAGACATATTCCGTTGCCGGAAGTGTATTCTTAGACACATTAAAAAAATTTTAAAAGTTTATTAGCAATTAATTCGAAAGGGAAGGACACGAAAAAAAAAATCAACGGAATTCCAGGAGAATTACCTTTTAATATATTCCATCTCCAAGGAATTCCGTTTAAACGTAATTCCCCGGGGAAATTAAGGACGTTTTTAACTAATTACTTAACAAGTTGTTTGGAATTTAAACGATACTTTTAAATGACCTTTCTTCACCACGCCACGTTGATTTTCGCAACTCGGAAACCAGCCGCAGGATCGCCCGGATTCGGCACCGCTCGAATTAATCATTAATGTGACAACCAATTAGTGACGTATATTATTTATAGTCGGTACACCTGCCAGAGGTGTATTTCGCCGCAAACTCCCGCGAAATTAATGGAGAACGAATTGTTTTCGATTTAATTTTCTCGTCGATCGAACCGGCACGGTGGCGAATTTATTCGAAATTTGTGTTTCCACTAAATTCGATTGAAATTTCCTGTTTAACGGAATTTACGCGCTCCTGTCCAGTTTCCGAACGGCCGGGGAGATTTTAATCGAATATCTGAATTCGCTATGCGAATGTAAAAATATTCCGGAGATTTATATTCTATTATCAAGCGTAAACGATATGTAATTAATGAAAGAATAATAACTGGTATTTCTCGTGGTGGTAAAGAAATTTCGTTATATTCGCGAATATTTTAATCTTATATTTGATTTTACAAAATAAATAGAACACGGAAATCTCCTAAAAGGCGAAGAGATCAAGTAGAATTGGAAAAAATACCAACTCTACAGGGACCAGAAACGGCATCCAAAAATACAATGCAGTTAGCTGCGTAACTCCAATTAGCGAAGGCCTTGTTAATAGGAAAAAAAAGAGGAGCATTTTTACGCGAAACCCCGAGCGTTTCGCGTAGTAAAAAATCAATTTTTACAATACCGCGAGTATGTATGATACGTTTTTTTTTATTTTCTGCTCGACCCATTCGATTTCGACATCTCGCACGGGCAATTTCCATTCGTTACGAGTTGGAATATGAAAGATACGGGCACGGCAAAGTCGCTTATTTTTCAATCACATCGCCTTTTTTGCCGCGTAAAAATCGCGAAATACGTGCAATTTCGGCGCGCTAAATTAAAACACTTCGCATCTCCGGCAAAAGGGCTTTTTGCGAATAGCGAATTTCGCCGGAATTTACGGCGGATTGTAATTGGAGTCGAATTATTAATACGTTCATTATCCGATGCCGCGCCGCGCCGCTTGGATAAATTATAATTCGGTATAAATGCGGCTAATTAAATTAGAATTGCATTAGAATAACGCGTGTCGGGCCAAACGAGCGGGCGTTATTACCGCGACAGGATCGTGTGGATAATAACAATTTTTCTTTCCCCATTTTTTCGCGCCCTCGAAACGGCGAAAGGCCCTTTAAAAAGCGCTTCGGGATGCTGCGGGAGTCCCCCGAGTTTATCGCATTGTCGATACTAAGGAATATTGTCACGTCAGTAGACGAAAAAAAGGCAGTTTTTTAAAAAAAATTATTTAAGAGCATACCTATACGCTTTTCTATAGGTATTTGTATATGCGAAATGGGAAACGTGGAAAATATTATATCTTGTGTACTTTACATAAAATTCGTATTAGAAAAATTTGTTCAAAGTTCACCGAAATTTCGCTCATAAAGTGTGCTTCGTATTTTCTACAAGATTTTATTTCCATATATTCTACTACTGGTGTAAATTGCACGTGAAAGCTTTTTGCGTATTCTTGTTGAATTCGATTACTTGCATATATAGAATGATTTCAAAATTTTGCATACAGACCTGTGCAAATTTGCACGCTTAATGGTCAGTTAGTGCAACAAAGACAACTTTCATTAGTCTCACATAAACAAGTAAAAGATAGAGTGAAATTGGTGGGATGTGGGATTGCAAATTTCTCACTCTAACCGCTGATTTTAATAATCTTTTTTTGTTGAACTCATAAAATTTACACCATATTTCAAACAAATTTGCACTAATCTGCAGAATATTTTTTGGCTCATAAATTTTTGTGATTTATTTTTTTATTAATACAAACCAATTTTTTACAAAACAATTCTATGCTAGTTATTCGATGCTTAGTTAAATTATCTCAGCCAATCAGCATCGCGCTACATATAAATCGTGGTTGCGTGAAATGACAGTTCGAGCTGTCAAAACTTCAAAAGTTATTTTTTGACGTTTCGAGGAGAAAATGGAGAAATACATTAACCGAAGATACGTGAGACATGATGTTTACAACAAAATCATTGCTGATTTAAGTATATTTTTATATTTTGTATCTATTTTTAGTTTGAATAAAACCTATCTTAATGCGAATTCTAGATAATTCGTACGCAAAAAAACCGGGGTCCTTTACAACATAAAGCTAGCGGCCGTTTTAGGAACCCTGTTTTATCCTCAAATAACGGGACACTTTTTCGACACAGACCTTAGAAATATAGGTCCGTGGTAGGAGGCTTTAACCACGAGATTAACCTCACTTAACCGTCAAAAATCAAAACCGAGCAAATAACTTAGGCCTTTTACGTTGCGGAAAATAAACCAATTTAGTACCAAACAACCGATCTTATTATCTACACAAAGATTCTTATTATCACGCAAACTATACTAAAATCAACTAGATATATCCGGGGCAATTACGCGTCTCGAATATACTTTTCGATTTAAGGTAAGCGAAATTAAGCGCCATCCTAAATTCTACTTCAACGAGTTTAACGTAAATCGCGCCCCGATAAATGACGCCGTTAAATGAACTATGTAAGTGAAATAAATCCAAGTTAGTCGGGGACTTTCTTTATAAAAATCCCGTAAAAGACGTTTTAATCAACGTATACACGCGAAAACCCGGTGTCGCATCGTTCGGATTTTACTGTTTAGCGATCCCCGTAATTGCTCCCAGTCATACATTGTACATAACACACGCGCTCGAGATTCATTTAATCGCCTATAGTTCGTTTATTTTAAACCAACCATGACGTCATTACGCCTTTATGCTGACTAACATAAATTCGAGTCTATTTCAACCCCCCCCAAAATCGAAATTCGAAGCATTCGAACGCTCGATTCTCTCAAATATGTGCGGGGGATACAAAGTATAACGCGATAATTGGGGTTAAACGTGACCCCAAACTGCTCATGAGTAAACCTACCCCTTTGCAAACACACAAAAAAATCCTTCGAATCCATCAGATTTATGCTCGAACAGCAAGAAACGACTAGAGAAAGTATTTATATACAGGGTTTCATTAATTTTTATACCATAAAAACCACTTTCTTAAAGCAATAAACCAGTGATATCTATTACATACAAAAATTAGCTTTTTATTACTTCTTCCTGACCGAGAACAGAGTATAATTCTACAGTATATTATAATTATATGAGCTAAAATATTCTGTAAAAATAAAGGTTTTTTTCTGTCCTATTTTCTATACTCTGTTCGCTATTTAAATAAACCTTCTTAAATCAGTAAACCAGTGCTATCATTTGCCTACAAAAACGAGTCTCTATTAAATACTTCCTCCTGTTCGCGAACGGAGTATAAATAAAAACAAAAATAGGTAAAAATACCGAATTTATTTCGTAGTAATAGGCAATAACTGTAACAACAACAACAACATTGAAGGCATAAGCTCCTTCCAGAGGGAGAAATAAAGCGTACCTGCGAATTTCAATCCAATAAAAATTGTATTACAGCAGGAACCCGGAGGGGAGCATTTCGATTAGAGAACCGGCCGGAAAAAAGACCAACTCTCGCAAAGTGAATATACTGAATACGTCGAGAGTTTTATTATTGGACTTTTTTTTCCTCCCGATGCGTATATATGCGGCATTTCCTCGATTTTAAACCACTCGAAGGGCGTTTCAGTGGGGCTCCTTATTTATCAAATTCGCGTACCTTAATCTACCCTGCGAGAATCCGATGGGGTGCAAGGGGTGTCGTGTTATAACGCGAATTAATAAAGCGCACGTTAATTATTTAACGAAACCGTTAAATATTAAATTCGACGTTGCTCGACTAGGAAAGGGCAGGAACTTTAATTATTATTGTTGCAAAGATAGTAAAGATTCATACAGTGCTTGCTCATAGAGATTTTTTCATGAATTATTTACCTAAATGACAATATTAAAATAGCGTTTCAAAAATTGACATTTGTCACAAAAATATCTTAAAAAATCATCAAATTTACTTTAAAAAACACCTTAAAAAAACTAAAAATTTGGAACACGCCGCTAGAACAAACCAATTTTTCACCTGATGATGCTTTGGAAACACCGAAACGTCCGGTGAAAATTTATTAGGATTTTAATTCCCTGAGAATTAAACTTTTTTAATGCTCATAGATAAGAATTTTACTGTCGTTTCGAATTAACGTTGAAGTTCCGCACCTTAATATGTACTCCGCAATGAAATCATAGATAGGGAATCAAGTTAAAAACTTCCGGGGAGTTTTAGGCGAGTTTTCGGAGGATCCGCATCCGGAGGGAACCCGGTGAAATTTAGTTAGATACGTGGCGAAGGCAACTTATATCGAGATGAAATTAAACACTGCATTGGCCCGAATATCCCGAGAAGCAAAAGGCCTTGCTACTCTCGAAATAAGAAGAAGTAAATTATGTATTTACTCCGTTTTTTTTTTAAATCGAGTTTAATTGTTAGGTAGATAAATTAAAGCATAATAAACTTATGCAGTTTATTAGCGAGTTTATTAAAGTTCTCTTGGATTTTTTTTTGTATTCCGCGCAAACTTCCATTGTTCGATTTCGCATTTTGATGAAAACAATTCCCTTCCAACTGGATTATAATGGGATAATAAACGGGAGAACAAGTTACCCGGCGATTTCGGCATCGTCTTCGTATTTATTAATATTTGTTCTATTAATTAGTGTACGAATCGGCGTGTAAAATCGATATTCAAATACGAATTAATCCGTGCGTGAAGAATTGATTAGAGAAATCAAAGTTCAAACATGTTTTGTACCTTTGAGCAACCATGTTGCGGGGATTATACGGTTTTATATTCCTGTTGTTGGAAATTACCTGTTGTAAAACATGTCGCAGCAATCGGCGCAATCGGAATTCAAAAACAAAAATTGATTATCCTGTCTCCTTCATAACTTTATTACTTACTATAAACTTTTATACGGCTTAATCGATACAATTTTTTTACTGCATCGCAAACATAATAAGTCCGGGCGAATTTAATAAGTCCCTCGTTGAAACATAAAAATAGTCGTTTCGTAATTAATTTCCGAATTAATCTGGATTAACGATTTAATAAAAACCGCACCATCGCGAAATATTACTCGCTATATGCAGTGACAAAATAACGGTTATTAAGTAACGTACGTTCCGGCGTCTCTACACTCGATTTTTGCGTCCCGCCTCTATTGTGCGCAAATTCGTTCCTGACTATATTATATTCCGAATTAATATTCACCATAGCGAAATTATTTAGCTAAAGTTATTAGTGTAATACTGAAACATGGGCGGTTACGTTATTACAAAATACTTCGACTCAGTCGTGTCACGTATAATATGTGCGGAAATTCGCCCCAAAGACGCGAAGAAAGTCGAAAATCCCCAATGTTGCCTTTATGCCATCGACAGCGAGGAAAGTTTATTCAACACGTCGGCTGCCATGCGAGAAAAATCAAGTCGTTGGATGAAATTTCCTCGAGAGGAAAAAATGCACTTGATCTTCGAAATATTACTTGTCGGGTGGGTAAAAGATATTAAATTCCCCACGCAAGGCAGAAATATTCGTACCGGAAAAGATCTATCGGATTACGTGCTTTATTGGAGTTTTAAGTACGCGATTTTCCTATAATTTTCCATTTTATTAGAGGCTCTTATGCAATATTTACTAATCTTCGATGGAATTCAGAAGAATCGTTTCGCTCTAATCCTCTAATTATTACGATTTATTTTTTCTAAGTTGGCAATAAATCTCGATATACCTACACATAAGTATAGAAAGAATAAGAGATATTGTGGAATTGTTACTTTCTCATTCTAACCACTATTATTGTAATAGAGTCTTTCTTTGTTCAGCTCTTATTGCATACAAATTTGTACGTTGGTAACACTTTCATTGAAGTACCCCTTCAATTCTGGTATAAAAATAAGTTTTTTTTTTAGAAAATCGATTACTCAATTTTATATTAGGACGTTGGTTCGAGATAATGGATTTCAACTTAGCTTACATCATTTCCATTTTTCGAAGTTATCTCACCTTCCGCAGAGATATATTTTGCATAATTAGATTAATCGCAGGGCTCGTAAACAAGAGATTAAAGGCATAACGTCGAGCTATTGAGTAATGTATTTTTCTAATTAACAGTTTGCAATGCCCTAATTTAATTAGACAGATGCGTTTTAATTAAAAAGAAAATAAAATACTAACGAGATTTAAAAAAAACATACATCACAATTACGATCAGAAATCTATTAATTAGGATTCCGAACGAAATAAATCCCATCTATTAATCAATCCAATTTTCTTTATGCATTATTTAATTTCATTTGCGTTTTTGATTCTCGAACCCGTCGAAATTAATTCGTGTAATAGTATAATTTTGTTATCTTAGGAAAATAAATTAAACAATGATTTATCAGCCAGAATAAATAGAGCACGGGAATTATCAATAAATTAATTCGATCATTATCGTTCGATTGCAGGTAATTAATCCTACCGATTTGATTGAAATAATTAATCAGGAATATGTTTGTCATATCCGCAGAAAATGAAATTTATAGTGGAACAAAAACGAATTTATTTTCCCTTGCGTACCAACGCAATAATGCAGTTGCATTCTATCCATAATTTAGCCTAACTAATCCGCAAATTTCATCCCTTTGAAACAACCAACTTAATATCTAATCAGCTTCTAGTCCGACGCGAACTATCAGGAGCAATTAGTTTAAAACTCCACTTCATTTCCAACGGCAGGTAACTTCATTAGGCCCGTTTTATGTGAAACTACTAATTACATAGTTACACTTTAGTCGAATTTAAATTAATGCCCTAATCCCCAGCTGTGTGAATTTTACACCATACAAATAATTTTTGTGGTAATAATAATAATTTTTTGTGATATGAAGTAATGAGTGATTCTTATGTAAAAGTATCGATTAACATTGACATAGAATTTCGATAGCTACTTAAGCTTGAAGATTTATTCGATTGGAGTAAAGCTCGAGAAACTATAATAGAGCTCCCTTTGTTGGAATATTCCGATTCAAATTCGAATCTAAGTACATACTTAAAGTAGAAGGTATTAACTTTGGAATGTAATCGTTAGTTAAAATAATTTTTGAGTTGAAAAAATGCGAATTAAAAACGAAATTTAGAGAATTCCATCGTACAATTTTTTTTTTTTCAATTAGATTCCGAACTCTCCCCGAAAGTAGGGAGAAACCCGGAGAAAGCGGGATTGAAAAATAACCGAAAAAAAAACGCCGGTAAATTAAACCGCAAATTTCCCAAATTATTACCGGGGGTTAAAAATTTAGCGAAAAAAATAAACTTACTGTTCGATCGAAGGGGGGGCACCTGTTGTTCCTCGTAGACTTGCCAAAACGGTCGCTAGCTGTTGCGAGAGATGCTCGACGAGGCGTAATTGTTACCACTGAGAGCGCCGAAATCGGCCCGTACGACTTTATAGAGAGCGTCGCGACGCTCGGACCGCCTTCCCGCCAATCGGGCGTCGCCTCTACTTTCTAATGCCGGGGAGGGTGGCATATTTCATCTATTCCTAATTCCGGGAAAAAATAAAACAAATAAACACACAGGTAAAATATACCGCCTCTAATTTATATACAGGGTGAGCCGAAATTGTTTCATATACTACTCATAAATTCACCAACATCAACTTGTATAGTATGTATTGTTTATTCATCAACTATTGTTCAAAAATTTAAATACCTACTTGTATCTAATAAATAAGAAAATTGTTTTTTTAATCAGCGAGTCAGGGCGCTCTGTGGGGGTTTATACAAATCATCGATGAATTCCCCCGCAATCGATTTCCCAGACGTTCTGTGTAAATAATGGCGGTTTAGTGCGTTAATTCGCTGGTACACAAGAGTGCGTAAAATGCGGATTGTTATGTTCCCTCGCAAGCAAATACAAGCGAAGATAAATCCGACGGGTAATTTGATGGGCGCGATATTAATGTGCAAGCACCGAAACCGTAATCGAAAATCCTACGAGCCGATATCGAAGGGAAATTGATTTTTTTTCCCGACCGTTTATTAATATGTATTTGAGCATCCACGGTTTCGGATTAAATAAACCATTGGTGTAAACATGTTTTGTGTGCAATCAAATTAACATAATCGCATATTTGTTGAACGACGTTGGCTTTGGATTTACCTCTTCCCTGATCCCACTCCAATTTCGTTCCTATAAGTGTCATATAGTTTGACGTTTCAATTATTTTAATTAATTTGACGTTTAAATGACGTCCACGGCTTACTAATAAAATTTAACAAACGGAGAAATAACATCGTTTTTACAACGGGAGAAACAAGGACGGTAGATTGAAGTGAATAAATTTTGCTTGTACTGATAGTAGATATTTTTAAATGGAAAAGTGCAGTTTTTCCCTCTTTTATTAATATGTTTTTAAGCATCCAGTTTGGGATTAAATAAACCATTGACGTAAACATGTTTTGTGTGCATAATAAAATGTATGTGTGCATAATATGTGCATAATAAAATGAACATAATCGCATATTTGACGATACTGTTGAACAACGTTGGCTTTGGATTTTCCTCTTCTCTGATCTCACTCCAAATTCGTTCCTATAAATGTCATAATATATTTTGACGTTTCAATTATTACAATTAATTTGACGTTTAAGTGACGTCTACGGCATACTAGATAATAAAATTCCACAAATGTAGAAATAACATCGTTTTTACAACGGGAGAAACAAAGACGGTAGATTAAAGTAAATAAATCTTGCTTGTACGGATAGCAGGTATTTTTTAAACGGGAAATGGAAACAGTGCAGTAATGGAACGAAGGTCCCGGTGCAGTTAAAATTAATAAATGAACCTGAAGGGTCCTATTAGGAGTAAATTTATCGTCGAAATGCGTAATTCAATGCCGAACGTTGCTTAGGTGGATTACTGCCAATTACGGAGCGCTTAATTGGAGGAAGAACAGTCTAATTATAATTACGTGGGAGGTAACCCGCCGATAAATCGGAAATGTATCTTCGCGCAATAATAATAGAATAAAAATTCCCATCGAAATTGAAAATGTATATTTTCTATAAACGAAACACTCTAATATAACTTGGTCTTGTATTATATTCAATTAGTATGACAATTAACATTAAATATTGTAATGTCTCGACATGATTAACAGGTTTCACTTTATTCTTCGTAGTAACAATGTTTCATTTTTATTATTCATATAATTTCGAGAGATAAAATAAAAGTCTAAAAAAATATCCCCTTACAAAACAACACTGTATACAATAAACATATAAATAAATACTTTGTCAGTTCTTACTATCTACAAAAAGAAGCCTAAACGAAACGAACTTAAAATTAAATGGAAATGTTTCAAGATATGGCTTATTAAAATTCGCTATGATGTAATAAATAAGAAATGAAAATTGAGCATATTCGTGAATTACATTCTCGTTCGAAAGCCTGTAATAATTCCATTAAAGGCTCTCAAATAATCAGCTAATACATCACTGTTTCCAGACATCATTGTGTTAGTAAAAATTTGGCTAGTTTCGACGATATCCCGAAACAGCGAACGTTCCACGTAAAAAAAATTTCAACAAATGGATCGCAAAATGCATCATTTTACACCCTAGTAATACTGTTATACATTTTTCCACTAAAATCTAATCTATTGCTAAACAGCTTCGAGCTAGCTTCGACTATCTCCCTGCATACGTATCGATAATCGATTTAAATGTATATTTATAATTCGGTATATGTTTCTTTGTTATATTACAAATAAGCCAATTTTTCTTATACAGCTATCGCAAAGTTGCCTCGAATATCTACTAAATAAACGTCCAAATTGTTGAAATTTTTGTAACAAATTCATCTATCGTTCGTTCGAACTAAAAGAAATAAAAAAACTTCCTTTGGGGGCGACATGAAATACAGGGTGTTACTTAATTGAGCGCCGATACTTCAAGATGTGAATATTTGGATGATTTTAAAACTGTAACACCCCGTAGTTTTAAAACTAAGAGGTTTAGGATACATATTGATATAAAGTTTCCTTCTTAAAATCAAATATTCACATCCTAAAGTATCGGCACTCATTTAATTAACACCCTGTATACAACTTATTCAGTATTAAACGGTACGATATCAGCGGAACAGTCAATTTGCGTGCTGTTGTAAATATAGTAAATATGCCGAGGAGATTCTCCCAAGTTTCCGATTTCACGGGATTTAATTGTCACCCTCACGGCATATCCACTCAGTCTAAAACGAGTTGTCAATATTACTTTCATTTGTACATAAACATACGATATACATTCGTGTGCGTTCTACAAAATGTCCTTTTACTTTCCTCCGAGTAAACCCAATCCGATTTTCAATGGCACTGAATTAATTGCTCGTCCAATATACAGGGCGTCCCGCGTAAAAACCGACACAGAGAAGGGAGGTGTTGTTAACCAGTTCGCCCTGTATATGTAGAATCGAACGCTATGATAACATTTATGGTCAATGCGCGTGTAACAGGCGAATTTTTTAAATATTTCAAGCATTAGCTGGGCGTTCGCGGTGTTGATTAAAATTAAACGAAACGACTAGCGGGATAGAAATTTTTTCAACTACATTCGCTATGTACACGATTCGTTATATTGCCAAATACCGAGAAAAAAAAACGGTTCTTATTTTCATCGTAATGTTAGCAATTGCCATTATAATTTATTTACAAACAATCGAATCGAGAAAGTAAGAATGTTTTTTTATCTCATTTACACTTGTACGTTTAACTATTCAACTCGTATATTTCGACATTTATTGTAATTGTAAGCGTGCTGCAACACGTCCGAATATATTTATAATAAGGTACACGATTAATTATTTTTTCACTCCAATGCGACGCCACTGGTTTGATTACTGTGAGTCTAGAGTGCGCAAATTTACATGCTGAAGTGTACTTAATAATAAATTTTGGGGCCGATTTCATAATAAACCGTTAAAGAATCCTTTAACAAAACGAAGCTTCAAGATAAAGAGTCCTTTAGAGGATACTTTCGAGATGTAAGATTAGGGAGAAAAAGACGTATTAAAGATATTTTAAAGCGTTGGATAACCTAAAAGCGGTATAATCGGAAATTGGATGGAAATTATTGTCCAAAAATCAACACTTTACTCTTAAAGAATCCTTTAAGTTTATTATGAAATCAATGACATCTCTTAAAGGATCCTTTAAAGTTAAGGAATCATTTATATCCCTTTATGAAATCGGCCGGTAGAGACTCGAGAAAGATGATTGGAAGAATATTGGAATTTTTCAATTCGTAAAAAAACTTACTTGTTTTTTTTAACGCGGGAATCGTTAGAAGCTCCGGAATCGTTTAGGACTATCTAGAACTATCCAGAATAGAATTCGAGTAAACAAGCTGTCGCAGCGGCAAAATCATATCACATTTTCGCAGTTCTTGTATAACAGAAACACCTGAAGGGTAAAAATAAGGGTTAATAAGGGATTTTCTCGAATAATTATCGTGTTCTCTAACACCCTAAGCATAATGCACAATCTGTAAGGTACAATTATTATTATATTATCCATCTTACAGGCAAGTCTCTATGTAAAGTTCGTACGTTTTAAAATGCCAACGATGTCACGAGTCAGCCCGTTGCAACGTTGCCGGATCGACATTGAAATCCTTTATAGTACTGATGTTTATAGATTAAAAAAAAGTCAGAAATAGTAGAATTTAAACAAGAAAATGAACATCGAAAGGAAATACGAACTCGCGAGTATTAATTTAACTGAATATTATAATTCTTATTCATCTAGAATCATCTAGAACGCTCCAGAGTCATTTAGAACGCTCCAGAATCATTTAGAACGCTCCAGAATCATTTAGAACGCTCCAGAATCATTTAGACCTGTCTGGATTCATTTATAAGGTTCCAGAAAAAGCGATATGGCAACAACGCATCGGCATTTCAACCGCACGTCGTAAAATTCCCCTAGTCAAATGGCCGAATTAACATTGACCCTAGGGACATTTCGAATTGCGTGGAACGTCATTGTCATTTTAAATCGTACGAACTTCACGTCGTACACTTCAAACGAAACCAATACAAATAACGTACAATAAATATTAATCGATCGATCGAATCGAATCGGATCGGATCAGATCGCTAAACGTACGCAATGTAAACGCGTCCATCGGCGCTGCGGCGTCGGCGGCGTCGCTGTTGCTATCTGTCTCATGTCTGCAGCGCCGTCGTCATTTCGTCGTGGATGGCGGCCAATTCCTGTATTCTCGACAACAGCTGTTGGTTCAACGTCAACAGCACGTGCTTCTGCGATTCGTACGTACTTTGGGCTATCTCCAATTCGGATTGTGCTAGTTTGATTGTGCTTTGGAGCTCCTGGTTGTCCGATTGCAGCGCCTTGATTTCGCTATTTTTGCTATCTAATTGCAATTCCAGCTGGTCGACGCGCATCCGCAGGTTCTCCTCGGTCATGTCGCCGCCACCTCGAAAAACAACAACAAAATAAACGCATTCTTCAATTTACTAGTAACGTTTCTAAAGTTCTCTTAAGCAAAACTTATTGGTGATAGACTTGATTGTGCAGTCTGATAGTTGCATTTTTGTAACCATGGAAGAGCATCGAAGATTGCTGCATCTTCCATGGTTGCAACAACAGAATGAAAACACCTGAATCATACCGAATAAAGTTGCTTATCAGTTCCTTCGAAAACATTCCTCGCATTATTATTATTATAAGTACCTTTATTGCCGTCCATATCCAGCTGGTTTCGGTTCTTCAATCTCATGTTTTCCTCCTTCAAAGTGGCCAGCTGTCGCTTCCATTCGTCCACGTTGGCGGTGCTCTCTTGCAGGGCGCTGGTCAGCCGGGCGTTGTTGCTCTTCAACGTGGCCAATTCGATTTCCCATTTCTTGGCGTTGGCGGAACTGGAACGAAATATTCGCGTTGTTAGCGGCGAGCGTGAGGAACAAACAAGATGCGAATTTTCGATTGCGTACCGCTCGATAAATTAGCGATTCGCCGGTTTCCTCGTTGATTACGGGAGTTACGGTGCGCACCAGACCGAGTAATTAGGTTTAATTGGTACGTTTCTTCGCGGCAATCGGGCTAGATTCGGATCGCCGTTGCCCAAACTTTGCGCGATTTGTAAACAATTCCTTCTTATACAGGCTGGTTATTAATTGAGTGCCGATACTTCGAGATTTGGATATTCGGATGATTTTATGAAGAAAAGTTTATATCAATATATGTCCTAAACCTCTTAGTTTTCGAGCTACAGGGTATTATAAGTTTAGAAAAATAATAATAACTTTTCTATCATAATTTTCTTATTACTACAGATATTTTTATGAAATTTTGTACACACTTTTTAATTATTAAGGAGCATTTTTGAGGCAAAAGATTTTTTTAAATTTTTACCAGTGGCGTCCGTACGGAGTTTGAACTGAGTACGTTTGAAGAAAAAATGGTACGCCACTGTTTTTGTTTTCTAAAAACCATAATTATTTTTAACATCCTCATTTATTTTGGATCAAATTCGTCTTGAAGCCTAACTTTCGTACGACGCACCATTTTCGCGTAAAGAAATAAAAACCAAAAAAAATTTTTTCCCAGTTCATTGAGACTGCTTTTGATATTTTCTTGAAATTTGGTAGGCCCCACTATGCATGGAATTTTTTTTTTGGAACAAAAATGAATTTTCTACACTATTTCCAGTGACGTCCACGTCCGAAATTTCATAAAAATATCCCGAGTAATAAGATAATTATGATAGAAAAGTTATTTTTTTTCTAAAACTGTAACACCCTGCAGCTTGAAAACTAAGAGGTTTAGGACACACATTGATATAAACTTTTCCTTATAAAATCATCCAAATATTCACATCCTGAAGTATCGGCACTCAATTAATTAACACCCTGTAGTTGGCTGTTGTAATAATTTGTTAGGAATGAGTTATACTACAGGAGTAGAGCCCTAATGTTGTACAACAGAATTCCCTAAAAAAATTTATATTACATACACAGTATGCTTGGGGTATGTAGAAAATTTGAGGTGTAAGCTCTGATAATTATAATTCACAGATGCATTTTGTCATGGTTATGCGCAGATATGCGTTTTCTAAAAAGAAAATCTCGACTTTCCATGCGAAAAATTACACGGTACGTATGCGTAAGAAATCCATCAAATAGGGTTAAATTATAGCGCCTGCAGTTACGAAAAATGTATATTATATTCCTCATTTATAGCAGAATCAACACAGACTTCAGTAAATGTTCCTCGAGTATCCCCAAGGAATAAAAGTGGCGAAAAATTTAAATAAATTTCGCAGTAGACATTCGAAATGAACTACTGCTTTAATACCGATACGATCGCAATTTTTCCACCCCTCAAATATCGCAATAATCGCGGAAATAAACCGCTTTTTCTGCAACACGCAATTAGACTAATAAATTAATAATAAAAAATGTCGACACGCGCCGATCAGAAAGCCGCGCTCTCGCTTCGATAATCCGCAAACGCGATTTTATTCGATACGAAAGAAAAAAAATGCAAATCGCAAGTAAATCATTAAACGTTGCATGTGTTTTTACAAACATCCGTTCGCAAACGGCACCGGCTTATCAATACGCACGCCGTTGCGTAACGGAAGGCGTCTCGGCCTCTACTGTACACAGTTTGTTACTACACACTATCGTTTTCGCAACCCGTTAATTAAAAACCAGGTAGAACACACATCGCGATGTGCTAATCGATCCGCAAGACGACGGCGCTCTTCCTTATTCCACCTAATCACTACATAATTCTTTTTATCGACGCTGCTCATCTCGCTTATCGCTCTAATAATAAAATCTACCTATTAGACTCTTTTAATGGGTACCTAAATTTGTAACGTAATTCGGTAACAATCTCATTAACACCTCCGCGCCCGCAACGAACCGACCATTGTTCGGTGCAATGCATCGGAGATTGGAGAAAGCAGGTATCACAGGGGGAGATCCCCTCGCACAACCCGCCCGTTGTTCCACTATAAAACTCCAACCATCATTTCCTGGTAGCGTCAGTTTCGTTTTTACCGTGCCACAACCGTTCAATAACACAAAAAAATGTTCGCTACCACTAAAGTGAGTACATAACGCAGTCGTAATTGTTACATTTTTTAACGGTGAATTTATATTCCAGATTTTATTCGCCTTATCCTGCCTCGGTCTGTGCAAAGGTGGCCTCTTAGAGGGCGGTTACGAAGACCACTACGGAGGAGGTCTCGAATTGCACGGGGACTACGGTGGCGGACACGAAGACTATTACGTGAGTAAAGCGTGCTCGGAATTGTGCATTAAAATTGTTCAATCAACATGTTTGTTTCAGGCGCATCCGAAATACAAATTCAACTATGCCGTTCACGATCCTCACACGGGAGACGAGAAGCAGCAGTACGAAGAGAGGGACGGCGATACGGTGAAGGGGCAGTACTCGCTGAAAGAGGCCGACGGTACTACGAGGATAGTGCAGTACGAAGCCGATAAACACAACGGTTTCAACGCCGTGGTGCACAAAGTGGGCGAGCCGTCGGTTCATCCGGAGGCGTACGAATCGTACGGTGGCGATCACCACTATTGATTCATTCGCTAGTTCAATACGTAAAAAATTTACACGGCTTTCGACGATGGTAAAATTCCAGAGAAATTCTCGATTCGTTAAAACTGTTTTTTTTTTCGTACGGTTTCGTACGCAACCTTTAGAGCCGATTTTGTGATATTTTCGTACATCGTATCAGTATTATTTATAAGCATATAGGCGTATTTTTGTAAAATAAATAGCACTCACGAATGGTTACGAAATTTACTAGCTCACCTTTGCGCCAAAGCCAACTTCAATCTGTCGTTTTCGTACTTGAGTTGCATATCTATGGGACTCGTGTTGTACTGGCCTTTGTCGACCTTCACCTGATGGCTGGGGCTTTCGTTGCTTTGTATGCCCGATATGGAATGGCTCCTGGGATGCGGGATCTCGTCCTCGGGCTTCGAATTCGCAGAAGTCACCATCGGATTACCTAGTAATAAAACTACAATAAACGCGTTACTAACAGCAAGAGATAACAATGTACCTGGCGGTTCTAGTAGATTATCAGTCGATGAATCTGCAGCGGCAGTCGCAGCCCTAGCGCTTATAGGGCTGGCATTCGCGCTAGTTACAGGAGTGACTACGGAACCCCCGTTGGCAGTTACTTTGCTTATTGCTGATCGAGTGGCTTCTTTGACTTCGTTAAATTTATCGATAAACTAAAACATCAACATATAAGTTATAACTAAGTATTACGAACACCGTAGTGTTACAAATACCTTCTGTAGTTCGGCTTCGGAGGAAAATCCCAAGCCGTAAACGGTATTAGCTCGAACGTCGGACCATTGGCCGAATTTCTGCGAGGTCTTGGTGAACGTCATGTTAGGTGTGACGGTGCTGTTGATGACGGCCTTCTGTCCCTCGACGCTGATGATTCTGTACAAGCTTCTGGAGGAGTCGTAGAAAAAGGAGACGTTGACGGCGGCGCTGGACGCCGGCATCCAGGACCGCTTCGTCTTCGGATCTATGTGGAATACGTGGGCTTTGCACGTGAAAATCGGCTGCTCCCTGTTGGAACGATCGTGTAATGTAAGAATGCGGAAGTTCTCGTTAAAAAAGGATGTAATTACGATTTTTATGAATTAATCGGTAAACGCGCTCGGTGCGGATTTTAAGATCGAATTATCGTTTTGCTAGAAATAGTATGCATAAATAAGAGTACCCACCCCATTGTATCCTTTCCTGAAGTCATTTATTCAGAAAAAACAACCAAAACAATTAACTTTCCACAACTTTACTGTCACTGTCACCTATCAATCCTGTCATTTATCGTCCAACCTCAAATTAAAAAAAAATATTTATGATCTTTACTGCTGAGGTTATTCAGATACTATACGTAGTGTCATCTTTGTGGAAAAGCAGCAAACATCGATACCAACATGAAGTTATCTGCATAAACGTCACGTGAATGACTGTATGGGTAGTTTTGTTTAACAAATTGACAATTGGCTTTAAAATGGCTATGCCGTGGTTTCATATATGTAATTCTGTAATGATAAGATGAAATTTATTTCATAGGTGTGTCTGTTGAATTAATCGAAAAAAAACGCTATTATGAAGGAATTCAAACGAGGTTCGATCGTCGTCGTATGTAGTTGCTCGAATTCCAGTGCCGACGCGTCGGAATCGGTTAACGAAAGTGTCGAAACATAAATGAGGGTTAGAAAAGATATTTGTTATTGAATATTATCGGTGATCGGGGTGCATTAGGAGCGAGCAAACATGTGGAATATGATGTGCGACGTGATGCCCACGATATCGGAGGACAGTATCAGCCAGAGGAGTTCGCAATTCTCTGGCGAAGACGCGAATTTCGAGCAGCTCATGGTGTCGATGCTCGACGAAAGGGACAAGCTAATGGACAGCCTGAGAGAGACTCAGGAACGTTTGGCCGAGACTGACTTGAAGCTGCAGGAAACCGAGAAGGAACGGGACTCGTTGCATAGACAAATCGCCGCGAATCTACCGCAAGTAAGCTCAATATACCTGCTAATATCTTCATTTTTTTTTCTTATATTGATTCTTCTGGTATACACCAATTTTACAATATTTTTTTTCTATTTAAGTATTTAATCCCGCTTTTAAAAAACTTGCAATACCACACTAATGAAACAGTTATAATTAATATACATTTTCGTTAATTGTTAATTAAGAGAGCACAATAATTACAACAAAATATATCTATTAACAGCACAATTAAAGCTATTTAATGAACGCATTAATCAGCTACAAATAAATTTCTAGGAATTCTCAACACTTACCAAAGAATTAAACGCAGCTAGAGAGCATTTGCTCGAAAGAGAAGAAGAAATATCCGAACTGAAAGCCGAGCGGAATAACACTAGGGTGAGCGTAAATCCCACAATCCCTCTCTTAACCAATCTTATTAAATTTGTATCCTATTAGCTACTTTTGGAGCACCTGGAATGCCTTGTATCGAGGCACGAGAGATCCCTGAGAATGACCGTGGTGAAACGCCAGGCGGCCGCCCAATCGGGAGTTTCCAGCGAAGTCGAAGTCCTCAAAGCGCTGAAAAGCCTGTTTGAACATCACAAAGCTCTAGACGAAAAGGCAAGTAATCTACACTCGTTTCTATTGCCAATTAAATATATTCGTTTTAAAGGTTCGAGAGAGATTGAGAGTGGCTCTGGAGAAGAATACCACTTTGGAGGAGGAGCTGACGGCAACCAAAGAAGAGGTTATTAGAATTAACGGGGTATTAACGAGTGTTTTTATGTATGTTTTGTTGTAGTTACAACAATATAAGCAGGGCGTTTTGCCATCGAATGCAGTAGCGAATGAAGAGAAACCCAAAGAAAACGGACAGCTTGATCTAGCGGACCAAATTACTACTGCTAATAACAAGGTAATTTTTATTATAAAGTTTCGAACCGTTCGATGCGGTTGTGTCGTATGAAATTTTCGAAAAAACAAACGCCTACTATGAATAGTAGACGTGCTATTTGTCGAGTATAAAGTGGGAAAAATTCTGCAAATTGATTTGTACAAATTCCCCAAAAAGTTAAGGTAGGAATGGAGTATTTTGTTTCGATAGCATGCGTGTATATGTTAATATAAAAATATTAATCATTGTGAAAGTATTTCTGGTAAGTATGCAATGTGATTTTCTTGAATTGTATTTTCGATTTTATTTTTAATTTAATTACGCCTATTGTATGTTTGCCTATGAAAGCGTATACTTATACGAAATTATCTTTATAAATTTTCCAACATCCAATCGTCTTGTATCTCCTACTTTAATTACACGTCTTTTTATTGCAGAATTTTTCTTTATATACGATTACGATATTACGAATCTCTCTTAGCATGAAACTCCTTCGTAAATAAATATACCGAACACTTGTGTAAAATTTCTTACCGCACTATTATACCTATTTGTGTGATTTGTGAATATTGTATTACGAAACGCGAACGGAGCCGAAATTCCGCCCTAACCGATACGAAATACAAAATTCACGAGTGCATGTTTGTTGTGGATGTACAGGCCCCGTCGAAATTGCGTCTGGCTAACGGCAATCTGGATCCGGATAGCGATTCCGCCGCCAGAATCGCCGATCTACAAACGGCGCTCGAACAGCAAGTAAGTCTACTAGAAACCTTCTACTGTTATTAACCCATACGATCTTCCCTTTACTTAAAATTTTGATTCGTTTAGACCGCGGAAATAAGCAACTGGCAACGGCGCGTGGCCGAAACGCAGAACCGCGTCGCCGAATTGGAGGAGAACCTCTCCAAGGCGCAGAAGGAGCTGCTGAAGGCGCAAGACGTCAATTCCAAATTGCAAAGGGACCTCAGAGAGAACGTGGCCCAAAAGGAGGACCAGGAGGAGCGGATAGCGACGTTGGAGAAGCGGTATTTGAACGCCCAACGGGAGTCGACCTCGTTGCACGATTTGAACGAGAAATTGGAGCAGGAATTGCAACACAAGGAGGCCCAGATTAAAGTAAGCGCTATTGTTATTTTCTGATAACGTGGAGTAAACGTTAAATTGTATTTGCAGTTGCACGAAGAAAAGATAGCGGCGATACAAGAGAAGCTCGAATTGGCCGATCAGAAATTGGCCCAATGCTCGAAATTGCCGGAGATCGAAGAGCAATTGAAGCAACGCATGGAAGCGTTGACTCAGGTGAGACCGCAGGTAATTAGGCTTCAGCTTTTTTTCTCTTATTTAACGGGTACACATATTATGCCACAAACGATACAGCGCTTCATAAAGCTTTTTATCACATTCCGAAAGGGGAAGGGAAATTAGTTCATCGAGCTTACGCGAAAGCCCGCTTGATTTTGTAAGCTTTGCAACGAGCGATATCGGTATACAACCAAACACATTAACAAACAATCAAATTTATTTTATACTCCCACGCGGTATTCGCTTTCGATTTTCAGGCCCAAGAGAGACACGGATCGGCCGAGGATCGCATACAACGATTGGAAGCGAACCTCGACGAGAAGAACGCCGAATTGATTCGGCTCAATCAACGGCTCAAAATGAACGAGGAGCACAATTCGCGGCTCTCGTGCACCGTCGACAAGTTGCTATCGGAGTCGAACGATCGCCTGCAGGAGCACCTGAAGGAACGCATGCACGCCTTGCAGGAGAAGAACAGCCTCACGCAAGAATTGGACAAGACGCGGAAGATGCTGGAGGAATTGGACGGGCAAAAGTCCGACATAATGAAGGAGCTGGCCAAATCGCGCTTGGAAATCGACAACGTCAAACGCCAAATGCTCCAGCAGGAGATCTCGTACAACATCCAACAAACCGACGCTTTGACCAGGTACTTTTAAAAAGTAAATGCTATTCAGCGAGCTTATTTGTCGAGTTTGCGCAATCAGATCGTTGTCGCCCAACGCCGTGGATCCGAGCAATTTCTCGCGCAGCGCCAGCCATTCGAGCTTCGACGGGCACTCGTTGCCGCGTCGCGGCGGCGGCGCCAAGAGTCGCACGCCCATCGACGAGGAGCCGAAGCTGCCGTTCGGGTCGCGCTCGATGACCGAGCACGAGTGGGAGAAGCTGCAGCAGGCGCACGTCCTGGCCAACGTCCAGCAGGCGTTCGACGTGTCGAGCGACGCCGAGGGCGACGACGCCGAGAGCATCTTCAGCCAGCAGGACATCCTGTCGCCCGACGGGCCCACCGACGCTCAAACGCTGGCCATGATGCTGCAGGTTCGTTGGGTTTTTTTTTATCTTTCCACAGCGTCGGGTAGGATAGGGTAAAGGAAGCAGTAGGGTAGGGTACGCTGTGGTAGAGTAGGGTATCCTCTACATATTATACAGTGCCTTCAGAAAATAATAAATCATACTTGACCTAAGAATTTATGCAACCCAAATTACATATTACATAGTTATCATTTCTAACAAATATCCCTATTGTGAATACAAATCAACACATTGGCTTGAAAATATTAGTTGACTAGGTTCTTTGTCTATTTTTAAATAGCAATAGAATTCTCTTGGTATATTTTTAAAATAAGCAGAATTAATCGAGCTAAACAGAATTAAAAATTCTGAAGCATTGCTTTTGTAAAGTTTTTATTATTTAATTTTTAACACTACAGTAATTTTCAATATGTGCCCCTTCATTGTGTATGCACAAATTTACTCTGCGCTTCATGTTTTCAAACAATCCTCTTATTTCATCTTCTTCGATGCTCAAAAGCAGCAAAACCACAAGAAAAACGAGGAAAAATTAACAAAAACAGGTCAAAAACAGATTGAAATGACGTTGGCAGTTGACAGCACGGAACACTTACACTTCGTTGACAGTTCCGAGTAATTAGTGTAAGTGTTCTGCGGTTGACAGCTTACGTTGACGTTAATGGAACTAATTCTTCGGATACCAACATAAAAATAATAAAATTACTACATTCATTTCAAATATGGAAGGCAGAGAATATAATTCGTATTGTTTTGCAGGAACAACTGGATGCCATTAACAATGAGATACGTTTGATACAAGAGGAGAAGCAGAACACGGAGGCGAGAGCCGAGGAATTGGAATCGCGCGTCGGCAGCATGGAGCACGTGAATCTGTTGACGAGAGGCAGGAGTTTGGAACGTCCAAGTCCACCAGTAAGCGGTAGATCAACACCTAAATCACATCATTCTCCTCAAAGAGATCATTTACATAAGTACCATACGGTGAGGAAGTCTCCCTTTCGGCTCGATTCTCTCATTCGTTCGGTTTTCTTTTCGTATGATTTTCATTCCTTTTTATGTTCACATTCGTTTTTTTCTTTAGATCGATAAAACGAATTGGATACGAATCATTTTTAAATCACTTAAAGCTTAATCAATCCCCCATGCTGCGAGGTATGCACTTTAGTACAAACAAAAAAAAATAATAATTCGAACAAACCCATCGGACACCGTCCTGTAATTAATCTCTTTGTGAATCGCAGCTCCAACTGGACCATCTCACGACGGATCTGATGATGATGGACGATTCGCATCTCGGCGACGGCGCCAACGACGGCGGCGCCTCGCCGCTCACGGCGCGCCATCTGCGACTCGAAAGGGTCGCGCAGGCGCTCGCCCACAGCCAAGAGGAGCTCAGAAGGTATATTTTTTCCCGTCGCATTCGCCCTTGGAGACTTTACGAAATCTATCGGAACGCGCGGAAAATCGATTTCGTAAAGTTTACTCTGCGATTAAATCGCTCAAAGTGCGACAAACTTCATTGGATATACACTGTGCTTCATCCCAGATCGCAACATAGGTTATATAGGCTATAAGTGCGATAAAGACAACTTTCATTAGATATTTATAAAGGAAAAAGAAAGAGTGGCATTTGTGTCATTGCAACTTTTCACTCTGAAAACTGTTATTTTATCAATCTTTCTTTGTTCAACTCATAGAAATGACCATGTTGCGGTTTGAATTGAAGCAATCGGTATAGCAAAATATCATTATTTTTTCATGCAGAATCACCCCCTGAAGTTTGTCGCACTTAATAAATTAACACCCTCTATGTACAGGCTCGGACAAAGTTTTACGGAAAGTGCATCGTAGATTCCACTTTATGTCCCCACACCAAGGGAAGATGGTATATTTCATCTAATTTCATACCAACGAATCGAAAGCGACTAGGTTGCGCTATCCGTAAAAATCTGTCCGATGTAAGGCTCGATATTCGGCCCCGGTTTCGCTTGATCATTAGAATCCTAGTGCTAGAGCTAGACAGTAGAATGTAGTATGTTTAGGCACGGACAGACATACACACCCCCATCACCTCTGTCCTCTCGCCATAGCAGCCAGGAGAGCCTGCACAAGAACGCCCTGGCCGGCCTGCCCAGGGACATGTCTTCCGCCGCCGCCGCCGTCGCCGCCGCTCAAAAGAAGAAGGGCATCAAATCGTCGTTGGGACGGTTCTTCAGCAAAAAGGAGAAGGTTCGTTCGCCTTATCGCTACCGTTAATAATAAATATTTATATATTTGTGATGGGTGATTCCAGGTGAAAGGCAAGGAACCGGCCGGACAGGAAACCAACGTCAGCTTCAATCCGGGCATCGGGATGATGCCCGACAGCGACGCCAACGACGGAATGACCATCACCGCGAAAATTGTACATAAAGGCGAATTCGACAGGAAGCAGAAGAAGAAGTGAGTAACTCGAAACCGTTCTCTTCTCGTCGAGTTTATACGGAGGATTGCTCGAACTCAATCGGTTTTTTTCTCGAAATCGTTGCAGGGAACGGGACTACAGACACGAGCTGTTGGCGGAGGCCATGAAGGCCGGCACGCCGTTCGCCCTGTGGAACGGTCCGACGATCGTCGCCTGGTTGGAATTGTGGGTGGGAATGCCGGCCTGGTACGTGGCCGCCTGTCGGGCCAACGTCAAATCGGGCGCCATCATGAGCGCCTTGAGCGACACCGAAATCCAAAGGGAAATCGGCATCAGCAATCCGTTACACCGGTCAGTACGCCTTAGATTACGTCAGAGATTCGTTTGGAAACGTTATGAATCGTTCTAGACAGTTCTAAATCCATTTGGGCGGTTTAAAATTGTTCTAGATAGTTGTAATTCGTTCAGAAGCCATCTGAATCATTCTAAACAATTTTGAAACAGTCTGGACAGTTCTAAATGGTTTCTTGTCAATTCTTATTCGTCCTGAAGCGATCTAAATGATTGTGAACAGTTCTAAATTGTCTAGATAGTTATAATTCGTTCAGAAGTCTTCCGAATCATTCTAGACAATTATAAATCAGTCTGGTGGGTTCTAAATGGTTCTTGACAATTCTGATACGTCCTGAAGCAATCTAAATGTTTGCGGAGTGTTCCAAATGGTTCTGGATAGTTCTAATTCGTTTAGAAGCGTTCTAAATCATTCTGGACCGTTGTAAATTAGCCTGGACAGCTGTAAATCGTCCTATACAGTCCTAGATAGTATTGTTACTGGTATATTATAGGTATATTAACGTGTGTTTGTGCGTTTTTAGATTGAAGTTACGCTTGGCGATCCAGGAGATGGTGTCGCTGACGTCGCCGTCCGCACCGAAAACGTCCAGAACGACATTGGCGTTCGGCGATATGAATCACGAATGGATAGGCAATTCGTGGCTGCCGGCGTTGGGACTTCCCCAGTACCGTACTACCTTTATGGAGTGCCTGGTGGACGCCCGAATGTTGGACCATTTGACTAAGAAGGATTTGAGAGGGCAGTTGAAAATGGTGGACGGTTTCCACAGGTTTGTGTACCATATCGAAAGACTGAGATTTTTAGTTAAAAAATTACTTTATAAAAATTAATTATTCTTCTTATTAAGCCGAAATCTTTAGTTCAAGGCAGTTCTAAATGACTATGGAGCGTTCTAAATGGTTGTATACAGTTCTAAATGTTTACGGAGCGTTCTAAGTGATTCTGAATCATTCTAAATGGTTTTATACAAGTCCAAATATCTATGGAGCGTTCTAAGTGGTTCTGAATCATTCTAAATGACTATGAAACGTTCTAAATGACATTCTAGACAGTTCTAAATGATTAATGTCGAGCACTTTTCATTCTACACCCTCGTATATTCAAATAACGCATTTTTCTTTAAATATATTTTCGTTTATTAGAACTAGTTTACACTACGGCATCTCCTGTTTGAAGCGATTGAACTTCGACAGGAATTCCTTGGAGGATAGGAGGAAAAATAGCGAAAATACAAATTCGGATGTGCTGGTGTGGAGTAACGAACGCTTAATCAAATGGGTGTCTTCTATAGGATTAAAGGTAGCCGATTGCAAAATGTTTAACGCTAATTGCTTAATATTTATATGTTGATGTTTGGTTTAGGATTACGCCAATAATTTGGAGGAGTCCGGTGTTCACGGTGCATTGATCGCATTAGATGAGAATTTCGACGCGGATAGTTTAGGATTGGCTTTGCAAATACCTACACAAAACACTCAGGTAAATGAAATTAAAGCTCGAAACGGTGTCGAATGGAAGTTAATGGTATATTTTCGCATTTCAGGCACGACAAACTCTTAAAATAGAATATGTAAATTTGTTGAGTGTAGCTACCGACCGAAGGCCGCAGGATATGCAATCTTGATCTGTTGCAGACCTTCACTACGATTAATATTTAAAAAAAATGACCACGTAGTGTTCCTTTGTTTCCAAAAAAAATATTAAGAGTTATCTTCTTCGTTGATAACAGGTAAAGTGAAGACAAAAATCGATGTATTCTGTTGTGAGGGGTGGGGTCATGAATATGAAAACGTAGAAATCCCGACACGGTTTCTAAACGGAAGATATAATGAGCTTTAAATGAACTAAAAATACCTTGTATCGTAACTAATAACTCATAGTATTATTAACTGTACATTAAATTGTTGTTTGTTGGGGTTACCAGCGATAAGTAAAACATTGTTGAATGTGGCAGTGACAGTCAGTATTATCCCAAGCGTGCCTGCACTACCTTCCAGTGCTATCATCGTACATACATAAAAGCTTCGTGGTTCTGATGGAGAATTTACATAAATAGACTGTTTTAAGTACTACCATAGTTAAACAAAAAAAATGTATCAATGATAATTACTTAAATACTATAATTTTAAATTCGACTTTATGATTTTCGAATGCTAAAACTCGTAAGGTAAAAAGTAGTCATATTGTATTGTATAAAGAAAAGCTGCCATACAAGTTATTATTCTGTAGAGTATATTGTTCTTTTTTATATTATTATAAATTTATATTTATTGATAATAGCCAAAAAATATTTTAAAAATACAAATATAACGATTTATTTTATCTTTATACGTTTATACGTTTATTTATTATTATTATTATTATTATTGTATATTTTATTTATTCGCTTGATTAACAACCATGAAGATCATTTTTTAACAAAAAGGATAATAAATTTTGTGCAGGTACAATATTATAATGTATATGTAATTAAAAATAAAAGCACGTCTGTTGAAATTTGTACCTTACATAATTAATTTTTTTCTGTTTGTAGTTTTATCGAGTTCTTTTTCTTTGGCGAAACCAAATTCATTGATGAATAGATATAAATTAAATTGAGTGAAAATTTAGAAAATAAAACTTTATTGAAACATCCAGATTATTTCAGTTCGGCGATACCTACGCGGTTTTCTTTGAAATCGAATAGCGTATAGAAATTTTCCAGGAAAAGTTGTCCCAGAACCCAGGTTATTCCATCGCCTATTTCACCTTCCAAAAACATGAATCCCGGGATGCACACTGTAGTATTTATGAAGTTATCGTACACCTGCATTAAAGGCAATAAATAGTTTAGTGAATAAAAAATATTTCTTATTTTATATTTGTTATACATACCTCAATTATGTAGTCTTCGTTCGTCAACGTGAAGTTTTTGCCATTCAAAACGAAGTTAACATCAGGCAAAGAATCTTTCCGATTACAATTAACCGTGAATACAAAATATCTTTCGTTAAAGAATGCTCCAATAGCCTGAAATTCAATCGATTAGTACATATTGTGTATGTATACACATTTCGAAGTCTTGCTTACATCTTGAATGTCTAAAATTTCTTCAAGAGGTCCTGCGATCAAAGCGACACTGGTGTCTATCATAGTCTTGCAGGAACCTGCGCAAACTGTTTTAGATTCAACGTTGATTTTGTCCATTTTTATTTCCCAGAATCCTTTTTTGGTCACGGGGATGTAAGAGAAATTGCCTTTGTAATATTGCGGGTTCGTTCCTCCTATAGTCATTTCTCCACCGGATTTTTCATCAGCATTCCTGTAAATATTAAACATAGAAATCTTGTAATAAAATCATCAATTCGTCTCACTTGCTGAAGTATAAAGAAAAGACTGGCGAGAGGTCAGGGTGTTGAGCGAATAAATTCCCAAAGAGAGTGGGAATGTTGTTGACTGCAATTGTGTCATAAGACAATCCTAGGTAACCATCATATTTTGCATCAGGGAATATATCACCGTTTTCGACTAAAACTTCAGCGAATAGTTGATCGGTGACTGTAATACCGCCGATCTGCAATAAACAGTATTAATCCACGAAGTATTAATCAATTTGTGCTCTTACTTCGACATTATCGGAGGATACGATTCCCACAACGCTGCTGGTTCCATAATTTACCATAAATTCGGTACCGTTGGCTTTGTAGGTTGAAGATTTGGTCGAGTCGTACTTGTTGTGTTTTTCTACGAGAACGATTAATAGGGAATTGTTCGATTTTTATATTATTGTACTTACGACAGGCGACGTTATCCTTCCCGCATTTAATCGAAGGTACCCAGAGGGTCGGTGAACCGGTGTCAACGAGAACGAGGAATTTTTGGGGCGGCGTACCAATACTTATTTCGGCGCTGTATGTAAGCTGGAGGAAAAATTTTAAATATTCGTACCATGTAAATCAAATTTGATTTGATGTGATGGTTAATATTTTTGTACTCACATTAAAGTAGTTGTCCAAAATAACCTGTCCCGATTGGTATTTTCCTAGTAAAGATTGTCTCTTTCCGTTTAATCCCAAACCTGTTGGGGTTTGCCTGGCCGATTGCATCCTCTTTAAAGGCATCCTGCAATGTAATATTTATTTTATTCCATTTCTAACTATCTAGCAATATAATATTAGATTTACCTGATGAATTCGCTTTGGACCAGCGCCAAGCAGGCGAGGAGGGTAAAACTTTTCGCGATCATTTCGATTTAGAAGAAATTTTCGTTCTATACTCGTTGGACAGCAACTGCTAGAATTTATAGTTCTTTACGAGTGCCCACTTGGAATTTAACAGAGAAAATAGAAGCATCACTCATTTTTTTAGATAAAAATCTTAGTGAACATCTGCTAATTTCCATACTTATAATACTTAGCCAGTATACTTATAATACAGCTGCATATGTGTAGACATAAGTGTGACTTGCTAAAAATATACTTTTTTACACTGATAAAATTGTATCTGATCGAAAAAAAAACAATTGAGTTTTTAAGTGATGATAGTACCACAGGTGTTCAAAAAATATATTAAGTATTTATTTATGTTGTTCTTAAGCTCATGTTAGATAACAGTTTTTTATATCGATATAAAATATATCTCTTTTTTTCAAAACATGTCCCTTTGCAGGACAGAAACTGATTGAATTAATAAATTTATGCCCGGTTTCACCAACATTTATAGTTTATAGGTATTTCCTAACTAAGTAATTCCTAAGAGAAACATGTTGGCAAATGTCTTTGTAAATAAACAATGAAAACCCAGTTTAAGAGTAAACCAATAAACCTAGTAACAGAGCAACTGAATCCAAAAATGAAGTCAAAAATGGTACTTTCCTAAGAGGAAGTAAAATATAGTTGAAAATATATTTTAGAAAAACTCAAAATATTGACTACACATTCCTTATTCCTAAATTTTCAAATCCTTAACTCTTCGATAACTCCTAAAAGTTCAAATGCACGGCTACCGACAAAAACCTCTTAATTTTTTCTGTTTATAGGTTTATCAAATTCTTTTTCAAACGAAATTAAGCGAAAACGTTGAAATTAAGACTTTATTAAAACATCAAGATTATTTCATTATTTAAGTTCAGCGAATCCAACACGGTGGTTATCGAAATCGAATTTCGTGTAGTATTTTCCCATAAAAACTTCACCCAGAACCCAAAATTCTTCATCACCTGGATTAAAGGTAACTCCACTGAATCCCGACAGGCAAGAAGTAGTCCCGTTTTCAACAAACTGCAATAAGTAAATTAAATAGTTTAGCGGATTAAAACACACCTAATAGATGTGAAAACATTATTTCTCTCACCTTAACTACGTAGTCCTTGGACTCCAAAGTGAATTTTTTACCATTCAAAAAGAAGTCGACGTCAGGCAATGAAGACACCTCATTACAATCAACATAGTATGTACCTCTATAAGGCTTACTTCCAATAGCCTAAATTCAGTCATTTATTACATATGTTTGTACATTTCAAAATCTTACTAACATTTTGAAGCTTTTCAATTTCTTCCTTAGGCCCCGTGATAAAACTGGTACCGGTATCTACGATAGCATTGCATATTTTGCCTTCCCAAATGAATTTTACTCGTGAGGTAAATACTACATTTTTGGAATAAAAATTAAGAAAACTAATTATATTTATTTAAGTATATAAAAAACAAAACACATTTTTGTTATCTAAACTGATTAAAGTCGCTCAAAGTTCTACTTCAGATATGAAAATGTGCGTTCAAAGACTACTATTTTAATTGTTATTTTTACAAATGCTAATGGCAATTATTACTTACAAACTTACAATGGCAAACTTAACATAATTGCAACCTCCAAATTATTTTAGTTCTGCGAATCCAACACGGTTGTTCTCTAAATCGAATTGGGTGTAGTATTTTCCAATGAAAACGTCGCCCAGAATCCACAATAATCCTTCCTCTGTTTCAATGTCAACTCCACTGAATCCCGACAGACAAATAGGTTCGATTACATCATCAATCTGCGTTAAAAGTAAGTAAATCGTTTAGCAAATAAAATTATTTCTTATTTTATTTGTTTTACCCTGAGTATATAGTCCTCTCCCTTCAAAGTGAAGTTTTTTCCGTTCAAAACAAACTCTACATCAGGCAATGAAGACACGCTGTCACAATCAACGGTGTACTCTTCGAATTCATCGTCGAAAATAGCTCCAATGGCCTAAAATTCAATCATTCAAAACATATCTTTAGAGATTTCAATGTGTTGCTTACATCATTAATCCTATCTATTTCTTCGGTTGGTCCTGCGAGCAAACTGGTACCGGTATCTACGATGGCTTCGCAGGAATCTGCGCAAAACGCGCTGGAACCAATGTTGATCTTGTCCATTTTTACTTGCCAGTAAGCCTGCGTGGTTACAGGCAGGTAAGTGAATTCGCCTTGGTAGTATTGCGGGTCAGCTCCTCCTATCGTCATTTCACCACCGGTCGCTCCGTAAGGATTCCTGCAAATGTTATACGCATAGAATTCATCTATTAAAATCGTCAGTCTTCTCACCTGTCGAGGTAGAAGGAAAACGCTGGGGTGAGGTCGGTGTGTTGGGCGAATAAATTCCCGAAAACAGTGGGCATTTTGTTGACTGAGAGTCTGTCGTAACCCAATCCTAGGATACCATCGAACTTTCCCGCAACGAATGCCTGACCGGGTTCTTCAGTAGCTTCAGCGAACAATTGACCAGTCACTGTAATACCTCCCACCTGCAATTAAAACTATTAATTTACGAAGTGTTAATCGATTTAACGGGGGATTTACATCGACGTTATCGGAGGATACGAATCCGCTGAGTGCCCCGGATCCGTACTCGATGTAGAATTCGCTGCCGTTGGTTTTGTAGGTTGAAGATTTGGTGGAGTCGTACTGGTTGTGGGTTTCTACAAGAGCAATTAATGGGGAATCGTTCGATTTTTTGTTGTATTGTACTTACGACAGGCGACGTTATCGCTACCGCATTTCTTCGAAGGCACCCAGAGATTCGATGAACCGGTGTCGAAGATTACTTTGAAATTTTGGGGTGGTGTACCGATGCTTACTTCTCCGTAGTATTGGGCCTGATGGACAAATGTAGTTGTTAATAATCATTAATAAAATTTATTTTAGATAGTATCTTCGATTCGCAGATCAATCGAAAAGGTAGCGGATATTTTATTTACTTACATCTTCGTAGTTGGTCAAAATAACGTCTCCCGATTGGTATTTTCCCAATAAAGACTGTCTTTTTTGTTTCAATCCCAGTTCTTTTATGGTCTGTCTGGACGATTTCACCTTCTTCAAAGGCACCCTGTAATGCAACGTTTACTTATTCTCCAATTCTACTTACCTAACAATATAATATTGACTGTTTATGATATTCCAATTGGATATTTACCTGATGAATTCGCTTTGGGCCAACGCCAAACAGGCGAGAATGGTGAAAATTTTCACAAACATTTCGATTACGAAAAAGTTATTCGTTCTGAAGCCTGATGCTGTTACTGTTCGGATTAATACCTTTTTATCGAGAGCCCACTTGAAATTTATACTGCAAGAAAATTAATTTATCTCGCAATATTTTCGTAAATAAATTAGACCAGGGTATTTGAACAAGATCGTGACAGGCGTATTTTTTTCTATCTTTGAAAACATCTAAGTGAGATTTCAAAATTGTTCCTTTGTATTTTTAGAAGATACTATTGTAATCAAATACCAGAATGTATTTGGTAAATAATTAGAGTACCTCAGGTATAGTTTTTAATTTTTTTTTATTTATTTAGGACGTACTTAAGCTTATTTTAGATAACATAGTTTCTTATATTTTACATTAAGTAGACATGTAATTGTGTATCTGAAGAAACGTTGAATTATTTAAGTTCAGCGAATCCAACGCGGTTGTTCTCTAAATCGAATTGAGTATAGTATTTTCCAATGAAAACGTCTCCAAGAATCCAAAAGTCTGATTGATCTGATCCCTCGAATCCCGACAGGCAAACAATTCCTTCGCCATCATTATACTACATTAAAAGTATGTAAATAGTTTTTTTATTATAGTAGATGTTGAAATTTTATTTTTCTCACCTTCAGTATGTAGTCCTCTCCCTTCAAAGTGAAGGTTTTGCCGTTCAAAACAAAGTCTATATCAGGCAATGAAGACAACCTGTCACAATCAACAGTGTATGCACCAACAAAAGTGTCCATCGTAGCTCCAATAGCCTAAAATTCAATCATTTGGAACATATGTTTACAGATTTCAATATGTTGCTTACCTCATTAATCCCATCTATTTCGTCAGAAGGTCCTACGAGCAAACTGGTACCGGTATCTACGATGGCGTCGCAGGAATCTGCGCAAAACGCGCTGGAACCAATGTTGATTTTGTCCATTTGTACTTGCCAGTAAGCCTGTCTGGTCACCGGAATGTAGGTGAACTCGCCTTTGTAGTATTGTGGATCGGCTCCTCCAATTGTCATTTCTCCACCGGCTTGTCCATCAGTACTCCTGCAATTGTAACACTTAGAAATCATCTAATGAAACCATCGGTCGTCTCACCTGTCGAGGTAGAAGGAAAAGGCTGGCGTGAGGTCGGTGTGTTGAGCGAATAAATTTCCGAACACTGTGGGCATGTTGTTGACTGAGAGTCTGTCGTAACCCAATCCTAGGATACCATCGAATTTTCCCGCAACGAAAGACTGACCGGGTTCGTTTGTAGCCTCGGCGAATAATTGACCAGTCACTGTAATACCTCCTACCTGCAATTAAAACTATTAATTTACGAAGTATTAATCGATTTAACGGGGATTTACATCGACGTTATCGGAGGATACGAATCCGCTGAGGTCCCCTGATCCATATGCAATGTAGAATTCGCTGCCGTTGGTTTTGTAGGTTGAAGATTTGGTGGAGTCGTACTGGTTGTGCGTGCCTACAAGAGCAATTAATGGGGAATTGTTCGATTTTTTGTTGTATTGTACTTACGACAGGCGATGTTGAAGATGCCGCATTTCTTCGAAGGTACCCAGAGGTTCGAAGAACCGGTGTCGAAGATGACTTTGAAATTTTGTGGTGGTGTACCGATGCTTATTTCTCCGTAGTATTCAACCTGACAGCAAAATTTAATAGTTAATAGTCATCGATAGTTTATCTTAGATAGTGAGAAGTGGTTTTACGAATGTGTCGCGAAATATTTCGACGTGGATCAATCGAAAAGCAGAAATTGTTTATACTTACATCTTCGTAGTTGGTCAAAATAACGTCTCCCGATTGGTATTTGCCCAATAAAGACGGTCTTTTCTGTTTCAATCCCAGTTCTCTTATGGTCTGCCTGGACGATTTCATTCTCTTCAAAGGCACCCTGCAATATAACGTTTATTTATTCTCCATTTCTAATTACCCATCAATACAATATTAGATTGTATATTTACCTGATGAATTCGCTTTGGACCAACGCCAAGCAGGCGAGGAGGGTAAATATTTTAGCGAACATTTCGATTAAGAAAATATTTTCACTCTGATAGTTTTGGTAATGCTACTATTCGATTTTATACTCTCTATCGAGGGCCTACTTGAAAATTATACACCATAAAAAAGAATTTATCTCGCATTGTTATTCATAAAAAATAATGAAAGTCACCTCTTATTGTACTTTACCTAAACTAATTACACTAGAGTTGCCGGGGATATTTTTCTCTATCTTTTGGAGAGATCTAAGATCTAAGTGATAATTATTCTATTGTATATATAGAGATAAAGTTTCAAAGTTCCACAAGTATAGTTTATAATTTTTTATTTATTTAGGATGTTCTTAAGCTTATTTTAGATAACATAGTTTCTTATATTTTACATTAAGTAGAAATGTATTTGTGTATCTGAAGAAACGTCGAATTATTTAAGTTCAGCGAATCCAACGCGTTTGTTCCCGTAATCGAATTGAGTATAGTATTTTCCAATGAAAACGTCTCCAAGAATCCACAATATTCCTTCTTCTGTTACAATGTCCTCTCCATCGAATCCCGACACGCAAACAATTCCTTCGCCATCATTATACTACATTAAAAGTATATAAATAGTTTATTTTTATAGATGTGAAAATTTTATTTTTCTCACCTTCAGTATGTAGTCCTCTCCCTTCAAAGTGAAGGTTTTGCCGTTCAAAACAATATCTATATCGGGCAATGAAGACAACTTGTTACAATCCACAGTGTATGCACCAACAGACATGTCCATCGTAGCTCCAATAGCCTAAAATTTAATCGTTTAGAAAATATGTTTACAGATTTCGATGTGTTGCTCACCTCATTAATCTTAAACACTTCTTCAGGAGGTCCTAGGATCAAACTGGTACCGGTATCTACGATGGCATTGCAGGAACCTGCGCAAGCCGTGCTGGTACCAATGTTGATTTTGTCCATTTTTATTTGCCAGTAAGCTTGTATTGTTACGGGGACGTAAGTGAATTCGCCTTTGTAATATTGCGGGTCGGCTCCTCCTATCGTCATTTCTCCACCGGTCTTTCCATCAGCATCTCTGTAAATATTAAACATAGAAATCTCGTGATAAAATCATCAGTCATCTTACCTGTCGAGGTAGAAAGAAACGGCTGGAGTGAGGTCGGTGTTTTGAGCGAATAATGTCCCAAAAACAGTGGGCATGTTGTTGACTGAGAGTTTTTCGAAACCCAATCCTAGGATACCATCGAAATCTGCATCGATGAAAGCCCGACTGGGTTCTTCAGTAGCTTCAGCGAATAATTGATCAGTCGCTGTAATACCTCCTACCTGCAATTAAAACTATTAATTTACGAAGTGTTAATCGATTTAACGGGGGATTTACATCGACGTTATCGGAGGATACGAATCCGCTGAGTTCCCCGGATCCGTACTCGATGTAGAATTCGCTGCCGTTGGTTTTGTAGGTTGAAGATTTGGTGGAGTCGTACTTGTTGTGGGTTTCTACAAGAGCAATTAATGGGGAATCGTTCGATTTTTTGTTGTATTGTACTTACGACAGGCGACGTTATCGCTACCGCATTTCTTCGAAGGTACCCAAAGGTTCGAAGAACCGGTGTCGAAGATTACTTTGAAATTTTGTGGTGGTGTACCGATGCTTATTTCTCCGTAGTAATCAATCTAACAGACAAAATTAATAGTTAATAATCTTTGGTAGGGTAGGGTTTGAAAAATGTTATATAGTATAGTTGAAATGCCACTGGCCGATCTGGCCATTTATTATTTAAAATGTCTTTTGTTGAATTGTTTTTATTGTTAATTTTAAATGATGTTTATGTCTTTTAGAAACAAATTTCGATGCGTAATTTTTCAAATAATTTGTTGTTTATTCTTGTATGTAAAACATTTTTGATAGTGTTTATACCGGGTGGTTCGTTAGTAATGGTCCAAAAGTAAAGGGAAAGATTCTGGGCCTCAAATTATTTCGATCTGATCCAACTTGCTTTAGTAAAATATTCAAAAATAAAGAAGATACAGAGTGTCAAGGTTGAAATCAAAAAAATGATTTTTCGCAGCAGTATGAAAGATTTTGGATATACAGAAGTGAAAATTTGAAGACGGGTGTTTCAATGCAAAAGAAATCATAATATGATAAAAACAATTTAACAGAAGACATTTCAAATAATAAATGACCAGTAGCATTTCAACTTCATATGTAACATGCAAAACATTTTTGAGTGTTAGTAGTGTGAAGTGGTTTTACGAATGTATCGCGAGATATGTATGTATGTAGAGATATGTATAGCCTTGAATAGCAGATATTTTTTTACTTACATCTTCGTAGTTGTTCAAAATAACGTCTCCCGATTGGTATTTGCCCAATAAAGGCTGCCTTTTGTATTTCAAACCCTTTTCTATTGTCATCTGCTTGGACGATTTCATCTTCTTCAAAGGCACCCTGCAATGTAAAATTTATTTATTCTCCATTTCTAATTACCCAGCAATGAAATATTAGATTGTATATTTACCTGATGAATTCGCTTTGGACCAACGCCAAACAGGCGAGGAGGGTGAAAATTTTCACGAACATTTCGTTTAGGATGAAATTTTCGTTCTAATACTTCTGGTACTGCAACTGTTCGTTTTTATGCTGTATATCGAGGGCCTACTTGAATATTAAACCGCCTAAAAATAAATTTTTACCGCGTTATTTTCGATAAAAAAAATTAGCTCGCATTGTACTTTACCTAAACTAATTACAATAGAGCTTGACGGGGATTTTTCTCTCTCTTTTAAAGAGATCTCAGTAAGATTTCAATGTTGTATTTTTAGAAGATAAAATTGTAATCGAATACCAGAATGTATTTCGTAAAAAATAGGAAGTATGCATGATTTTTTTTTATTTCTTGAATTAATCAATTACATCTTTGTAATATAGATTCGCTGGACGCTCGGAAAGGGGGCTGTGGCCCCTTTCAACCCCCCTTTCTTATGGTGGCCGAAATTATCTCGCATTTTTTCGATACTAATCTATACATCCTTTATTATAATTTTGTACTTTTCCCTATACTAATTTAGTTAGGGTATTTACTCTATTTTTTTCGTATCTTTCGTAGATATCTAAGTGTGATTTCTAAATAATTGATAGTGATAAAGTTTAAATCAAAAACATGAATGTGTTTTTAACTATTTCGAGTACCTACCGCAGGTGTATTTTTTAGGATGTTAGAACTTATAACAGATAACAAAGTTCCTTAGAAGTGTACCTAATCGTCATATCTGAAGAAATGCCGAATTGCATATAAACTTCTTAATAATACTATTTTGTCAGTACAGTTTTGTTCCAATTTTATTGTTTCAACCATTCTTCTTCTTCAAGTAAAAGGCAATCTTCGTCGCTATTATGACTTTTGAGGCAGTCTGTTCTAAACTAAATAGTTCAAACTATTCTCTATCAGATTTTTATTTGAGAAATTCATTTATTTCATAGGCTACTTTTGCTTTCTATTTGCTCCTGCTTTATTAGTGGTAAAATGTTTGTTTTCTTTCTTTTTTTTTGTAATTTCAAATTGTTTTTCGCCTGACTTACCGAAGTTATCCTCAAAAATAAAGGCAGGTATCTTGAAATTAGTACTTAATTTGAATTTGAATTTGTTCTGTTTGAAGTTTTATTTAATTCTCTTTCAGACGAATCTAATTGAAGGCTACAGGGAAAAAAACGACAATAGTCAATTTTTTTGCAAAACTAAGTTCACAGTTTATTTTTGTAGCATGTTTGTAGTTACTATCAGATAATGAAATCGTTAAATGATAAAAATTGCTGAAGTCCACAAAACAACAGCTAAAAGATACCTTTAATTTCCTTTCTAACGAGTAAGTAAACTTATATTTTAATGTTTCTCGAAAATCTTTTAGGTGGACTATTGTCGCTCTTGCCCTGTAACCTTCAATTATTTCATTAAAAAAATAAATTAAGCGAAAATGTTGTAAATCAAAAATTTATTGAACCATCAAAATTATTTAAGTTCAGCGAATCCAACGCGGTTGTTCTTCAAATCGAATTGAGTATAGTATTTTCCAATGAAAACATCACCCAGAATCCACAATCCTTCCTGTGTTTTAAGGTCCAATCCCATGAATCCCGACAAGCAAACAGTCTCGAAACCTTGACTAATCTGTATTAAAGATAAGTAAATAGTTTTAATAAAATATTTTTTTATTAAATAAGGAAACTATATTTTTCTCACCTTAAGTATGTAGTCCTCTGGCTTCAATGTAAAGGTTTTTCCGGACAAAACGAAATCGATATCAGGCAATGAAGGCACTTTATCACAATCAACCATGTATTCACCGGTGTTCAAGATACTCGTAGCTCCGATAGCCTAAAATTCAATCGTTTAGTACATATTGTACCATACATTTAGAAGTTTTACTTACATCTTGAATCTTCTTAACGGCCTCAGAAGGTCCTGCGATCAAACTGGTACCGGTATCAACGATAGCATTGCAGGAACCTTCGCAAAATGAGCTGGAACCCACGCTCATCTTGTCCAATTTTACTTGCCAGTAAGCTTGTCTGGTCACCGGAACGTAGGTGAACTCGCCTTTGTAGTATTGCGGATCGGCTCCTCCAATTGTCAGCTCTCCACCGGTTTGTCCGTCAGGATTCCTGCAATTATAACACTTAGAAATCATCTAATGAAACCATCGGTCGTCTCACCTGTCGAGGTAGAAGGAAAAGGCTGGGGTGAGGTCGGTGTGTTGGGCGAATAAATTTCCGAACACTGTGGGCATGTTGTTGACTGAAATAGTGTCGTAACCCAATCCTAGGATACCATCGAATTTGCCTGCAAGGAAAGCTGCACCGGGTTCGCTTGTAGCTTCGGCGAATAGTTGACCGGTGACTGTAATACCGCCTACCTGCGTACAATTAAAAATATAAATTTACGAAGTGTTAATCGATTTAACGGGGACTTACATCGACATTATCGGAGGACACGAATCCGCTGAGCGCCCCGGATCCATATTCAATAGCAAATTTGGTGTCGTTGGCTTTGTAGGTGGAAGATTTGGTGGAGTCGTACTTGTTGTGGAATACTTTAAGAGCGATTAATAGCGAATTGTTCGAATTTTGTATCATTGTACTTACGACAGGCGAGGTCCAAGATCCCGCATTTCTTCGAAGGCACCCAGAGGTTCGATGAGCCGGTGTCGAAGACGACATTGAAATTTTGTGGTGGCGTACCGATGCTTATTTCTCCGTAGTATTGAGCCTGGTGGAAAATTTTAAATATTCATTCGCTTTATCATAGATAGTGAGAAGTGTTTTTCGACGTGGATTGATCGAAATAATTACGTATAACTTCGAGTGGTTGGTATATTTGTACTTACATCTTCGTAGTTTTTCAAAATAACGTCGCCCGATTGGTATTTGGCCAATAAAGACTGTCTTTTTTGTTGCAATCCCGCTTCTCCTAAGGTCTGCCTGGCCGATTTCACCTTCTTCAAAGGCACCCTGTAATGTTACGTTAATTTATTCTCCATTTCTAATTACCCAGCAATACAATATTAGATTGTATATTTATTTACCTGATGAATTCGCTTTGGACCAACGCCAAACAGGCGAGGATGGTGAAAACTTTAGCGAACATTTCGATAAATGGAAATTATTCGTTCTAACGCCTGATAATAACTGATCGAATTTATATACTTTTTTCGAGGGCATACTTGAAATTTAGACCGTATGAAAATTTATCTGAGTCTATTGTCTTCCCGGTGTTTCTAATTAAAGCCGATCACGTTGTTGATTTTGTCATGTTTATTTTCGATAATATAAATTAACGCCATTTAATTTTATAGTTTTATGGGTTTATCTTTTTGGCAAAATCTACATGTGATTTACTATAATAATCATTATTGTTACATAGACAAATTTGAAATCAAAAAATTAAAGCTTCCTTCTCTAAATATATTTTAAATTTTTGTACAAATTTTGTACATACACCTTGCTCCATTTCCAAATGCAACATGGTCATTTCTATAAGTGAAACAAAGAAAGGTTATTAAAATGACAGTTGTCAGAGTGAAAAGTTGTAATGACAGAATGCCACTCTTTCTTTTTCCTTTGTAAGTGTCTAATGAAAGTTGTCTTTATCGCACCTATAGCCTATATAACCTATGTTGCGATCAAAAATGGAGCAACCTGTATACGTATTTATTTCTAGAAAAAAAAACACTATATAATATCGATACCACGGCCCTATATTTCTAAGGTCTAGAATCTCCCTATGCTTATGCATTAGAGAATGTGTCCCGTTATTTGAGGACATTTTGAGCTTCACTTTTGTGCCGCAGCGTGGCGAACGATCGAAGGACCAACTTATCTCAGCCAATCAGCGTTGGGCTACATATAAATCGCGGTTGTGTGAAATGACAGTTCGAGCTGTCAAAACTTCAAAAATTATTTTTTGACATTTCGAGGAAAAAAATGGAGAAATACATTACCCGAAGATACGTGAGGCATGATGTTAACAACAAAATCATCGCTGATTTAAGTATATTTTTATATTTTGTATCTATTTTTAGTATGAGTATAACCATTCTTAATGCTAATTCTAGATAATTCGTACGCAAAAAACCGTGGTCCTTTACAACATCGCCTCCTAGCGGCCGTTTTAGGAACCCTGTTTTATCCTCAAATAACGGGGCACTTTTTCGACCTATGTTTCCAGACCTTAGAAATATACGACCGTGATCGATACTAATCAATTTTTGTACTATATTTAAAATCGACCAAAGGTCTTCTATTACACACTTCAGATATGAAAATTCAAGTACCTACACAAACTACCATTTCTATTAGCCGCTTTTTTTTATTCAAGTCGCATGCATCCACTGTAGCGATAGAAGCTTTTACCGTTTTTTTTAATTGCTTTAAGTATAAGCATTAGAATGACACTTGTTTTATCCAGCTGCAGCGTGAATTAATAGGATGTAACCGTTAAAAATAAAAAAGCGCGGCCATTGTTAACTACAATGTCACAATTCCAAACACCTGACTCGTCGAAATTTCCCTCAAAACTATTTGTCAATTCCCGTCATTTGTCCGTTTTGTGTGTCACGTACATAAACATTGCTTGTACATTCCGTTAAAATTGCGCGTTCGCTATCCCAAAATCCCCCCATATATCACATGAAATGTATAACAAACACGACAAAATCAACGACGTGATCGGCGTTAAGAAGAAACACAGAGACGACAAACGCTTATCTTTAACAGATAACAGAGATAATAAAGACGTTACGAAGCACAGGCACCATCACTCGCACAGAATCGACGACAAACACCATCAGAAACGCGACAAATCCCATTCACCCGCGTCCTACGAGGACAAAAACGCCAACAGAAAACGCCATCACTCCACCGACCTCAACAAACCCCCGCACAGAAGAAACGATTTACCGCAGAAATCCAACACTTTCGTGCACAACAGCCCGCGCCGCCGGTCGAAGAGCAGCAGGAAATCGCAGGAGAGAGTCTCCGACATTTGGTACTGCCAAGTGGAAACCAACAGCCCGTTCAAGAAGCACAAAAAAGATTTCGAAATTAACAGAAAAACCGACCACAGAAGCTTGAAGGAAACGTCGACTCTAACCAACAAACGCGACATTTCCACCGACAAGAGGGTGCTGAACGCCCTCTCGTCGGACGTGCGCAAATCGAAAATCCACCATTTCAAAGCGCCCACCACCAGCACGGTGATCAAGGCGAAGCAAAGCGACAAATCCAGCAGGGAGAAAGCGCGCCTCAACAAAAAAACCCAACACAAAAGCGACCCGATCAATCTCGAGCAGAAAATCGAGGACGGCCTGAAGATCTACTTCGCCAAATTGCAGAGCATCATCGACAAGAAATTCGAAGCCATTCTACCGACCAAAAAAGACCCGCCGCCGCCCGACGATCGCGCCAAAAAACCTCGCAGGAAAGATGACACAAACGACGAACGCAAACACCGAAAACTCGACAAACAAACAGCCACGATCACAAAGCGCGACAAGTTCGTGCCGGAGCGCGACGACGACAAACCCATCATCAAAAAAATAATGGACGGCGACGCCGTCAACAACCCCTCCACCTCCGTCATGTACGTGAAACCGCCGCCCTTCGGCCTCGTCTACGACGGCGCCTCGTCGAAGTGCATCGACCTGTACGGCGCCGAGGCGCCCGAGGAGCGCCGCCGCCGCCGCCGCAGCGACTTCTGGGTGGAGGGCGTCGAGCCCGCCAAGCGCGACGCCCCCGTCGCGCCCGCCGCCCGCAAACCGGCGCCGAATCTGCAGACCAAGATCCTGTCGATCGTCGGCATACCGTCCCAAACGGGCGACTGCTACCGCAAGAAACCCTTCGACGACCTGCTGGAGAACAAGCACAAGTTGAAGCGCTTCAAATTGTACTACCGCTACCTGCAGGAGAGCAACGCCTGCAACTCGCCCAGCCACGTGCCGAGCGAGAGCTGTAAAGTGCTCTCCGATCGATCGGATCGCACCGATGCATCCAATCCGCCCGCCAAAAACGAAGACAACACCTACATCAACATCAAACTCGACGACTACCACTTCTACCTCAAAGACAAGGACCCCATTTGCTTGGGCGAGGAGGCGAAGAAGCGCCGATTGGTCGCCAACAAGATCGCCTTCAACGCCAAATCGGACACGGACATATCCTACAGCTCCTTGAACACCTTCGATTTGAACAAAACCGACGACGTCACGCTGCAGGAGTTCTACTGCAACATCGATTACTTCAAGCGGTCGTTCGAGAAATCGGACAATCGCTTGTCGAGGTTCCAGGTGATGCAGTTCCTGGAGAATATGCACCAATTGTACCTGGTCAGCCAGCGCAAGCGCCAGAAACCGCCCGTTCGAACCAAAGATGCGGGCACTAATACTGATAAAACTGCCGTTTTCGTCAACAAATCGGTCGAAGCTGCCATTGTAATCGATGAGAAAATCGATAAAACCACTTCTTATAAAGGTTTCGACGAGGATGCTGTTCCAAAAAACGATTCCGAAAAATCTACCAGCACTTTTGTTGTTGGAAAGGTGGAAAATAATAGTAACACCACTACAGTAGCTTCGGAGGTATCCAAAAGCGATTACAGATTAGTAAAAAAGCGCGAGAAGGCCTTGCAGTCGGATAGTCTGGTAGGTTTACAATCAGTTGCAATCCCATTGCATCAACACGAGAAGCATTCTACTCCTATGCAATCTGATCCAATCGTAGAACCCCAACGAAACAAAACGGTGGCTTCACAATTACCAGAAAACTTCCTAACAGAAGAAAAATCTCGCTCGATCGCTTTGCAACTTGATTACATACCAGAAAATAAAATGGAATACACCGACAAAATCAAAAAAAAGCACCTAAAAACCTTCAAAAGCTTAAAACTACCGAAAAACATCCCGCTAACACCACCGGCAAGAGAAGCACCAGAGATCACCGATCTACCAAAACCCACCAAAACCAAACAAAAAAAACCCAAAGAACCCACCAAAAAAGACGATTTAACCGCATCGATAATCACCCTACCATCCATACCCGAATACAAAGACACCGACAAGAAGAAGAAGAGATGCTCGAGCGCGCCCCGCCACTACCAACAACACAAAGACGACTTCAACTTCAAATTAAAACGCAGCCAGTCCGAGATCGATTTCAAGCAACCCGACAAGGAGGAGACCTTCGATCTGCCGAACGACTCGCGGTCGCGCTCCCACACCAAGGCGCACTCGCTCGACCGCTACCTGCTCACCAGCAAGCCCATCCTCAACGAGCACGCCTACAACAGCACCCTGATGATCACCAAGGAGTACCGCTCCGCCGACGTGAGCTCCTACCACAAGCGCAAGAAGTACGACGAGGCGATCCGCAGGAAGATGAAGAAGAAGATGGGCCAGCAGGAGAAGCAGCCGGACCGCGTGTTCGAGGTGCGATACGTGACGTTGGACGGCCGTCCGAGGAACGCCGAGGCGCTGGAGAGGATACCCGAATCGCGCGAGTGCCTGAACCGCGGCGGCGATTTGATCGGCTTCGTGAATTGCCTGTGCGCCTCGTTGAAGGCCAAACGCAGCTCGGCCGGGCTGCGCAAGAGGAAATCCGACACCAAGAAGCCCGTGGCGAGGAAGAAGAAAACTCCGCGGATACCGGACGGCAGCTTCGATTCGTACTACAGCTTCCCGCGCGAACAACTCAATCCGACCAACGCCAGTTGCCCGGCCTTGAAGGCGTCGGATTCCTCCTTCGATTTCCTCTATCCGGACGAGTCGGAGTCGGGCGAGGAGGCTCGCAAACGGCCGGCGAACTCGTCGATTTTGGGCTTCACGCTCACCAACGACGAGATCGCCGTGGGCAAGCGCTCGCCTTCGCTGGACTCGCCTTGCTCGGAGACCAGCGGCTACGCCAGCAGCCGATCGAAGCACAGCTTCACGTTCACGAACTTCTTCAAGAAACCCAAGATGGCCGCTTTGCTCAAGCCCCAACTAGCCGAAGGGGTTTTCGGAAAGCCATCAGCAGAGGATGTGTTCTTGAACCGATCGATCTCTTCTGCTAACATTTCGAAGGATAATAACGCGGGTTTCTGCCAGAGCGCGCCTTTGTGTCGCACTTTGGAGCAAACGACGAGCGTCAAGAGGTTTTCTAGTGATACTAATTTGTTGATTAAGCGCGAAAATTCATTACCTTCGGACGATTCGTTACCGGACGACTCCGACGAATACTCCCTGCTGGAGAAGATGGTCGATTCGGACTTGTACGTGGCGAATTTGAGCTCCTGCAGCATCGTCTTGGTCGAGTCCTCCGACTCCATAGGCGCCTCCAAGGCGCCGGGGCGGCGTTCGTCCGACGTCAGGCGACTGATCGGCAAGAAGTTCTTCGAGAACATCGTGGAGATGTACGAGAACGAGAGCGCCATTGGCGGCGGTCTGTACGACGACGGCGACTTCGTCAAGGAGCTGACGTCCTGCGGCAGGAGGAGGAAGCTCAAAGCGGAGAAGCGGTCGCTTGGGCGCGGAATCAGGCGGGTCTTGAGGAAGGTTTTGCCGTGCAACGGGAAGAAACGAGTGGAAAAGCGGGAGCCTCTTGAAACGGTAAGTCTTTTACTCCATTGGAGTAGCTGATTGCTGGCGTTGTTCTAGGCGAAGCCGGTGGAGAACGGCTATCAGAAGAAGCTGCAGGCTTTGGCTCACGGAGCTTTGAAGTATTTTTCGAGCTTGGTGCAAGCCGTAGCCGTTAACAACAAATTAGACGACGAATTGAAGATGTACGGCATTTTGAGGCTGTTGCAGGCTATAGAAAACGGGCAGTTCAAGTTTTTGAGGGTAACTAAAATCCTTTGCTATCGAAGGCACAATCGATCAATCGTTCATTTGAGGTTGCAGATTTAAAATATATCTCTTTTGTAGAAATTCGCCCAGCAGAAAACCAACGTAGAAGGGGAAGTTAAGGAACAAATTAGAGAAACTTTTACCGATGTATACGCTATAGCGAAATGCGAGGCCAGTAATTGCCGCAGGAAGTTGTCCAGTAACGATTCGAAATTGATGGCCGCTTTTGCGTGTAAATATCGCATCGGTTTGTTGTCCAGAACCGACGTGATCGCCTCGTGTTTGGGAAAAGGGCTTTTCCAGGACGAGGATCAGCTAAAAGGTTGATGAACGATCGTTTTTCGAATGATTACTGATTTGTATTTTTCGTGTGCTTGCAGCTGCTGTGATATTTTTGTTGAAGACTACGAGCGATTTCAATCGCGAGGAGTTTGAGGAGTATTATCGAAAGTATACGATTTGTTGTTTATGATTTGAATAAAGTTTTTTGGGAAAATTGGCTGAATACTGCATGGTGCATAGAGCTTGAGATAAAAAGGAAGATTGTCAATTGTCATTCTAAAGTACTTGACATTATCTGTCATTAGTGTCAATACTATTTGAATATTATGCTTATTTCATGTTTGCTAGTAGATTTTTCTATTTTCCTATCTTTACTAACATGCTATAAGTTTTTTCATTTTCAGATAAAAAATTAACCCAGTTTAGTAAAAAGTAGAAATAGAAAACCAATTCCTCAATGCTTGTTATGCGAGAGTAACAAAGATGGACGATACATTACGTCAAATGACATGACAAATGTCACATCAAAATTTAACATAACCTATTCTTTTTAAAAATAATTATAGCAAATTTTATTTATATAACTATTTAAACATTAATTGATTTTAAAGATATGCCATTTAAGTAATTTTTACTTCTCTAGTTATTATGCATTCGAAAATTTCGCTATATTGTACAAGAATTGTTACATAATTTTAAGGCCAAATAACATGGACGAGTTAATATTTAGGAGTACACAAAAATTCGAAAATTTCCAGGTAAACTACCAATCTGCTTATCTACGAATACTCTATTTACTATTTAATTGTGTTTGTTTAGGTTCAAAGTCGCCTATTCGCCTTGAACGCGAAGGACTATTTTATTGTGTACGTTAGCCAAGGAAAGATCTTGTTCGAGAAAATTTGGACCAGCCCGCAAGTGGTGAATTTCAAGATGAACATGGAAGAGGGCACGATTCGAATGATCGAGTTTACTAAAGAAATAAAAACCCAAATAATGAGCGCTGCCAATCCGAAGCAAATTTACATTGCGATGCTCAACGTGTTCGGTAAAAAATGTATGTATCGAACACTTCTTAATTGTATTGTATTAATTAACGCGTTTATTCTTTAGGGACCACCAGAGATATTTGTTTCACCTGCGGTGGGTTAGTAATCGGAGGTGTCATCGGATTTGCAATCGGTTTCACCATTAAAAAAAGGCAGCCGATTTTACAATACATGCAAGCCATTCGATGCTCCGACAACATGGGCCCCGAGGTATTCTGAAATTTATCCTTTATCGCCTGAGTAGTACAAATCGTAATTTTTAGTCTATCAATGTTGTAGAAGACGCTCGCGCCCCTCACAAATGCGGCGATTACGGTGTCTTAGTGAACGTTAAAGCGGCCTCGATTCAGTTAGTAGACGTCCAGATCAGTCACGGGTACGGTAGAAATTTGAGGCGAATCCTACAGAAAGTTTATTTGGTAAATTATTACAGGTTTTTACTATGAAAGATAATGATTGTGTAAATTACAGCAATCGCAGCACGAGGAACCGGTGATATTGGGTAGGGATTGTACTGGTATCGTAACTGATATAGGAGCCAAAGTGACTAAATTGGAAGTTGGTGATGAAGTTTGGTTGACGGTGCCGTTTTGGGCCCAAGGAACCCTCTGTCAAACGGTGATGGTACCCGAAAATCGCGTGGCTAGAAAACCGAAGAACGTGGGTTTCGATGGGGCCAGCAGTATCCCGTACGCAGGCAGTTTGGCTTTATCAACGCTAGTGGAAGCTCGATTGGATTCCATGAATGCCGAAGGGAAAAAGTAAGATTATTCTTTAGTAATCCTACTTAATCGAACTAACCTCTATTTCTGTATTTATCGCATTCTTTAAGGATAATCGTAAGGGTAAAAAGTGTAAGGAATTGCGTTTCGATTTCGTGTATTACAGTGGAAATTTTTGTTGCAGGATTCTGATTCATGGAGGTTGCACGCCGGTGGGATGTGTTCTTGTACAGCTGTTACATCAATGGAAAGCCTCGGTAACGGTGACATGTTACAAAAGATCCTTGCCTGTAGCTCAAGCCCTCGGTGCCTCCGACGCCTTAATCGTATCGGAGTCTACGACACATGATAACTTGAATTTCAACGAAGATATATCGAGGATTTTGAATGAATTGGAGGAGAGGGATCAAAAATTCGACGTTATTTTAATAACGGAGAATTATTGCGAATTATCTAAAAAAGAACTCGGCAGGTTCCTGGAGGCTAACGGAATGGTATTGTCAACGTTACCACCTCTAATACCATCGGATAATTATGGAGTAATCAGCAACTTTTTGTTGTATACTTACATCTACTTAAGATATAAATTGCAGGTAAATTTATTTCACAATGTTCATTAAAATATTGCTGTTACAATTTGTTTTTTTTTTCTTTTGCAGAATCTGTTAGGATTACCAATAAATACGTACGATGAGACGCATTTGTGTTCGGTTACTTTAGACAAATTGTCGGAGTTCGTCGAAGATGGGTACGTACAAACTGTTGTTGATAAAATTTATCAACCCCAAGATATTGAAATAGCTGTCAACCATATACAGAGTCCCTATTCTATAGGCAGTACGATTATAACGTTCAGATAGCAAATTAGGTATTATTTTTTTTATTTATACGACGACACACTGCCTAATAAATATTTAGTTTAGTATTGAATTAGATAGGTGTTTAGAGGTATTTTACTCTGTTGGTTGCGTATATTACAAATGAGACTGTGCAATGTAGTAAAATGATAACAATTAGGTTGAATTTACTCCTGATATTTATAAGACAAATTTTAACTAATGGATTTAGTTTTTTTGTGTATCGATTTCCTTTTACATTCTTTAGGTTAACATAAGTTTAAATGTTAGACCGTTTTCAGTAAAATACGTGTAGTCTTGAGGTGCTATTATGACAATTTACTTGACTGTATTTTTTTTATCGAGAAATATATATCGACCTGTTTTATTTACAATTGTTTCAAAATGGAAGAGATTTATATAACTGTTAGAATGAAGTAACGGTAAACTATTATTCAAACATCTTTATTGAAATAAAATTATAAAATAAAACAAATGTGAATCATGTACGAACAACTATATAGCTAAAAATAAAGCAATACTACAAGAAAAAATTGCTGTTCGAAATCCACTTTTGTAGTAGTAGACATAGACAAAGAAAAAGTACAACCATTTCAGGTGCATCTACTTTAAGTAATACCAAGAAATACATCAATAGAAAAAACCTAAACTAATTTCATTCAAAAGCATACAATAAAAAATTTAGAGAATATCAAAATTTTCCGGACAGAAACAGAAAGCGTATTTATTTGAGAGTCGCAAGTTACAAAAAGAATTAGCCACCCTTTATGTCATGGTTCACAAATAATTTCAACATTTAGCTCAACAAAGGTTAATCAATATGAAGGAGCAATGTAGTTTAAATAAGAAACAAACGTTTCAATTAACAGGATTCTTTTCTGAGATCTATTACGCAAACTGAGAGAAAATCAGACTTGAATTTTTGTGGCACTTATTGTCATAAAAATTACGAAAAACGTCGAAGGTCCCCTTATTACTAAATAGCTACCATTCATTTTGAAACGAATAAAATTTTTCAAATATCAACAGTTACATTTATATCAATATTTTATTTTATTTATAATTATTAGACAATATTGGAATGTGGGCGTTAGACGTAAATCTTTAACTTTGTTGAACACATCTGTTGTTTAATTACTCTTTTCGATTCGAGATTCATATATTTATAATCATACAATATTTCTTAAAGCACCTTAACGCATTACGCAAATATTGTTGAAGGGCAAAAGCATCGTCAGCTCTTGGTAAATACACATTTAGTACATAGAAAGGGTTACATTGAATCAATATATAAATAATTGTAGAAATATAGTGTTTGACACAACATATAAAAAATATATATAACAAAAAAATCTCACCTAAACCTGCCAGAAGACAAGATATACAAAAAAACAATTTGTAAAAAAAACGTAAGGTAGAATAAGTTAATAAAAAGTAAAATTGATAAAATGGGATTTCGAAATGACGTCGCTTAAATCCAGTTACAAGTTCAATTAAACTGATTTTATTTAATAAGTATATAGCTGCGTGAAGTTCAAATAGAACGCACGTCATTCCGAAACTACAATAAAGCAGATGCTCGTCGCTAGCGAAGGAAAATACCGTGGGAATACAAGTGCTAATTCGCTTCGGGATTAAAAAATAGCCGATAAACGTCCGTTTACCGTGAATAGCTTATAAAAAATAACGGCCCCCCTCTATTGGGTCGTCTGTTGTTGTATTTCGATTTTCTCCACCGTCATATCCGGATTCATAGCCGTCGCTTCTTGAATGGCTTCGGCCAAAGCCTTATCGTGATCGATCGGATCGCCGTCGGATTGTATCGTTATTTTCTGCTCGACTCGAGTCTCCACTACACCGTCTCGCTCGGTTTTGTACTAAAAACAAACCGATTCGATTAAATTCCAATCATTATTGTATTAGTTTGTTAAAAACTACTCGTAGATTACAACCGAGTGTAGGTGAAATGTGTGTTAAAAGAGTTGCATGTCCAGGAGAGGACTCGTTAATATTATAGTTCAGTTTCAAATCGACATAAAGTGACTCATCCGACAATGTTATGAAAAATAGTGCAGGAGTCATGTCAAATATCTACTCATAAATTATTAAATTCCAATAAAGGTGGAGGAAAAAAGTGGATTCTCGATGGTACAATTGAGACTACTTTAGAGCCTGTTGTAATTAATCCCAATGTATCTGAAAGTGAAGATTCAAATTTTGATGATTCGCTAGTTGCTCATAGAATAGAAACACTGAAATTGCTATTTGAACAACAAAATAAGCTCTTTTTACAGGACAATTCAATATTATTTGAAAAAATTAAATAAGTCCACTTTATTTGAATTTAATGCTATTTATGAGTATATTTAATATTCATACCGCGCCGCTGATATTTGAATTTGACATGACACCTGCACCATTTTTCATAACATCGACGGATGAGTCACTTGATATCGATTTGAAACTGAACTGTAGGCCATAAAATTCTAGGTTTGAGCATGAATTTTACGAGCAACAGTTACTCACTGTAATGGTTTCGACGGTTCTAGTTTTGGAGCTGATGGTTTGCGTGCTAACGATTTCGCCGGTGGCGCTGTACGCCCCATCGTCGGAGGTCAAATTCACTTTTCGCGCCTCCGTCGCCACCACGGGAACGTTCGTGGTGGAATGCACGACCGTCGGATCGCCTCTGTAGACTATGCTCTCGGTTTGCACGATGCCCTCCGGCAAATTGTCCTAAAACATCAGCAAAACGACACGTTAATTACATACAATCGCGTAGTATTAGATGAGAATTATTAATTTACGTAACGAACGAAAAAGCGCAGGCATACGAAATAATAATAAAAAACGGCTTCGCTAGAAATGCACAAAACTCCATGCCGACTATGATATATCGAAGTCATTCTACACACACACATGCGTACTTACATTGCGTAAAATGTACAATAATTTTATTAAACGTTACGATTGTTGTATCGTTTCGATACCATACCTTGTACAACGGGCTGTTGTAATAGGGGTGATTCGGATCGTCGGGCGGATCGATGGGCGTCCCCGAATCGCCTGAACTAGTCGAACTGACGCTGTCCCGTCTGACCAGCTGCATCGAGAATAAGCACATGCGGTTGTTAGAAAATGATAAATAAATTGTCGATTTTAATGCCAGTTAAACGTATCGAATAAGTGGATGGAACTTAAGTTGATTTGATGCTTCGAATGCGGTGCATCTATTAAGTCGAATATTAGGGATTTTGTAGGCGCGCTTAAATTATGTTTAGTATCCACTCGATTAATCAAACAATAAATGAACACGGGGATTAAATAAAAAGAAATTAAACCGAAAAAAAAAAAAATCAACTATTAACCTGCTCTCCGCTGACTACCGTGCTGGTGGTCTTGACCTCCTGCCTGACGGTGCGCTGCTCCTGCCTCGTGGCGCTCGACGTCATCGAGTGGGCGACCGTCTTCTCTTCGAGCTGCTGGGTGCGGGCGTTGGTGCCCAAATCTTCGTGCGTGGTGGCCGTCCTGGTGGTGACGGCGCGCGCGGTGATGAACGGCGATTTCACGTCGTCCGACGGTACGTCAGCCTTGGTTTTCGTCGACGAAAAAATAATAGAAAAAAAGAAAACGTGCGAACGTAAAATAAAACGAACCAAACGATCGGGGGATGCGAGTGTTGGAGGGGGGGATTTGCGTATCGCCCTGTATCTATGAGATGCTTTTTGGGGGGATGTTTTGGATAAAAAATCGAGGGGTGATGTATGAGTAAAATTAAAGCAAAATAATTTGAACTCAACCGTCTTGGAATAAATTAAAAATAATCGAAATTATAACTAGCATTATTGCTAATATGAACGACTGAAAAAGAAGACAGAAAATTGCATTACAAACGCGGAATGTGAGCAAAGAATCGTTTTCTTTGATTCGACCGAAAATATTTAGAAAGTTTAGAGAAAAAATTATTTTCTACGATTGCCCTAAAATAAAGATTTTTTAACCTTCCAATTAAAAATAAATAAATCGTTAGTAAGAAATTTTGCATTTCTCGCACCCTAAATTTAAATGACAAATTTTTATACAGGGCGTTTATTGTAAAAACCGCCAAAGTTTAGTAGGCGATTATAATTAATTTCGAATAAAAAATGTCATATAACACTTTTTCGAAAAGTTGATAGTTTCTCTTTTATTTTACGTTTCATTGTTTAATTTTTTTTGTTTTTTTTTTCCAAAAAGACGCAAATATCACTTTTATTTATACCGTTTAATCATATACCGTAAAAACGCATTAAACTTCCTATAGGAAAAGTATCTATCAGTTTAAAAAATAAAATTCAGTAGGTATTATAAAAAAATTAATATAGTTACGAAATGAACAGAATTATTTGTACCTTTTAATGGTCGTAAAGCCAAAATTTACCATCAACTTTTCGAGAAAGTGTATTTTTTGTTCTAAATTACTTGTATAATCACATCCTGAAGTTATGCAGTTTTTATAGTAGACACCCTGCATAAAAAAAGCCTACAACCTACTCGAAACAAATTATTAAAATCTTAACCATAGTAATAAAAATAGTATAGTGTGCAACACACCTTTTGCACGATACACTATTAAATTCAAGATAAATTACTGAAACTCACCTTATTGACTTGCGTGGAATAGGTAATTTCGCCGGTACGGCCGTCCTCGACGCGTTCCTCGATGTTCTGCGTGAGACCGCCCTTGTCCTTCGTCACCACCTGCTTGGTGGTCGTCTTGACGATGACGGGAGTGCTGGGCCCCTTTTTGCCGCGCGACACCTTCAAATTGGTGAGATCCTGCAGATTGTCGGCGGCGTACTCGGCCAAATCGTCGTCGCTGGTCTCGTCCGACGAGCCGTCGGCGCCCTTGGCGTAGGTCTTCACCTTCACCTTGGTGTCTTTGAGGTCCTTGAAGTGCGTGGGATCGATTTGGGCGTAGTTGAGCACCAGCTCGCCGGTGACGGGGTCGCGGCGCGCCGTCTTCGGATCGATGTCGCCCGTTTGCGGGTCGATGTGGCCCCATTCGGTGTGGATTTTACCGGTGACCGGGTCGATTTCGCCGGTGAGCGTGAGCACTTGGGTGACTTTGGTGTCGGCGCTCTTCACCAGCGGATCGTTGGGGTCCACCTGCACCACTTTGCCGGTTTTGGGATCGACTATGCTGTAGATGTAGACGGTTTCTCGCGTCACGTTGATGATGCGGCCGGTTTTCTCGTCGAATTGACAGTCGTCCGGGTCGATTTCCTTGGACTTCCCTTGCGGGTCGGTTTGGGACACCAGGTAAATGCGTACGATGACGAATTTGCCGGTTTTCGGGTCGATTTTGCCGTATTTCGTGTAGATCTGTCCGTTTTTGGGATCGATTTCGGAGGCGGAGTACAGAGGAGCGCCGGTGTCGTCGAGCTGGGCCGTCTTGGTGAACACCTGGTTCGAATGAGGATCGACTTTCACGTAATTCGGATCGATCTTCGTGAGTTTCGCTACCGAACCGGATTTGGGGTCGGCTTGTCCGGTCACGGTGACTATGTAACCGGTTACCGGATCGATATGACCGGTCGTGTATATCTCGTTTTTAGTAATAGGATCGTCGTAATCGTACACCCACACTTGATTGTTCTTGGGGTCGATTCGTACCTTCTTCTTCTCTTTTTTAATAGTTTCACCGGCTTCGTTTATCTTCGGATCGTTAATCAGCACGGCTACCAATCGACCGTAGTTCGTATCGATTCGTCCGGTTTTCGGATTGGGGTAGCCTTTGAACAGTATCTGCCCCGTGGTGGGATCGATGGTGCCCTGTTTGACTTCGACGCGACCCGTTTTGGGGTCGGTATGCGTCAGGGTGGCTTTGACGGGGTCGATTTGGCCGAGTTTCGTGTCGATTTTGTGCGTCGTGGGGTTGTACAAGCCGTTGGAGATGTCGTAGGCGACGTTTTTCGTATCGATCACGTTCTTCTTCGAATCGATTTTACCCGAGAACGTGACGATTTGGACCTCCGGCTCGATTTCCGGACCCATTTTGATGATTTGGCAGAGCTCCGGGTTGACGGTGTCGCTCTTGGGGTCCCTCACGCCCGTCGGGACGATGAAGTTGTTTTCCTCGTCGATTTGGATCAGCCTGGATTCGAGCTTGCCGGTCTTCGGATCGGCGGCGGTGATTTTCTGCTCTTTGGTGTTGATCGTGCCGTATTTCGTTTTGATTTCGCCGGTCGACGAGATTTTCTGCGCTTTGGAGGTCTCCATGTGGCCGTTGTGGACGTCGACGAATCCGGTTTTCGGATCCCTTTTGGCGGTGATAGTCGTTATTTCTAATATGGGATCGTTTTGGCCGGCTATGCTGATTATTTGTCCCAAGGAGTTGTCGATCTTGCCCGTTTTGGGATCGCTCACGCCGCTCGAAACGATTATTTGACCGGTGATGTCGTTTACTAGAGCCGATTTGGCGTCGACTTTTCCGGATTTTTGATCGTTGATGATGATTTTACCGTTCTTGGGATCGATTAATCCGTATTTGGACTCGATCAATCCGGTGTCGGGGTTGAGCAGAGCGGTGGATTGCTCGATTTGGCCTTTCTCGTTGTCGATTTTACCGGTTTTCGGATCGATTTTCGTCGTGATCACCGTTATTCTGATGACCCTCTTCTTGGGTACGGGCGCAGCATTAGAGTCTTGGGCTTGCTTCAATCCCACTATAGTAAATACCTGTCCCAAAGTCGGGTCCGGTTTTCCGGTAGCCGGATCGATAACCGGGCCCCCGTTGATGATTATGTTACCGGTGGATGGGTCCACTCTACCGGATACGTTTTGGCTGTTCCCAGTAGCATCTTTGGTTATCAACGAACCGGTGGTGGGGTCTAATAATCCGTATTTGGTTTCGACCAGGCCGTTTTTCGGGTCTACTATGCCAGTAGAATGCTCGATCGTACCGTTTTCTGTATCCACGAAACCGGTAGCGGCGTTCTTTTTGCCTGTTATAACCATGATTTTAACGATGCGGTGCTTGGCTATCGGTTGTAACACCCCAGTGATGACCTCCTGCGGTTGGGTTTCCAAACTCGCCGATTTAACAGGAGTCGCCAGTTTAACCGGAGGAGCCGGGGGTGCGGTTTTAACCGGAGACGTGGTTACCTTTTGAGGTATTTTAACAGGAGAAGTACGTTGCATTTCTTTCGTAGACGGGTGTTGAGAGGTGATCGAATCGATCGGAGGTTCTATTATATGAACCGAGAGTACCCTGCCGAGGTCTTTGTCGATTTTGCCGGTCTTGGGGCTCGTAACGCACGCTTTGAACAGCAAATCGCCGGTGTTGGGCTCGATGTGGCCTTGCTTGACTTCGGTTTTGCCGGATTTCGGTTCGATGATCGACAGAGTCTCCGATATCGGATCCAAGTGGCCGTATTTCGTGTAAATCACGTTCTTATCGGGATCGTACAAACCGGGCGTGACCTCCGGCGTGGCGCTCTTCGAATCGATCGTGTTCTTCTTCGAGTCGATTTTACCCGTCAGCGTTTTTATTTGGATTTCGGGATCCACTTCGGCGCCGACTTGTACGATTTCCACGCCGTTGCCGCTGGTCGAGATGATGATGTTGTCGTCTTTGTCGACTTGAACGGGTTTTTCTTGGATGAGTCCCGTCTTGGGATCTCTGGCGGTGATTCTCATCAGTTTGAGGCTGATGGTGCCTTGTTTCGTGACGATTTCGCCGGTTTCGGGGATTATTTTACCGTTGCTAATTTCGGTTTTGCCGTTCTTGAAATCGATCGCTCCCGTTTTGGCGTCTCTGGTGGTGGTGATCGTGGTGATTACCACAGCGGGGTGTTGGGGATCGACCACGTTGATCACCTGCGACAAACCGTGATCGATTTTACCCGTTTTGCTGTCGATCACGTTGTCGTCCAAGTAAATTTGCCCGGTATTATCGTCGATTTTAATCGGCGTGACGACGGGCTTGCCGGATTTGTCTTTGGTGACGCACTTCCTGTTCTGCGGATCGATTTTCCCGTACTTGGATTCGATGATGCCGCTCACCGGATCGACTGTAGCCGTTAATTTCTCCACGGTGCCTTTCTCGGTGTCGATTTTACCGGTGGACGGGTCCTTTTTGCCGGTGATGACGAGTATCTTAACGACGCGTTTCTTGGGCACCGGATGCGACGGCAGGAGGTTCTTGACGGGCACCTCGTCTTTGGGTTCGTACGAGGCGATGGCGATGATCTGGCCGAGCGCGGGGTCCTTCTTGCCGGTGCGCGGATCGATGACGGGACCGTTGGGTATCTGCAATTGCCCGCCGGACGGGTCGATGTGCCCCTGGACGGTTTCTTGTTTACCGGTGGCGGGGTCGATGATGGTGAGGGTGGCCCGTTTGGGATCGATCAGGCCGTATTTGGATTCGATTTCGCCGTTGGGGGTGAGTATTCCGGCCGATTGGTCGACGTGGCCGTGTTCCAGATCGAGTTGGTTCGTTTTCGGGTCTCGCTTCGCCGTGATCGTGAGTATTTTAACCACTTTACTTTTGCCTTTGCTAGGAGAAGGTTGGGGCAGTTTGACCGGTGATACCGGCACGCCTTTCGGTTCGACTTTTCCCGCGGGAACGAGCGAGCTTGCGATGCTGGGATCGGCTTTGTTCTCGCTCAATTCGAGCTTAATTACCCTGCCGTAACTGCTGTCGATTTTTCCCGATTTCGGGTTGACGAGGCCTTTAAAGAGCAAATCGCCCGACGGTTCTTTAACGCCTTGCTTGACTTCGGTTTTGTTCGTTTTAGGATCGACGAAACTCAAAGTCTCGTTAATTAGATTTATCACGCCGTATTTGGTGTAGACTTTGTTGGATTCCGGATCGTACATGCCGATGGATTTTTCCGGAGCCGTTACGGTTTTCGGGTCGAGTCCTTTTTTGTCGACTTTGCCGCCTTGCGAGGTAATTACTATTTCCGGATCGATTTCCGACTGGATTTGTAATATCTGGCTCAATGAATTATCGCGATTGCCCGTTCTGGGATCTATCACGCCGTTTAATACGATCACGTTACCGTTCGTATCTAATTGAATCGCGTGCTCTTCGATTTTTCCTGTTTTAGGATCGCGCGATTTGATCTTCAAGTTCTTCATATCGACGGTACCGTATTTGGTGATTAGCAGGTTGTTCTTGGCGTCGATTTTGGCGTTGGTAGTCTCCTTGTGGGCGTTGGCGGGATCCAATTGCCCGGTTTTTTGATCGCGCTTGGCGGTCAGCGCCGTGACTGGTACGATGGGATCGCCTTGTTCCGATATTTTGATCAACTGGCCCAAGCTGTTGTCTATTTTGTTCGATTTGGCGTCGACGACGCCGTTTCGTACGACGAAGTGCCCGAGATTCGTGTCGATTTCGATCGGATAGACCTCCGTTTTGCCGGTTTTGGGATCCCTCGAGGCGATCGTGCCGTTGCCGGGATCGATTACTCCGGTTTTGGTTTCGATTTTGCCGGTGACGGGGTCTAAAATGGCCGCCACGGTCTCGGTGTGGCCCTTCTCGGCCTCGACGCGACCGCTCTTCGAGTCTTTCTTGGCGGTGGTGATGGTGATTTTTATGATCCTCTTCTTGGGCACCAAAGGAAGCTTGCCGACTGGCGAGCTCGGCGAAGCTTGGATAGAAATAATCTGGCCCAATGTCGAACTTTTGTTTCCGGTTTTCGGATCTATGACCGATCCGGAGGTGATTATGATTTGCTTTGTAACGGGATCGACGTGACCCTGGACAACTTCCTTTTGCCCGTTCGTACGGTCTGTTATAATCACCGTACCGTTCGAAGGATCGATTAAACCGTACTTGCAATCGATTAAGCCGGTATCTAAGTGTTTCTCGCCTACAGTTTTCTCGGCTGTAGCCGTACTTAAATCGATGTAACCGGTTTTGCTGTCTCTGTTGCCGGTAACAACATACAAAGTGATGGGTACAGTTTTCTTTGGACCGGCAGCTGGGACTGGAGACGCAGCCGCCGCTTTAGAAGGTGCTTCGTGGGCGTATTTCTCGCCTTCGATGAAAGCAGCGCTATCCGACTTGGGATCTTTAAACAATGGATCTTTCTTTATTTTACTCACATCGCCGGGGGCGTAATTGAAAGCGGTAGCAGTGGCTCTTTTGCCGGGCGATTGGGGTAGCTTCTGCTCTTCCTTGGGGCTGGTAGGGCTCTGTTTGTCGTAGCTGAAACCTTGTATGACGGGTTTTCGCGGGGTGGCTTCGGCGGTTTCGGGCTCCTCGTAATCGTACTGTCTGGTGTAGCCGGGCAATTGGGGCGACCCGACGGGCGGGCCGCCCTTGTCTTTATCGGCGCCGGCGGCGAGTTTTTCAGCTTCTTTCTTCTCCTTGGGCGTTTTGTCCTTCTTTGAACCGAACGGAAAACCGAGGCTCTAATGTGTAAATAGAAAATACATGCAAATTAATACACATGCAATGTTTCTAACTAAAACCGAGGTTTTAACTGATTCGTCTTAAGAATATTATGTATAATTGTTTACTTGCATATTTAACTAATTTGGAAATGTTTGAAACTTGCGAATCAATCTACAACAATTTCATAAACAAACTACGAAAAGGCATGTAACTAGTAACCAAACAAATCAATAATAAAACATCAATTTATAACATCGATTACGGCTAAGAAAAACCACATTTATGCGTACATAATTCACATTAATCCGTACCTTTCCTTTCTCCTTTTTATCGCCAGGGCTCTTATCGCTTTCGTTAGTGGTATTTAACTGCGATTCATCGACTCCGTTCTGTTGAGGAGCGTTTAAATCGCGGTTTTCCTTGTCTTTGTCTTTATCGCTTTTTTTGCCAAACAGACTACCAGCGGGCAAAACAGCGACTCCGCCGACAGGCTTCGTTTTCTAACGAAAAACAAAAAACACACAGTGAAGCTAAGCGAAGAACAGCGTATGCAGAAAGCTCGCTTTACAGAAGCTCAAGACTCCAGTACGCCTACCACGAAATATAATAGTCGACGCGAATGTGTTACTAGTTTTTTTTTATGCAACTATTATATTTTGGGTAGAGCGTTTGTTCGAATAACAAATGGAAAGCATCGAAGCGAAAAACGTCTACGTAAAAACCAAAAAATAATACAGTAGTAGAAAGAAGTTGAGCTAAACGTAAATTGGACCTTTTCGATTTTTTCCGTCTCGTATTCTCCTTCTATTGAACTAGCCGAACTCCCGGATTTTACCGATCCTGAACTTCTGTTCCTAGCAAGCTAATTCGATAATCAAAATAACCCATTAGATTTTTAGCATCTCTCGCATCACACACGAGTGTTCTATTTTCTAATATCCTTTAAATTGTTCACACAAGCACAAAATAGAACACCCAATAGATCTCAAACGCATTCAAAATACCTTTTCTTTCTCCTTTTTCTCCTTGGGAGACTTCACGGCCGCCGGCGCTTGACTGTCGATGTCCGGAATATGTTCCGGAGGGTGAGACATGGTGTGTCGTTTGTTCGCTTCGTTAAAATCGTCTTCGGTTCGTAATCCACCGAGTGCTATAAACAATGAATTGTAAATTTCGCAGGATAACAGAAATCCGTTTAACTTACGATCCATGCTACGCGAAGCCAAACGTTTGCCGGTTAGGGAACGTTCGAACTGCGGAGCCGGACGATCGATGGGTGTTTTCTTGGTTTCGTAGTGAGTTCGTCCGGAATACCGGAATTTCGAACCCAGTTTCGGAAATAGGGATGATTTCTGATTGGTTTCCGGAGACATCAATCTGAAATAGTAATTGTGTGATTAACGGTATTTACATCACAAAAGATGTGTTTTACCTGAAAAACGTATGATGTTCAACGCAGGTTTTCCACAACTTCTTAGCTGCTCTGTGGTTAGCCAATTTAAATCCGATGGTGGATTCGAATTGTTCGAAATCTCCCGGACGAATTTTTATATAGAAATTGTGCCTTTTGTAGCTGATTTTAATGATTTTCGGCCAAGCGAATCGGTTAATTCGAAGCCGATCTCTGTATACCAACAAACCAGAGGCACAAACACCTACAAAATTAATATATTTAAAAACAACTTAATTAAATAACACTTCCAGCATCTTACCTAACATAATATCAACGCCTTCCGAGTCCTTAGCCGGGTGCAAATCTACACCGTACATTGCCAACTTCTTAGCATTCTCCAGATAATGCAATTCAGCTTCAGCAGGCGTCTGTCCCCTTTAAAAAAAACCTCTTATTTAACCCCGTTTTCCATAAATAGTTCAACGCTTACTTGTGAGTCTTATGCAACTCCATAACTTTCTGTTCGAGATCCTCGTTCTGGTTGGGAGCAAACTTGAATTCGCTCACGTAATTCTTCCTCATGGTTTCGGGATCGTAATCGCCCAATTCGGACTGGACCAGGTAGGACCCCAGCAGGGCGTGAGTGACGAATGAACACGGCAGACGATTGTTTAGAATATCATTTCGAATTTGAAGACACAAATGGTATCTCGTTATATCCTCCAGCAATTGGGCCGGGTCCGGGGGATAGAACTTTACCTCGAAGCTGAACGACCACAGTTCACCTGAAACAAATTCGATTAATCATCGGGTATCTTGGCTGCATAACTATAGAGTTTTTCTGTTTAATTGCATCGTTTTGGACTTACCTCTGGTGAACTTACTTATTCTTTTTTCTAAATCCAGCCAATTTCTCGAGTCGTGTCGGTCCGCGTAGACGAGGCCGAAGTAATCTTTTTCTATCAGATTGATTGCTTCGCAAACTTTGTCAAGCAGTTCCTTGCCTTTGGCCTTCCTCTGAAATTGCATTTAAGTAAAAATGCTGCACTTTCGGGTGATTTAAGGGTACTTACGTCGATACTAATGGACAGAACGGTGCCATCTAGCATGGAAACTTTAGTGGAAACTTTAGTGGATGATTTTTTGGAAGAGAGGGTATCACTGTCGACTGCCATTTTCTTATCTTCGGGCATCCTCGCCGCTTAGCTGGAAAATAATCGGGAAAATAAAAATTTATTTATCAACGGTAGCTCAAAAAAACTTGAATCACCTACGCATTTAAAGCGAATGTGAAGAGGTCACAGTGTAGTTTATTTGATAAACTGAGAATAATTGTGTACAATTTGTATCTAAAAATAGTCGTTTGAAATACCATTAGGAGAAATTGTTGCTGATGTAACGTTGGTACACATATTTATTTAAATAAAAGAACAATTGGATTGAATTTTATTATTTTTTTATCGTTACTTCTTCATGTGAAATTAGTCAACAATCTACTGTGCTTTCTTTCAACGTGTTAAATTCAATTCGAGTAAATAACCGAAATTAAAGTCATCATCATCATGACATCATTAGCATTAAATAACTCATTACTCCAGTATCAATTTAAAAAAGAGAAATTACAAATTCGTTTATAAAATTCCGGCGGATCGGCTCTCGCAAACGATTTTGATTTGCATAATTCCAATAAGGAGTAAATTTAGCAAATTAGTCACTAATTTGCATTTCTGCGTTTACGTCGCGCCGTACTTTAGGGAACCACCTTGTAAGAAGATCCAGTTCTATTTGACCTACTTGCAGCAAAAATTTAACGAATCGAATTTTGAATTGGTACAGCTCAAATTCGTCATTAAATGACTCGATCATCGATTACTTGGATTTAAAGGGGATTTAAAAAAAACGTAACAAGCCAAAGCCTACTAATATTGTGCTGTTGACGACTATTAATTAACGGGAACTTCGCTCGAATTAACTTTACTTTTTTTACCTATAAAATAATCAATCGAACGCATAAAATTAACGGTAAAAACACTTTATTGCTCTCTAAAATCCTTGTATGAATTCATAATTAAATTAACGAGAGTAAAGTATGCATCAAGTAGGCATCCTCCCAAGTGTTATTGTTGTGGTGATTTAAAGGTTATAAAAATATTTACAAATTACCCCCGGGGGGGCTTCTTTTGGCGGATTATAGAATATTTATCGGCTCACCTTATCAAAAACAGTAAATATCCATAAATCGACGGTGTTTTTATTATGGAAACGGCAAACACATTCACAGCGAACTGGGATGGGCCACAAACCATAAACAACAGAGCAGAAACGATGAAACGACAATCCACCCGTCAAACGAACGCACTCAATCGCCGAGGATACCCAAACAATTTAATTTATTTAACAGAAATACCGAACAAACTATCGCGAAACGCGCTAATACGCAAAATACAAACGAAATCCATTCATAATTACGTACTTTTACGTTAGTTCCGAACGAAATAATTAAATTAGCGAATGTTATAGGTAGGATCTAGTTTTCGATGCGAACAAAATGGTGGAGCGCACGAAAGAAAATTACGTCACCTGTATTTAAAGAAATGATAATTGATAAATGTCACACCCATTTACACACCGGTTCGTTGTCTTGTCGCTTGCATTCCTAATCACTTATCAATTAGAAAGCGGCCGTACTCCTGTGTAAATAAGAAAATTCGTCGGGCGAATTAAATTTCCACAGCCAACAAAATTTTCATTCATAAAACTTAAAACAGTCATCTGTAATTATTTGATTCACGTTGAAAGTGTTATAAAAACACAATCATCTTATCATGTTTAAATTAATTAACGAATTGTAAAGATAATACAAGTAAATAGTTTTTAGAAACCGCCACAGTAAAAGGCTTTTAGTGAGAAGATTCGGAGGTAATTACAGGACCGTACCCAGCGTGTTGCCCTTTAATTAATCATGATTTTGTAAAATCTGTGACATAAATCCATTTCATTAGCATATATTTCTATACTATATTTGTTTCTGTACAAAAAAACAATTTTAAAGTATTATTATGAATAATTTCGCTTAAATCTTCTGCAGGTTCATTTCGAATGGCAGCTAAAACATCGACGACTTGATTAATATTGCAGGGCTCGTTTCTGCTCTTCACTAGACAATCCGGTTTCCACTTTTCCTTCTTCATTGAGGGTAAAGCTAGATTTTCTTTAGAAATATACTTGTAACCGGCATGCGAAGGCCTAATTTCGCACCAAGGGCAATCGGTTTCTATAAGGATTTTGTCCGAAGGTAACGATTTGGCCGTTACTAAATTCTCTTCGGTTTTTAAGGAACACCCGTTCAATCCGATGTACAATCCCAAATCCATAAACTTTTTCGCTTCTTCGATGGTCCCGTCGAAACTATGAACGACGCCTTTTAAATCCGAATGCTTCGATAAGATGTCGTACAAATCGTTGGCTGCGTTCCTGCAATGTAAAAACAGGGGCAAATCGAAGCATTTGCTCATGGATATTTGATATTCGAAATATTTCAATTGGGTGTCTTTAGTGCAAAAGTGCAGCCTGTCGTAATCGAGCCCGCATTCTCCTATGGCCACTATTTTGTTTCTACCAGAAGCTACAACATCTTTTAGCTTTTCTAAGTAGGAGCTCGGTCCACCTTCGAAGTTATCGAATTCACCGCATCTCGTAGGATGACACCCAACTGTGCTGAATAGTCTTGAATCGGTTGTGGATAGTTCTAAAGCTCGTTTGCTTTCCTCCAAGTTTCCACCTGTTATTATTATTTTGCTCAAACCGCTATTCCAACTTCGTTCTAGTACGTGAGGCAAATCTGGATCGTGCTTTTTGCTGCCATTGTATATTCCGGAGTACATGCTATCGGTCAGGTTGGCTCCGATGTCTATAAATTTTGCGATTTTTAATCTCGACATGTTTTTAAACGATTTTAAATATGTTGATTATTAGTTAGGTTATATTTATAATTCAACTGTCAATGTCAATGGTCTTCATTCTTCATTTTTATGAAAATGAAATGTAGCTGTTGTATGGGATAGTAAGAGGATGATAATGAGGCGAGTCATCTGCCGGCGGCTGGTGTAAAGAATTTCGGCAATGTGCAATGCAGCCACCCGACGAATTTTTGGTAAAATAAGTTGGTAAAAATGGTGCTGTGTTGCATTGCATTGTTGGAACAAAATTTTTATAAAATGGCTGATTATTCTGCAGGAATCATATGCGATTAGTGATTTTAAAATTTAAAAAGTATAGGTTTTACTAATTTCTTTTGGTTTGCTTTATCCGTCTTTGCCATTTTAACGTTGTATTTCGAATGAATGTGGCCTAGTTGTGTTGTGTAATGCAGTTTGTGTATCTAGCTAGTGGACAAGTGGCGATAAGATCAGCTAATGTTTTTACTAAAATATTAGTAATAGTTGGATCGCCCTAATTTCCAACCATCCGATATTAGGCTTCTAACGTAAGTATTGAACTGGTGGCGTTCGATTTATTTTTACATACGGCTTCAGGAAGGCACATCGCGATGCCAAAGTTTACGCACTGTTACTTTGCCTTTATTTAAAATATAACGAGGTATTGTTAATTCAATTTTTTTTATTGTTCGTACACACTTACGTTGTTGTATGTTTAAATTTAATTACAGGTGATATTCCGGATTGTTTAATTTCGTATAGGCGGCTTTATTTGATTTATCCTCCATCATTTCATTTCGGATTTAAGCCTGCAGACGTAAAAATATGCTATCTACAACAATTATTTATATTAAAATTGAACGGGATTTGTTTGTAGAATACGTTTAAATATGTTTCAGAACAAATAGAGAAACGTTTTAGAGAATTTGCCAATGTCGCAATTGACCTGAATAATTTCCTTCCTCCTAATATTCTTGATTAGCTTTGAATCATAATTGTAATATAAATGAACGTAGTGTTAGTTAAGTAGGTAGTATAGTTAATGATGAAGCAAAATTTTAACATTTAACTTACGATTTTTAGCTTGTGGAGGTGGGTCTACGATGGACAAACACCCCCTTAAAAATGAACCTACCTCAGATATATCTCATTTAAAACTTCACAAGCCTCCGGAAATATGCTTTGTTTGCGGCAATCAAAATCAGCCTTACATCTATTACTTAAATACCAGACCAATAGCAGAAAAACCTAAAGAACCTTATTTTCCATTCTTGGAATCGCACGAACCTCCAGTAGGACACATATCAAAGAGCAGCCATTCGGTGCCCGCTTGCTACTTGTGTTACAAGCTCTTACTAGAACAATGGGACGCCTACGAGTTAACATCGAAGCCGCACTCTGAGAGATTGTACTGGCTCAAACGAGTCGATAATGGTCCTTATACGGGAGCGGATATGGGCATGCAAGGAGAGTACGCAGCTCAAATGCTAGGTTTAAATAACGACGGTATCCCTAACATAGGCCATCGAAACATCATCGGTGTTAAGGACGAGGTAAAGTCGAAACTGAGCGGCAGGCATTCACAGGTAGATTTATCAAAAACAAATCATATTTATTGATACATATTATAAATTTGTTTTCCAGCCACCCGTTACGCCTAGGAATGACGTCGATACGATCTCGGAAAGCGCTTTGGACCTCACGCATCCGAGTCCGGCGCCCGCTACGACAGCTTTCATTCAGTCCGTTCCTTCGTACGCCCACAGCCAAAATTCCAATTCGTCGACGAGCACCGACATCCTCGATTTGAGCATGCCCGATAAGAATTCGTCGACGGAAGTGTGCTACGTGTGCGGCGACGAATTCAAGCGCGGCAGCTTGGACTACGTCGCTTCCAAGCAGATAAACGATTCACCGTTGAAGCCTTTCTTTCCGAGCCTGATCGAGCACCCGCGGCCGAGCAGGAGCAGGCCGATCGATTCGTCGGGGCGCGTGCAAGCTTGCATCGAATGCCAACAGCACTTGCTGAAGCAGTGGCAGACGTTCCAAGTGCAAGGTATACCGCACGCCGAGCGCAATTACACGTTGCGAAAAAGGCAGAGTTCGAATTTAGACACCACTACTTTCATATGCTATACGTGCGCTTTGGAGTATCCGTCGAGCAGTATTCGACTATTATATTGCTGTCAGAACGCTGAGAAGGAACCGTATTTTCCTTTTATACAAACGCTCAAAGCGCCGCCGGGCGCTAGTCCCATTAGTCCGCAAGGGATGGTGCAGGTGTGTTCTATTTGCTACAAATCGATACCGCAGAAACATCAGGTAATCTAACATCGTACGACGAAGTAAATAGATGGTTTAATTAGACATTTTCTTTAGGTCTTCGGCGGCGATCCGGCTTCCGTTAGTGGAAATCACGTTTCCGTTAACGATATAATCCTCCACAACAACAATTCGTCTAGGCCTAGTACTGTAAAATCGCCGGCCAACAGCGCCGGCTCGGATATTAGATATAAACCGTACGACATTAATTCAAGCATTATGTTGAGTAACAAGAAAAAACAGCCGCTATTAGATGGCAGACAAAACGCCAAGGTGAACGAATTTCCTTTACATTTATGTAATTTTTAGGCTTAAGATTAGAGTTACTCTCTAATGATGTTCATTAGTGTAGTAGTTTTGTAATTAAAAATGAACCAATCATAGATGTATAGTTTTGTTAGAAATATGTACAGAATTAGGGTTTCTTCTTTATCGTAGAAACTAGATAAATATAGCTATAAGAATTGTGCTATAATGATCATTATAGTACTAGTTTTGCAATGAAATATGAACCAATCACAAATGAACAATTTTATTAGAAATATGTACAGAATTAGGGATTCTTTTTTAACTAGATTAATATAAAGGGTTCATATAGATGTTCATTAGAGTACTAGTTTTGCAATGAAAAACAGATGTACAATTTTTTTACAAAAATATACAGAATTAGGATTTCTTTTTTAGCATTAGAAACTATACGAATATTCGAAGATAAACTAACATATACAATTCAAATGCACGAATACAATTTAATTTTCTTCAACTAATCTATTATGTACAATTTAGCCGTTACTTTCTACTCGAACGACGTCACCGTCGCCGGACATCAACGGGCAGAGCAGCAACCAGAACTATCGCTGTTACATTTGCATCGGTCTGTACACGCGTTCCCAAATGGAATGGGTCAGTACGTCGGCGGAGGGTATGAATTCTCACGCGATGCATTTCCCTTGCTTGGCGAAAATATCCCGTTCGTCCGAGAACAGCTGCATGGATTCGCACGGGCGCGTTTTGAGCTGTACCAAATGCGTCAAGTATTTGGCCCAACAGTGGGAGGGTTTCGAAAACGATAGGGTACCGTTAGAAAGAAGAAGGTATGTTGTTTTTATTAGTAGAATTTATATAGCGAGAGTATAATGTATATGGTTATTTTAGATATGATATTCCTACACCAGAAACGGCAACTAACGGTGATCAAGGCATCCCCACGCCGCCTAGCACTAACAGCGATAGAACGGTGTGTAGTAACAGCAATCCCGCGACTGCAGGCAGCAGCATTTACTGTTTCCTATGCGGATTGCATTCGGAGTTAACGCTAGCTCGCGTTATTTACAGCAAACCTCAAGGTAAAAAACCTCCCTATTATCGACTCGTATCAGTTCGATAAGAATCGTACATCGTTCCAGGTCGCAACGCTCCGTATTTCCCCTATCTGCTGAGCCACAAGAGCCACCCGAACGCCGAGCAATTGCGAGAGGACGGCTCGGCGTTGGTGTGCACGTTCTGCTATCACAGCCTCGTCAGCCAATGGAGGAAGTACGAGGCCCAAGCGGCCGGCGTCGTCTCGTCGGCCGACAAGCGCGACTACAACACGCACGATTACTGTTGCTACGTGTGCGGCATCACGACGTACAGGAAGCGCGTGCGCGCGTTGCTCATCAAGGATTTCCCGTTTTTGAAGTTCCACCCGCAGCCGGAGCACTCGCTGCTGCTGGAGAACGGCGACTACGCCGTGGTGTGCTTGGACTGCTACGAAACGTTGCGCACGCAAAGCTTGGAGTACGAGAGATGGGGCCTGCCGCTCGACAAGCGCCAGTACAATTGGATCACGCAACCGCCGCCGCCCGAAGATAGTCCCGAAGTTATGGTGGCTAGATTGCCTAGCGGTCAACGTAGCGATAAAGTCGTAAGTACAATACGTTCTATTAATAATAATCGGTTTATTACATACTTCAAATCGCAACACAAAAGACATACAAATCTCGAATTTCAACAGTCAGTTAATATGGTATGCATCTTGGCTCGCAATCGCGATTTAAAAATGCCAATCGTCCGCCATTTTGAAAATTATCCAATTTGACGTATTGTTTTGTCATTTTTCGTGGATCCGAATTGTTCCGAACTCGCACTCGGCGAACGCATTTCTTGCGGCCTTTGACAGGTGAGAATCTTCGGAAAAATAACAAACATAACCTTATACTTTGACATATATGTCAAATTCCTATTTCTTTTTTCTTATTATTTATATCATTGGAATTACTATTTAAAATATTCTCGAGTTTTTTAATATTTAATCTTAAAAAAGGTGATAAATTTCATTGCATATCCTATTTTCGTTTGAATTTAACTCACCAGTGACTTCATTGCGCAAAGCGAACCGAATTGTGAACGCTTTCAATCATACCTTGTATACTTGTATCATGGCCTTTTACTACGTCGGTGTCCAATACCGCGAGCATTTAGCGACTATATCTATTGAAATTGAATCGGAAAGGTTCGTTAAACGAGTTTGTTCTTCGCAGGTGCCTCCGACTCTAGTGGCTAAACAGAACAAAAGGAACCATTCGCCGAAAATACCCGACAAAAAAGTCTCGAAAGGGGAAACGAGACCAGGTAAGAGACTCGATAATTTCTGTAATTCACAATTTATAGGGGTAGATGGTTAAATTATATCATTTTAGTCTTTCTGTTCGTTGCAAAAAATGGATAAAAATATCCAAAGTAATTCGTTAAAAGAGGTTTTATGCCAATTAACACCCTTAACCATCCACTCCTATGATGAATAAACAATCTGTTTCGGAATATTTCTCTATTCAACACGATTTAAAACTCGAATTTTTTTACTCTACCTCTAGAGTAATTTTCTCGAGCGCGTTCGTTTCGAACTCCCCCCGTAGACGAAACTAGTTATTAGCCCCTCGTAAACCGAGCGAGACGGTCGGGATTTTTGTAATAGCAGAGCCGTTTTCGTCGTTTCCCCGGTCGCGCGCGCGATAGGAAGGGTGGCGAAAGCAAACAGAGGGTTGACGTTTATCGATGTTGCGCGAACATTTGCGTCGAGCCCGTTCGAATCACACGCCCAAAATAATATTTACGATTTCGCCGGATTTGCGACGATCGCCCGTCGTTTTCGTCGACGTAAAAAAATTACAATAACACCGGTGAAGTGTCGTTGGATTTTTTGCGAGTTTTATAATGAATTGCATTTCGTTGCCGAATTATTCGCCTTTGGAAGGTAAACGAGCTCTTTGTGTCGGTGGTTTTTTTTTTTCACGCGATCCAGTAGATTTGTTTAGCGAATGAAAATTTTTTGTTTGTTTTGTTTTTGTTAAGTAGAGTAATATTTTCAGGGATATCGACCAGTCCTAAGCTCTCGTCTGCCAATAGCTGTACGAAACCGCGTACAATGAGCGGTCACGCGGTCTCCGGTCCCGGACCCGGTTTACCGAATCCTTCGAATCAGTACTCTCATTCGTTCGCGGCGGCTTTGCGTAATTTAGCCCAACAGACGGTACCCACCACTTCGGAGCAATCGACTGTTATCCAGGCGAATTCCGAAACGTTCCGGAGAGATCCAGGTAACCATTTCGGACAATTTTCAATCCTTCTACCTTCTAGTGTTTTTTTGTTTTGTTTGTTTGTTTGTTTCGTTTTTGGCGTTTTCTTTCATTCATCTTTGTGTTTGTTGTAATTTTTGGGCGATGCTGTGTTCACCGGGTGTATTATAAATAGGTTGATATCATTGTGGAACAGAGGTTTTGTTTTACGAAGTTTCATAGCTGTCTTAAATGTTTTTTTTTTCCAAATCTCATTCTACAACGTGATTAAACAAATATTCGTATTCTCTATACCATTGTATTTGTTTAGTAATGCTGTATTTGTATTTAATTCGTGCCGTTTTTATTTAAGGTCTATCGTCTTTGCCGGAGAAAACGAAACCGCCTGCCGAAGTGCCTCCGTTCACCACCGCTAATTCGGCTACACTTCGTTCGTTCGAACCTCGCCTACCGACTAATCACGTCGATCGCTATCCAGCAAACTCCCTTTCGGACATTACCCGGAGCGGATTTCAACCCTACAGGCCCGAGGAGAGGTACGGTTCAATTTATTCAGTTGATAGATTCACTTGATATGTCGATTTTAGAGATATTTTAAGTTTAAATGACTGTCAAAATACTGAAATTTACTCAAATTGCTTCAGTAAGTAGTTGCCTTAGTGATATTTCTTGTAACATTATTCAATCATCGTATCTTGTAGCTCTTATTGGTTAAAAAATCGACATCTTATGGACATCTATGCACATAATTATAAACGATACGATTTGTTGCTATTTGTGTATTTTTTTTAACTTTTAGAGTACCCCATTCTCATGTAAACTTAGAAATTCCGGGCTATCCGCCGTACGGTTCCTACCCGACTTTACCTCTATTAGAAGAACAAATGTACTACGAAAGATTGGGCGTATTAAGATCACCATGGCCTTCGATTGGTCATCCGTACATGCCTTACATGATCCCGAGCGCTGCTATGCCTTTGTACATGCACGAAAGGTTCGTACGCAAGCATCATTAAAACTTTAACATTTACAATTTCTGCTTACACGATAGGTTGAAATACGAAGAAGAGCACCGTCGTCTATCGGCGACCTCTCGCAAAGACGAGTACCACGAACGAGAGCTGATCGAAAGGGACCTGCAAATGCAGAGGGAGCGCGACCAGCGCGAGAAGGAGCGCATGCAGCGCGAAAGGGAGAAGGCCCAATCGCGCATGTCGCCTCATCTGTCGTCGGCGCACCTGTCGCCGCAATCGTCGCTGATGATACCGATGCTACATCCCAGCACGATGCTACCTCCGACGCCGATGGGACTGACGACGCCGACGCGCCAATCGCCGCTGGCGGCGTCGGCCTTCATGAGCCCGCCGAATCCGACGCAAGGCTATTCGATGCCGAGGTCGAGCCCGTCGCTGCAGAGACACTCGCCGATGAATTCGAATTATACGCTTAACCTTAGTCAACGTCAAAGCCCTGTGATACAGCCCTCCGGACCCATGATCAATTTGGGGCCAAATAATAGTTCGGCGAAGGTGTCTCCGAAGGCCAACGCGAAATCCAAAGGTGACGGGAGCGTCGAAGCTGGTAAAATGCACAATATCGGCGTTAAGAAATCCGATGACGGTCAACACTCGGACGGGAAGGTCGCCGAAACGATCAGGGACGCGGGGAATACGGCCTGACCTTCTATCGACGTGTCCAAGAATAACCAGAAGATTGATCCGATACTAGGTAGTAGTGGTTTTGGTTAATTATTTAATACAATTTTTTTAGTTCAAAATATCCGATCCAACGCGGTCTATAGCTAAACAAAATGCATGTTTTAGCTAGGAAGTCTATGATAGCATCTATGAAATCAAAAGAAAAAATAAAAAACACGAACGACGACGAATGCATTGGTGGTAATACGAAAAATTCGATACAGTTTAGCATCGATGCCATCGTTGGCGAAACCAATCAGTCTACTACAACTACAATAACTAAAAAACTCCGATTAGACACAAATGTATCCCACAAACAAGACAACAACTCACATTCGAACGGATTGAACGAAACACCGAACATAATCGATAAAATCGAAACTCAAACTGTCGACGACGACGAACATTTACCGGAATCCCCGAAAAAGAAACCTCCGAAATGCAAGAATGTCGATCTAACGAACTTTACCATATTAAACATACCGATGGTGAGTAAAAAACCGATCGCCGCCAAACGGCAGAAATTGAGCAAAATCGAGCTGGCCATATTGCGCAAGAGGACGAATCAAAAGAAAGAAAGGAAAACGAAGAATCCGCGAAGGAAAAGCGAGAAAATCACCACCGAATACGGCGTAACGGTGTACGGCTACTCCGACGAGTCCGAAAGCGACGTTTCGTTAACGAGCTCCGACGATGAGGGAAGCGACAACGACGTCGATTTGATCGTTAGAAGCGGACCGCCTCTGGAAATGGACATGAGCCCTGGAAAAATGAGTTTCTTGAAAAGCTTCCAACTGACCACACACAGGATGAAAAACTGTGAGTATTACATTCCAATTCTACAGGGCGAGTCACGCATAAGACGGACCATTTTATACACACCCTGTAACAATTCATCACAGGTTCAAATACCTTTTATCTTGCTAGTAAGCACACTACAAAAACCTTATCCAAGTCATTAGTCCATATTTATAAAAATGAAGCATTTACTTTAAAGTAAAGGGTAGAAGCAAAAAGTAAGAGAAAAAAGTTTTAAAACCATAAAACCTTTTGCTATAAAGCAACAGCAGTGTCCTCAAAGCAAAACTTCTCTTCCTTTATCTCTTTTTTATGCATATACCTTGAAGCAATTCCTTCATTTTTCGAATAAAGCAAAGGGTTATATGCTTCGTTTTATAAATACAGCCTATTATTAGGATGCTCCTTAACAAATAATGCAATGAAATATAGTACAATACTCCGGTTTTGTTGAGCGTCACTCACCCTGTATACCTTACATTCGAAAAATTTTATTAGAATTTGTCGGTTTTTAGTCATCGAATTGCGCAAGCTGGAAAAAAGAAAGTGGGTAGATCCGACGGTGGTGCGAGAGATTTCAAACGAAAAACCTGTGTCTTTAAACCTTCCAGTGCCTTTGAAATCGACCCTAACCTTAAGTATGCTGCAGAATTATAAGGCCAAAAAGGCGTTTTATCATTTGCTCGGGTTGAAACTCGTTTCGACGGAATGCAAGCAAGGTAAACTAAGAAAACTACCTATCATTTCCCATCTAATCTATTTTTTTGTAAAATTCCAGAATTAGAAAAGAACTGGTTAGAGGTGGTGAAAGACCGTTTGAAGCGAAACTGCGAATCGTCCGTTACGAAATTCGCCGAGAAACTCCAAAAAATGCCTTCTGTAGACGTGAAATCGAACGGCCATCTCAAGCTACCCATTACCCATCAGTACAAAAGTCAAAACTTCCACATCGACAAGAAACAAGACTGCCACAAACAAACTATCGTCAATCAGGAAAGCGGCCCGAATCATCTTCCTCTCTCCGCCATATCGGTGGATAATCACATCGCCAGGAAACCGGCCAGGCCCAAAGAAAACGTCGCCGATGCGAAAGAAGATTTCAAATGGCCCGGCATCACTGATATCATCGAAGCCTACAAAAAATTCTCGAAAGGTACGAGGCGTTATTTTCCTTTAGTAAACAATCACTGCATAACGTATTATTTGTAGAAAGAAATGGGCAAATAAATCTTGCGAAGCAACAGCAGTCGGTTCTGATCGAAGAGAACGCCAGGAGACAGAGGGAGGTGAGGTTTTTGGAGAGGAGGCAGCGCGAATTGTGCTCGATCTTGTTCAGGAGAGAGAACGAAAAAAGAGATCTGCAGAATAGCATCGACCAATTAAGGAATTGCATCGATCCCTTTCGGTAACATAAGCTGATTCCATGCGGAAAAAATATCGCGAGCGCGACCGATTGGATTTTTCGTTTCTTTTACGTTTAGTGTTTTGTTGTCTAATGTTACGAATTTATCTGTTATTGTTTTTTTTCTCGATTTAAAGACGTAACGGGACGAGTCGACCAAATGTTTTTTTTATCGATTCCTTGGGAATTTTCCTTTTAATATTTAGTGATGGATGCTAGATAGGTTCGAGGAAAATTTCCAACGAATTCAACTTCGTGTTATGTGAATAGAGTTTTTTATATATTTATAATGTTTTTATATTTATGATTACCGAGAAAAATGTATGTGATGTATTTATAAATTATTTTATGTAAATGTAAATTTCAATTTCGTACTAATTGTGCTTCATTTCCGTTTGATTTAATAGAGTTTATGAACTTTCCGTTTCGAATTATCGCTGGTAACCGCTGCTGCGATGTGTTCAAAATTAGTGGAGTGCGTTTTAATTTGCAATTACTTTGGTCGACTTTACCTTTGCCAGGATTACGAATGAAATGTTAAAACCTAAAAATCTGTGATGGAAGTTGGTGGATTTTATAATTTTTTTTTATTTTATAGTATTATCAATATGATGCTTCCAATCGATTGGTTTTATTTGGAAGGATGTGGTTAAAACATTTTTTTTAACGTTTTAACTGTTACTTTTTTTATTTTACGGGTGTTTAAGCGCAAGTGAAAGTGGTGTTCACTTATTCTGTGATAATCAAAACTTAGTAATTTTAATGTAAACACTGTTTCTAGCATGACAAACTGAATAAAATTGTGAAATAACCGAATTTGTTTTATTATATGAAACGTGCCCACAAAATTATAAGGAATAAAACCATTTTTTATTATTTAGTTTTAATAAATCACGAAAAATTGGAATGCTCATTATTACTACAATACTACTCGGAGATTAAGTCCTATTTGTTAAATATTCCAACACACAAATTAAAAGTTAATGTGTTATTTACGTTAAAATTATACATTTTTTTGTATACAATCCCTAATGTTATTAATCACATTTCTAACAAAAATAATTATAGACGATCACATTTATGTTTTTTTAAAGCACCACAGTCGGTATTATCAAAAAGTAGGAAAACCCTCCAATCAAACCTATTCTTTTACAATTAATTTCTCACGCCTCGTGCTCGCTGTTTATACCTATCAGAGCTTCAGTTTGTTCCGATGAGACTTCTTTAAACCTGTTACCGCGTCGTAATTATTCAACAACACATCAAACTAAGAAATGATGGTACTTACCGTATAATTCTGCTCTTTTTGCAAAAACTATGGTAGGCACATTGTAGCAGATCGAACACAGGATCCCAGTTTTCGTAGTGCGAGAGAACGGTCACAGCTAGGAAGGCGATGAGCACCGGCAGCGTTCCCGTGTAAAACAGTATAGGATAGGGCACTTCTTTCAGCAGCACATCGGCCAGCATGGTCATAGGTATTGTCAGGCTCATAGCGACGGTGGCCATGAGCGAAGAGGTCAGGAAACACCCCCTGGATATTAGAAAAGTTACGAATTAAATAATCATTACCACCTGTGATTACCATAGCCATAGAGCCTCCGATATTACAGTTCCCAATAGCCCGTTTAACAAAAGCAACATCATTTGTTCTCTGCTTGGCCATTCAAACACTTCTAGTTTGCTGAAGTGCAGGAAGAAAAATAACGGCCACAGAAGGATGAGATTAAATAGTCCAACGAAACCTAAAAAAAATGTACAATTAAAATAATTGATTGGGAGTAGATAGAGGAATTGTACCAAAGAACAAAGGTATTCCTATTTTCTCCTCATGATCCACTTTCCGTCTGAGAAAAACTAGGTAAGTCGCGTAGAAAAAAGCGCTAAACAACGACAACACCGCACCGAAAGGTAGTTTAGACTCCAAAGTGAGGTCGGAACAACTAACTAAAATCTACAAAAAAAAATACAATAAATTATGTAATATTCAATTAGCCGTTCACTCACTATTCCAGTAATACTAAGAAAAACGGCCACCAATTTGGACAAAGTGAACCGATCGTTAGCATTCGATGGAAATATAGAAGCGAGAACTAACGTGAATAAACTCGAAGCTGACGATAGAACATTAACAATCCCCGCTTCAGTTTCGGATAGTGCCACTTGGTAGGTATAATTAGCAACAAACCACTAAAATAAACGCTAAATTAATATAACCCACTCTATAATTACCAAACAAACATACCAAAAGACAAAATATGAGAGCTATTTTAGCCACTCGTGCTATCGGTAACCTACTGGCAGCTCTTTTAGCCATTTCGCTCGCCCTCAAACTGGCCTGGTACGAAAGTCTCGCCAGCAACGCTTCGGTGGCTTCGCTCTCCGACATGTGCCTAACTTCAGCCAACTTATTGAATCGCACAGATCTCACCTGAACGAAGTTAAACGCATTAATCGATGAATTTAAAAAGTAATAGCAAAGTACCGTTGAATCGTCGCTTTCGGTCCCCGAATGCTCTCTGTCCGGAGTCTTCACCGGCACGTAAACTGGATTGCTCAAGTTAGTTATGCAATTGGCTTCGGTGATGTAATTATCGTCGTCCAGGTCGTTTTCCAAGTAGATGTAATTCGGCGGATTCGAGCAGCTGTCTTTCCAGGGGGGCCAGAACAGGAAACCCAGCAGATACAGGGTGAACATGGAGGTTTTGATGTACGTGCAGAAGAACGGTTTCTCGAACGTTTCATTGTTGTAAATGTACTGGAATGTTACAAAAATTACGTAATAACGGTGTAGTTAGTAGTGGAGAATGTTACCTTGGTTAGTTCCGAAGAGGACACCCAAATAACATCAACTAATATTAAAACTAAAAATCCCAAAACGAGCCGCTGTGTTTTGGTTAACATGAGATCGTCATTTTCCATGCCGCTCGATTTTCCTCGATTCCAATTATTCCCACATTTCCGGGCATAACTGATAAACTGTTATCCACCGAACAATCTGTAGGCGGTCGGTATTATCGGCTCAAAACATACCTAATTTGATAAATTAAACACAACCTACTGCTGTTAAAGTTACAAGGAATGTTGATTCTACGTGCGCGATTTTTACATGCTTCGGGAATGCGTGAATTTCGAATTTGAAACTATCGAATCGTACTCAAACATATTTCGGGTTTTTCAAATTAAAAACAAACCCAAAGAAATTAATCGATATCCTCAAAAAAAGGCGAAAACAATTAAACGTCAACATCCGTCAAAAACGTCAAAATTGTCAACTGTTGCTTGGTAACCGAGATATAAACAAACAAAATAAATAGATCGGTAACTAGGCAACACAGATTACAATAGATTAGGTTTTGCGATGATTTCGAACGGGCACGTAATTTCATCCAAAACGGACCGTACGTAGCTTAATTACGATGTAATTGTTAGTTTAAATTATTCATTTTCAGCTAAAAATATCCAAAAAACAAGCGATGAGTTTAGTTCGTTAAAAAAATATAATTGGTTGATGCACTTACAGCACGTTACTGGAAGACTTCAGGATTGTAAATCCCTCATATCTAGCGAAATAGAAAGAAGCAAAGGGAAAAACGAATTTGCTCTTTATAAACAGGTATCTATTTCATATAATACGGGGTGTGTACGAAAAATATCGGACGCATTGTACATAAATGACGTGGAAATATCATTGTTATAATTGCAGGGTGAAATTTTGCGCGAGGAAGGAAAATTCCAGGAATCCTTGGAATCGTTTCAAAGTTGCTTGCGGTTGCATCCGGGAAATGCGGGCTATTTGAAGGAAATCGGAAAATGCCTGTAAGACATAATTATTGCATACAGTGTCCCAAACAAAAATCGACTATTGCGACAACGGATAGTCGAATTTTGTAACATCCCCTCGTAAAATTAACGCTAATATTTTATTTTTTATCCAGTTACGATATGCAAAGATTCAAATTATCTATGGAGGCTTACTTGGAGGCGGAGAAAGCCTCCCCTAATCCCGATTGGCAAAATTATTTTTATCTAGGTAAGAAAAAGAATAAATGAATTATATTACTGTGGATGTCCCGTAAATATTGAATATTTTTATAACTTTTAACAAAATTATGTTTTTATTGTATAATTGCGAGTATATTTTCAACTTTCCATTCCGCTTGGAAAAATGATTTTTATCTAGGTAAGGGACTAATAAAGAGAATAAATGAATGAATTATAATACTGTTGATTTCCCGTAAATACAGTAATTTTTTATAAGTTCTAACAAAATTATGTTTAGGTATATGATTGCCGAGATTTTCAACTTTCCAAACTAATAAATTAATAAATAATTCATCTAACTGAGAATAACGCGAATACTATGCAAATTTCGGCGTGTTGCTAAATAAAATATAATAAATAATTCAGATAAATGTTCTTAATGCAAACACTATGCAAATTCAGTAAACATCTTTCCCGGCAAAAAATACGGGAAAGTATTAATTCTCTCGCTACCGTTTGGAAATTTCAACGAGTTTTTTTTGTAGGACAATGCCTGCTGAAGCTCGGAGACGTGAACAAAGCCAGCGAGTACGCTCAAAAAGCCGTACAAGCAGGAAAACAGGAAGCCTGCTACGAACTTTTGATTAAAATTCTAATAATGCAAGGCGATTACAAGAACGCCGTGACAGTCTCGAATTCCGCCATCGAGTACGTAAAGATTTCGTTGCAAAATCGATTATTTTCCTGAAATTCCGCAGGTTCTGCCCGGACAGCGTGGGCATGCTAACAGAATCCGGCTTGCTGTTCCTGAAATTGGGCCAAAGCGAGCACGCCTTCGAGAGGCTAAGCTCGGCTTTGGCGCTCGAACCGAGCTCGACCAAAGCTCTCCTGGCCATCGGGTGCATAATGCAGGTGACGAAAATAAATCCCATAATCATATCGGGGGTATTATGAACGTTCGAATTCCAGCAACACGAGGATTACGACGTGGCCTTGTCGAAATACAAAACGGCAATTCATTACCGGCCCGATTCGATGGCTTTGTGGAACAACATTGGGGTGTGTTTTTACGCCAAGCGCAAATACGTGGCGGTAAGTGAAAAAAAAAAGCGGCGGCCGAAGAGAAATAAATGAAACTGTTGTGTTTTCGTAAAAAAGAAGCGGGGAATATAGCGGAATATTGCGGGACTTTTTGCCTGTTTCCATTCCCGATAAACGGGGATGAGGAAATTAAATTCGGTTCAATTTTTTTTACCGTGGGGGATTCCACCGCGCCTTTTTTAATTAAAACGTCTCCGGCTGTACGTTCGGTCGTTATTGATAATAAAAATAAACGAGCGAAGTTCAACACGTTTTAAATGGGTTATTGAATAAGACTGTTATTACAGAAAACACAAAAGGATTTTCAACAAAACTGCTCGAGAAATGTTTTAACCACACTTCACCGTCAAAAGTCGAAATTAAACCGAACAATTTTGGCCTTTTACGTCTCAGAAATCAAATCAATTTCGTGTCAAATTGTCAAATCAAACAATGTAAAATCAACTAAACCACTAATTTATGCATCGTTTGCGAATGAATGAATCTTTTGAAATTAACCATTGTCGAACTTAGCATATAAATAGAGTTTATTAGAATCGAAGCGATATTTTCGACGGAATAATTAAACAAACCGTTCGAGCGAAAATCAACGCGAATCTTCTTGACGTCCCCGTTTCGAAAACACACCGTTCAAAAGGAAATTAATTCCGTTTCCCAGAATATTTCACCACCGACGCGACAATTAACAAACCATTTAATAAAGGTGCTTCCCCGTTCGTTACACGCGAATAATTAAAAAAAAAAAACTCCGTTACAAACTAGACAAACAGATCGATTACTTCCAGGCCATCAGCTGCCTGAAGAGGGCCCTCTGGCTGGAGCCCCTCAACTGGAAGGTGCTCTTCAACTTGGGCCTCTGCCACTTGGCCACCGTGCAGCCCGCCTCTGCCTTCAACTACTCCTGTGCGGCGGTTAATCTGCGACCCGACCTAGCCGACCCGTTCACGGTTTTAGGAGGTAATTTACGCCACTTATCCCCTTCATAAAGCAAACTTCTCTCGGCGTTATAATTTAAGAAGTTATGCGGAAACTTATGCCGGATAATCCGCGGATTTTGCAGTGGCTTTGCTGGAGCTCCAAGACCCCGAAAACGCCGTGAAAGCCTTCCGAATGGCGCTCGGCATTTCGTCCGAAGACGTCTACCTCGTTGTCAATATGGCCCTCTGCTGCTCTTTGATCGGCTTGAACGAGGAAGCGGCGGGTTTAATGGAGAGGTACTCGAGAATGTTGGAGCACAACGTTACTATTACAGAGGAGGTACAAAATGTAATATTTTCTGGTTATAACACAATCCAAATTGAGTTGTTTCGCGGCGGGTTATTCCTCAGCGCGTGCCGAATAATTTATATTTAAGGGTGCAATTTAATTTGCGCACGTCGCTGAGGGGTTAATTCGGAGATTGATGTACTTAAGAGGCAACTTTTTGGTGCTGGTCGGTGTGGAAAAGTACGAGATCGAAATAAATTAGGAGGTAAATGTTAAATGTGGCCCGCGCGCTCGGAATGATGGATGATTTTTCATCTCTGGAGCGAAGGAATGTACATTAAAAATTAAGAAGTTTGTTGCGAAATTGGGAGGAAAGGTGGCGGAACAATGTTAGATAAGTCACGTTTTCTTTCAATAATAATCCGATAAGTGTTTGTCTCTATAGTGTTCTTGAAGGTTCCCAAATTGCTTTTCGTGGTTTCGGAACTTCTATGGGCTGGAATAAATTGGCTAAACGAGATTTAACGAAGTTTTTTCCGAAGGATAAGGTTTCGTACTCTTTTTTGTTTTACCCATTTTCTCGTATTCATTTATTTTAACTTTACAGGGTGTTGTAAATTTCTATTTTACAGCTCGCATCGTTAGCAGAACAATTAATGAACAAGCTTAAACGAAGAACAACACAGAATGTAGAAGAAGGTTCGTCAGCAGAAAATTACGAACCACGAGAAAACCAAACAGAAAATGCCAAAATTCAAGAGGAAAATATCGACAAGTTAACCGACGATGATGAAAATTAGCACAAGAAACTTACCTTAATTTTAATCACTAATTTAGCTTCACTTTTAAACAGTTTTCTTTCTTTATGTATCTAAAATATTCAACAATAAAAAGAAAAATTACCCGTACGCTTTTCCTTCGGCACGTCGAGCGTGCGCTGAGCCTCCTGAGTTCAACAGTTTGGCTTCATGCGGCAGTTTTCCCGCTTCTACTGCCCGGAAAAGTCCGCGAAAACATCGAAGAAAACTCGATCACACAATGGGCGATTTCCAAACTTGCAACGGCTCGTAAAAACACTACAAATGCAGTACAATCTAACTTTGTTCAAAATCTCCCTGCTGAACCACTTTTCCGATTCTTCTGTGCTGAATTTCTCCGATTCCGATCTTCAAGCTATATTGGAACAACGATTGAATAAGTAAGTAATTTATGGAGTAGTAGTTAAATACAGAGTGTTCTAGAATATTAAAAAATAACTTGTTTGAATCCAAGGGAAGAGCAGTTTGTTTATAAGGTGATTACAAAAATTCAAAGGGTTTTTTCCTTGGTATATAATAAAAGTTAACACTCCACTAAAAGCTCCACAAAAGTTAAGGAAGTTCGCAAATTTTGCGATTATTTTAAAACTTAAAACTTTTAAAACTTTTTAATAACCAAATTTTCAAATATGCGAAATTAAATGTTTTCTCTCATATCTAAGTGGATATTTTGCCCCTACCTCTACAACTCATACTAAATTTGGCAATCAAAAAACCTGCAACTTTTAAATTAATCTCAATATTTGTGAACTTCCTTTTGTGGAGCAGTATATTTTATCGTTTGATAATTTTTGAACCCCTCTTGGTTTGATATTTTTAAAATTATCCCTGGATTATTCGATATGAACCTCATCGCTCGTTCCCTGGACTTCAACCCTTTGGATTATTTTCTATGGGGTCATCTAGAGCCATTAGTTTGTACTACTTCATGGAGTTTTTGGAAGAGTTCTGGAGGTAATAAGGAGAAGATTGGATGGGGTCGTCAAAAATTATCAAACGATAAAATATTCTTAGAATAGTCAAAGAAACAACCCCTTGAATGTTTGCTAAACACCCTGCACTTCCGGAGCTATCCACAACTGCTTTATTCCAAGTGCAAATTGCCTTCACAGCGATCCTTCTAGCGTTGAATTTGTCTTCGCAGATCGCCGTCGCCCGCTGCCGCCGACGGGACCTTGGAGTTCGAGTGCGGGGGCGCGGCCCTGTGGCGGCTCACCGCCACCTACTCGGCCCACTACCACGTCTACACGTCGATCCTGGTGTGCGCCTTCGGCAGCATCGCCAACTGCTTGAACATCGCCGTGCTGACCCGCAGGGAGATGTACAACGCGCCCGTCAACCGCATCCTCAGCGCCCTCGCCGTCGCCGACATGCTCCTGATGCTCGAGTACATCCCCTTCGCCTATTACTATCACCGCGAGAAGGGCCGCAAGGACTTTTACTATTACGGCGCCGTTTTTATGTTGTTCCACATGAACTACAGCCAGGTGTTGCACACGGTTTCCATTTGCTTGACGCTCAGTTTGGCCATTTGGAGGTTCTTAGCTATAGGGTATAATTTACTTGAATAAATAGCGCTTAGTATACAGGGTGTTAATTAACGTTATGTATATAATTTTGTTTGTAGATACCCGGAGAGGAACCACACTTTATGCTCCGAAACGAGATGTTCACTAGCCATTGGAATCTCCTATATTCTACCATTATTCCTCTGCATACCGAGTTACTACATCTTCGAAATATCCTCGGTGGATATAAGAGAAAACGAGCAGAAATTCACGCTGTACCACACCGATTTAAAAGAAACCCTAAAAAGCGATAAAACGCTACTGAAACTAAATTTCTGGCTGTTCGCCGTGCTGATCAAGCTCCTGCCCTGCGTCATCCTGACCCTAATAAGTGTTTGGTTGATACGGACGTTGTTCAACGCGAGGAAAAAGCGGCAGGTGTTGCGCGGCTACGATTCGTTTCCGCTGGCGGAGCGCGGCAGGAGAAAACCGCGGAGGTCGGAGCGCCGATCGGACAGGACCACCAAGATGCTGGTCGCCGTTCTGGTCCTGTTCCTCGTCAGCGAGTTTCCGCAGGGCGTGTTGGCCCTGTTCGTCGGCTTCGAGGGGCACGATTTGTTCCTCAAGTGCTACCAGCGCTACGGCGAGGTGATGGACATCATGGCGCTGACCAACGGCTCGATCAATTTCATTTTGTATTGCTGCATGAACAGGATGTTCAGGTCGACGTTCCGGCAGCTGTTCAGGCCGAGGATTTTGGACAAGTGGACCGGGAATTCGTCGGTTATTCACACGACGTAAGTGTAACAATTCGTGACCCATCAGAATCTAAGATACTATAGGTAATTTCATTTTATCGGAAGGAAAATTGGGTTATTTGGCATTTACACAATTTTATCTTTAGGCTGTTTTGCCTTTGGACAATTTTGTCTTGGGCTATTTGGCATCTGGACAATTTTATCTTTGGACAATTTTGACTCTGGGCAATTTTGTCTTGGGAGATTTTACCTTTGCACAATTTTGTCTTGGGGCAATTTTATCTTTAAGTTATTTTGCATTTGTACAATTTAGTCTTGGACTATTTGTCATCTGGACAATTTTGCCTTTGGGCAATTTGGTCTTGGGCTTTATTGACGGGGTATCGTAAAATTTAAATGGTAATAAACGATGAATAATAATTGCTTCAGTTAATAATGTATTATTTTTCCAGGGCAGTGTTAAACGGGACGATTTCAACTACGTTGTAGAATTGACCAGACTATAAGGATTCGAATTTTCAAAGGAATTTTTCGAATTTTCGTAACATTTTATTCTAAAAACAAAACAATGTTTGTATAATTAAAACGTGTGTATAATAGAATAATTTAAAACATCCACCACAGAGAATGCGCACTGAATCGTTCACTTAGAAAATTATTTAAATTTTATGTTTTGAATCATCACACGAATGTGAGTTTCTCCATTTATGATGTGTCCCGAAAGTTCCCAAACGTTACGAACTTCAGAAACAAACTCACCCAATTATTGAGCTATCTGTTTTCACAAATCTACAGGAAAATAAATACAACTGTCATATATTCGTACAAAAGAAGATAATCCTTGTATTGCATTCGTTTGGCTATTAGAAAATTATTGTTAACTACATTCATGTTACCTTTGAAATAAAATTTGTTTATTACAGTTGTTTTTTATACTTTTTGTCCTCCTCTCGTAACAACAAAATTGTCCCAACAAACCGGCTTGATATTTTCAACAAACCTACTCTAATTTTGGACCTCGCTTCGTCGAATCGCGCAATTTTTTCAAACCTACCTAATTCCTTATCGAATAACAAGAAAACAGCTAACAATAAAAAACAAACAATTATAGAAACAAAACAACACGAGATCTTAATCGGTCCAAATTAAAATTCGAATGACTAGCAACAATAACAGGTTATTTTTTAAACATTTCAATGGTAATTATTTCACTAATTTTATACACAACCCCTATTGATATTGTTAGAAGGCTAGTAATGATCATAAGAAGTTATAAGTAATGATCGTACGATGCTAAAAGGCAATAAAAAATTGCCAAGAAATTTCCAAATCCAATACGAGTATACCAGATTATCTTACTCTAAAACCCTGTTTTATCCTCAAATAACGGGACACTTTTTCGACCTATGTTTCCAGACCTTAGAACCACATATTCAATTTGATTAGTGATATTTTATGTGTATTAGGTAATAATCTGGCATGCTCGATACGATGTTTTCTTCTAAATTTGTTGCTAGTTACAATAAAATAATGAATTGGATTATTCCTGTAGGCACTGGGTAATCCTAATCAAGTGACTGTAATAGAGCGGGTGCGATGAAATCGATCGTCGAAGATTCGACTAACGAAAACACCGTCCGAATCTATCGCAGAATAAGCGTATTCGTTTCTGTACACTTAGTGATAAATAACATATTTAAAAAAAGGCTTTTTTAGAATCTACGCCAATTTCTTCAAGGAAAACAACAAAGAAAAGGCTTATCTGATAGTGATCATGCTCGTTATGACGTAGATACTAACATTAACAATTCTATTAATAGAAATAACTGTACATTATTTAATCCTCTGAATACCATTTCGGATTTTAATCTAGTAGGAAAGTTTTAACTATATTTATATCAACTAACCGATTCTTGATAGATCGTTATAATAATCAACAATTTTTAGTAATCGAAACAAATCACGAGTCCTTGCCATAAAATAATTCAGGACGTATCAAAAGACCACCCGTCGTTCAAAATACCTCTTCGAAAAAAAGGAACTAAAGGTACTTTTGACATTTACGAAGTAAATCAAATATTACCTGTGCCCGCCGCATAGAACAGAAAATGCCCCTGTCCGAAATTGACGGGCGTTTTGGGGCTCGAGCAAGTGTAAATGAAATCGTCGGACTGCAAATGGGTGCGATTCATGTTGGGCTCGGAGGCCGATCGGCTGATTTTCGGATGGTTTCTCAGAAACCCTTCCAGCGACGCGTGTATCTGCCTAAACAACGGCCGTTCGTCCCTGTTGTATTTTATACAGTCTTCCGTTAATCGTCTCAGCGCTTTCGGAGTATCCGACCTACAAAAAACAACCAAAGTACAAAACGAGATATTTTTACAACGAAATTACCAACCTCAGTTTGCTCAAGTCGGGTTTAAGATAACCTCTTCCGACCATAAACAGTATCTGGTCCTTGTTGTTGATGTGCGAGTAAGGCAACTGACCGGCCAGCAGTTCGAACATCACGATGCCGAAGGCATACACGTCCGATTGGAAACTGTAAGGATTGTCCTCTTGCATGCGGATGACCTCGGGCGCCATCCACAGTATGGAGCCGGTCGGTTGGCGGAATTGCTGCGAGCCCGACCACCGCGTTTTCGCCGTCGCCAAGCCGAAATCGCCGATCTTCACCGTCAGATCGTCGTGGAGGAATATGTTGTTCGATTTCAAGTCGCGATGGATGATGTTCTTGGCGTGTAAATAATCCATACCTTGAGCCGTTTGCCTACCTACAACGGTTATACAGTTAGTGTTAGTAGTTAAATTAAGCGAAAGTAGTTTACCTATTTCGATTAAGGTGTAGAGTTGGAATTTAGTCTCTAGCACATGTAGATGTTTGTAGAGACTAGACGATTCGCACCATTGAGTTACTATAGCCAATTGGGGTTTGCTTACGCAACCCATGAATAACAGTATGTTTACGTGTCTGGTTTTTCGTAGAACGGCTACTTCGTTTTTGAAAGCTTGCAATTGCGATGTAGTAGGGATTTTAACATTCAACGTCTTGACCTGTACAAAAATAAATTAATAATACACTGCAGGAATTCATAACGTAGTATGTACCGCCACAGGTCCATGCCAATGAGCCTTGTATACAGTTCCAAAGGACCCGGAACCCACTCGAGCCCCGACTAGTATCTCATCGGCGGGTATTTCCCAGTCTTCGATACTCTCGCGCGGGGCGAGCAGTGGTTTACTTTCGTCGGCAGATCGGGCTCTAGGTCGTCTCGGTTGTAAGGAGCCTGTGGGAGAGGCTTGGGTGCTCTTGCAGTGCGGAGACGATTCGCCTTCGTTCGCTCTGGAATACAGGAAACTACGCGGGCGATTAATAACGAATGCGCGTTGAAATTCACTCGATATTACCTGCTTAACGCCAGTGATTTCGGATATTCATCCCCGGAGTTTTTCACGTTGTTTAAGCACACGTTTGGCGCTGAACTAGATCTATCGTGGTGTCCTAAAGTGCCTGAATGACGATTTTGCTTCGCTGGCTGTTCAAGTTCGGCTTGACCTGTATGGAGTATACCGGCACTCGAATCCGAATCTTCTGGATAAGCTAATAGATACTTAAAGTAGTCGTCAGTAGCGTGAGCCTGTTGGTGTATAAAATATTAATCGAATAATGTTAATTGTATGTAGATTAACGTACCAAGTGACAAAGAGGAGGTACACTGCCTGCACACCTTTGATGAAATTTAAAACCACAAGTCCTACAACAAAAACCTTGGAACAAAAGTCTGCGGCAACATTCACAAAACACCAACGAAAAATAAGTCTTTCTAACGAAATTATGCGATATTCTAGTGGGAACTGGAAATTTATCTATGATTTTAACGATGATTTCATTACAATTCAACGTGCTTATGTCGGTGTCCCAATTTATGTGCTCGTCCAAATACTTTCCGCCGTACACTCGACATGTTCCGCACAGTAAATTTCTAAGTTTCATGGCCTTCGCCAGGGCGTCTCTCAACGTGAGGCCTTCCCTTACTTGGACGCTCGTTCGTTGTTGATTAGGCAGGTGGGCCCGGAGGAATTTAGGCCTGAAAGTGTCATTCAGAGGCTTGGCCTCGTAATAACTGGAATCCTCAGGACTTTCCCTACCGTTCATTTGTTCTTTCAATTCCTTCAGTCTCATTTCTTCTCCTTCGAGTTCGTGCAGTTTGGACGTCAAATCGTTATACTCTTTTATGTACATCGTAGGTGGATGTTGGAAACTGGCGAATTTTGCATTTAAGGCATCTATATTTGCTCTGGTTAAGTTGATAACGCTTTCTATGTTGCTCAGTTCCTGCTCGATATCCATTTCTTCGCTATCCGACGACATGGTCAACTTTGATATTTCAACAAAACACCGCAACTAAATTTATTAAATTGTTTTTACTAGTTTTTTTTTTATTTGATTTATATAAATAAAATTTCACTGCTCTCCATGTTTATTAAATTGTCACCGATTGACAAGTGACAGTGACAATAACTTCTTCTTCTTTAAAGTTAGAAAATGGATCTATACTAGTTGGGTTATTCTATTCATGATGTGACAGAAGATGACATATGACATGACAGTAGATAAAAAAAATTCTTCGTTTTTCTTTTATATTATTTAATTTTTATGTAATTTATATAATTAATTATTGAAAAAAAACATCAACATTTGTATTGATTGTTTATAAATTTTAGGACATATTTTAAATAGCCTATGAGAATCTTTTGCAACACATTCTAAAGAAAAAAAATTTCTAAAAAATGCTGATCTGATTTAAAAAATGGAATAAGCATGAATATTTACGTAAGTTCATAAATACAATGGTTCATAACATGAATAGATTAAATAGTTAGTATTTGACCTTAAAAGAGATAACATATCTATGTAAAAACGTTGAGAATAAAATGGTAATGTAAAAATTTACTGTAATTAGTTCAAAATATACATAACATACGGAGTGTTTTTAAAAAGAAATGGTTGAAATTGAACTACTACTCTAAATTGACAAACATTTTTCCGGTATTGTGATTAGTAATTTTTATTTGTAGATCACCAAGCAATTATCTACATCAATTTATAGAATATCAAATTCTACACTTAACCAAAGTATTGTTTCAAATCTAAGAGCAATTTCCACATCAGCAGCTATGTCGAACAAGAACAGAACCTTCGAATTACCTAGTAGGTACAAAGGAACTAAAGAAAGCGTCTGGTAAGCCCACAATATATCCTTTAACTAAGAATAATTGTAACTCGGTTACTTTTTCAGGACTGAGTACATTCAAATGGCTCTAGATTACAAACCGTTGAACCTCGGGCAAGGTTTCCCCGACTATCCACCACCCAAATACATAATGGACGCCCTAGCGAAGGCTTCGAATCAATCCGATTACATGCTTCATCAATACACTCGAGGATTTGTAAGCGCGCCATTACAAGCACAATTAATATTAAACGCAAAATATTCTCTTTAAGGGTCACCCTAGACTTGTAGCGGCTATCGCAAAGTTATATTCGAAGCTGATAGGTAGAGAAATAAACGCTAAAACCGAAGTTATAACGACAATCGGCGCCTACGAGGCTCTATTCTCCACCATCATGGGTCACACTGAAGTAGGAGATGAAGTTATAATCATCGAACCGTTCTATGACTGTTACGAACCAATGGTTAGGTATGCTGGAGGGATACCTAAATTCGTACCGCTTAGATTGGTAGGTTAATAATAACGAGGCTATCAGTATTTTGTTGTAAATAATTTCAGAAAGAAGTCAGCGGAAGGTTACCGACCTCGGCCGATTGGGTGCTAGATAAGGATGAATTAGAGAGCGCATTTAACGAGAAAACCAAAAGCATAATCATTAACACACCGAATAACCCACTAGGAAAAGTTTTCACCGAAGCTGAGCTGACCCACATTGCAAATTTGTGTAAAAAATGGAACGCGCTGTGCATATCCGATGAAGTCTACGAATGGATCGTGTACAAACCCAACAAACACATCCGAATCGGTAACAATTCTAACGAATCGTTAGTGTAATTTTATTAAACAAATTGTAGCTACTTTGCCCGGCATGTGGGAGAGAACCATAACCATCGGCTCGGCCGGTAAAACCTTCAACGTGACCGGTTGGAAGATGGGCTGGGCGTATTGCCCCGCAAACCTGATGAAAAACCTGCAGATGATCCATCAAAATACGGTCTACACGGGCGTGACGCCCATACAGGAAGCCACAGCGATCGGGTTCGAGATCGAAGTGGAAAGATTGGACAGCGACGAATGTTTCTTCAATCAACTGCCTAAAGAGCTGGAAAGTAAAAGGGATTATATGGCTAATATGTTGGTAAATGCCGGTATGAAGCCTACGATACCTGAAGGGGGGTACTTCATGTTGGCTGATTGGACTCCATTAGGTTGATTTATCTGTGTAATATTGTATTCTCGAGATGCTAATAAGTAATTTTTAGAGTCTAAAATTGATTTGAGCGGCGAGAAAGATATGCAGAAAGATTATAAATTTACCAAGTGGATGACGAAGAGCATCGGGCTACAAGGAATCCCGCCTTCGGCGTTTTACGGCGAATCGCATAAGAATTTAGGGGAAAATTTCGTTAGATATTGCTTTATAAAGGTAAATTTTCCAGATTGTAAAGTTTATTAAAATTCATTCGATTACATTTTTTGCAGAAAGACGAAAATCTCCAAAAAGCCAATGACATATTACTGAAATGGAAATCGTCGTTAAAATAGTGCAATCTTTATAAATATTATTACAATTCTATATTATTTTTATTATACAACATTGTTGAGTTAAACTTGTTTTATTAACTTTGAAGAAGCAATACCAAATATGTAGTAATTACTGCCACAAACTGAAATGTAAAAATTTCACGTAATAAAAATAGGTGCAAAGCGAAATTGTACTTACACCGGTTAGTACAGATCTATCTAATTTGAACAAACCAAACACCTTCAATTCTATTTTGCACATTTTCAACTGCTGAATAAAAATGAATAGCTGCAAAAATAAGCACTTAGAGATTATTAACAGGCTCACTCCAGATGATTCGATTGTTAAATTTACTTACAGCCTTTTTAGTTTTCTCCACTTTTTCCTCGGCGAATAAATTTTGCGCCACATTAAATAGATCTTCAGCCTAATAATCGAAATATTATAAGTTAGTAAAATACCTCTACCTCACCAAATGTAGCATGGAAGTTGGTATTTTTAAGGAATTGGATATGCAGCAGGAAAATTTAAAGAAGGGAGAAGATAGCTACCAACAACTCAATAGACACTTAAGAACTCGCTTTAAGAATTTCCATTCATTTAAAACCATCCAGTTCATATTAAATGCTAAACCCATGAAAAATTAAGCCAATAAATCTCCCTTTTTCTTTAAATTCCTCAACCTTCCTTCCCCGTTTCAACGACCAATCTACCGAGATATACTATAGCAACCAGAGTGTTCTGTGTAGATAAAAATATAAGCAACCATTTAAAACAAAATAACGCATCCGTCGAGCCGGCTTCGCGTCATCCCCCGTCCCAATCAATCATCGTTTGACGCGCCCGTCACCGTCCCACCCCATCGCCCCGATCCCGCACCGTCGAAGAGCCGCGGCGGCCCGACCAGCCCGCCCCCGTTAGATGCCGAAGAAGACGTGCTCGCACGCCTGCAGACCGTGCCAGCAGCCGCCGTGCCTGCCGCCGTGCGCGCCCACGCAGTGCGAGTGCCCCTGCCCGGCGCCCTGTCCCGAGTCGGGCACGTGCGGCTGCGGTTCCAGGTGCGTGAAGGGCTGCCCGCCGCCGAGGCGGCCCGTCGAATGCTGCGGCAGGCCGGGCTGCTGCTGCTACCCGTGCGTCACCAAGGAGCAGTATTAACCGCTGGCGGAGCGGTGGCCGATTTCGCGCCGCACGCATGGAGTATTTTTGACTGAATAAATCGATTGGGACAGGCGGTATAAAGTGTTTTTTTTTTACTATCGTAGAGTAAGTTGAAAATGTTGGTCTAAAGCTTCAAGCTTCGAGCAGGAAACAAGGGTTGTTAGAAGATTCTTTTACTAGTTTCTAGTTAGTTTCCAGTACTAAAATGCAGCAATAAGTGGGACTATAATGGAGAATAATTTGGGATTTAAGAGAGATTCTAAAGATTCCATCAAGCTTCAAAGAGAAAAGGGTTATTATGGTGAATTATGATTGAGTGATTATATTTTTCCTTACCTCAGACGTGCAATAATGGCAAGTTTCCTCGTAGAATAAGTTGAAAATATTGGTCTAAAGCTTCAAGCTTCGTGCATTATGCTTCAAGAAAACATGGGTTGTTAGAAGTCTCTTTTATTGTGACTGAATAATTAAATTGAGACATGCTGTATTGTTCTGCATAGAGTACTAAAACGCAGCAATAAGTGGGGACTATAATGGAGAAAAAATTGGGATATAAAAGAGATTCTAAAGATTCCACCAAGCTTCAACGAGATAAGGGTTATTATGAGAGAATTTTTCCTTACCTCAGACGTGCAATAATGGCAAGTTTCCATTATGATAACGAATTTTCCGGCGTGAGTCATCACCCACATGAATTGGAGCCCGACGAAGGACAGGCTTCTTTCCGCGGGGTTTTTGGTCAATTCGGTCAGCAGGAAATAGGGGCTGACTATCAGGTGCAGCATCACGCAGAACAATATTACCTAAGAAATACTTACGACATACTTACTTACATAATTACATACTTACAACAATGGTAATTTCTTCTCCTCCGTTCAGCAGGCTAACCGCCTCGTGTAGTTTCCTGTAGGTTTTCGCCAGATCGAAGACTCTCAGAGCTGAAAATGTTTGTGTGCCTGTAAGTTTTAAGTTTTAATTATCAATTTTCTTACCGGTGTTGTTAATTTTGTCGTTATTGGTTTGGGCAGGCGGCAACATGGCGATTTCGCCGTTTCGAAAGGTGCTCAAATCGAATATCCTGCGGGTGATTATGGCCCGCAGGGCTTTGGTTAGGTATCGGATCCTGATTTTAACGAAATGCACCAGGTGGCAGAAAAACAGGATCTCGTTGAGCATGATGTATTTGAGTAAGTAGAAAGGCGTTGCAAAAACTGCGTTGATTTTCCCGTAAAATAAGTTCCAAGTCAAATCGATCAAGTAGAAGATTGTGTAAGTGAGCAGAACAGCGGCTATGGAGAGTATCGAGGCGGTTCTGTGCTTTTTGGGACATTTTATCACAAGTTCTTTTTCCACCTAAAATATGCGGTAATACTACATGTATCTAAAAATAAGTAAAGTGTATATACCGCGTTGAAGAGTTCGCAAATTTTCCACAGCATTTTCGTCTTAACAGGAGTCGTTACAACGCAACAAAATACAATAAATACGATCGTTAGTACATCGCAAACGGACAAATACCTCCGTTTCTCGTCCTTCTCATTAGCTACCTCCTCGGAGCGTTTATAAGCGATGTCGACCAGCGTAAATACACCTGCAATTCACCCGAGATAGAAAAGATCGGCGCTTGAATCGGTACTCACACAACGCCAGAGGCGCCAGGAGGCTGTAAACCTGACAGGCCCACGACCAGCGAACGGCGAAGAACCGCCCGCGGTTCTTGAATTCGACGGGGCACAGGCCGAAGGCCCGCGAACACGCCAAAACGGGCTGCATTACGCGGAAATTTTCCTCGGATATCGCCAGCGCGCCGCGCGGGTACATTTTCCGGAGGAATCGATGCATTCGCTGGCGACAAAACAACCGCTTGGCGTGTTTTTCCGGGCGAAAACAGATTGTTGCAATCGAATGGTGGAAGGAAAAACAAACTTGCGTTTTAAGCAATGCGCGTCAGTTTAATTACTATCATTCGGAATGTTGCGTGCGTGGGAAATGAGCTCTAAAAGACACAAGGTGGTGCTTAAAACACTGTAAAAAATTGTATGGAATTATTAATTTTCATTAAAATTTGTTTGATAATGTGAAATCTTAAAAGTTGATTGTTTATTCAATAATGGCAACATTTCCGAATATACTTTATGAGAGAAATGTTTCAAATTTCGAAGTAACAATATTTAACGTTACAAAACTAATCTAATAATGCAACAAATACAATCAAAAATTCGTAAATAAATTAGGAGTTTGTTTGAAGGCGACAGTAGGAATTGAAATGCAATTTTATCAACGAGAGCGAGAGAGCGAGGCACAAAGCGATAAACTCCAATTAAGATAATTCAAAGAGTCTCTGAACTTTGACACGGGCTTCTAGTGAATTTGATTCGATTGTCAGTCGCTTTTCGCTTACGTTTCGACTGTATTGCTAGACCTCGAACATATTTCATCACAAACTACAACTAAATTACGAACATGAGGGCGATTTTCGGATGGCTTTTAGTGCTTGTTTGCCTAACAAAAAGTTTCCAACAAGGTACGTACACAAACGAAACAATTCCAGGTTGATAGTTGTGGCTTTTATCGCTTCGATTTTAGACGCAGCGCCCCCGACCGAGTATCCCCCGGCTCCTCCTGACGACGAGGAAATCACCGCGATCGAAGAAAAGTCGGAGAAGAAGCTCAGCGAAACGATCATGACGATTCTCGAGCATTACAAGCAACCCGATCCTGTTGGAATCCCCGGAGCGCCCATACCAGATCCAATGAGCGTTCCAGACATGAACACTAAATTATCCTTCGGCAAAATGCACATGAAGGTATTTACTAATACAGGGTGTAACGAAAAGAGGTCTTACATTATACTGCATATTATTTTAGGACGTGCAATTGTACGGTTTGAAGAAATTCCGAATCAACCACATTTCGGCGGACGTCACCAAAATGAAGGTGGAGGCGGCTTTGACCATCGACAAGCTGCTGGTGCGCGGGAATTACACCCTGAGGACGTTTTTTTCCCGCGCTGCCGGCCCCTACACAGTCACAATGGAAAAAGTAAGTACGAATTTCGTCACAAAAAACGGCACTCGAACCGAATTTGCAGGTCCAAGTCACCGCCATAGCCACGATGGAGGTGGACGTCAACGGCACCTTGGAGGCCCAAGCCATGGACATGGACATCAGCTTCGGAAAGATCGACATGGACTTCCAGAGGCTCGGAGCCTTCGGCAGTCTTTTACAAGGTAACTACTAAACCAATTCGAAGGATATATTTCCATCGGGTTTATTACAGGCGTGATGAACTCGTTGGGTTCGTTCGTATTCGATTCCATCAAGCCGCACGTGCTGGGCGAGCTGAACACCAAGACGCGCGACGACGTCAACAAGGAGCTGCGGAAGTTCCCGAAGAAGTTCCCCAACTCGATATCGCCGTTCGACCAGCTGGTGTGCGAGGTGCGCAAGAAGGTGAGATCCATGGGCTTCGATCCCTACCTGGTGCCTGACTACAACAACAGCGTGGGCATCTTCGACGTGGCTCTGACGAACACCTGGTTGTACGGAATCTCCTCCTTCCATCGCACGAGAGACATCAAATTCGAAATGAAAAACAACACGGTGCACACCTTCCTCGAGGTGGGGACTGGCAGGATAAAAGGCAGCAGTAACTGGGATATATCGCTGGTGGCGGGGATGATTTCGCAGGGCGGCACGGTCGCCTTCACGGTGGATTACATCAGGGTGAGTATAAATCGATTGGATTGGAAGCGAATTAATTAACGAGTTAATTGAATTTCAGGTGCAGGTCAACGCCAGCCAGAGCATGGACACCTCTTTGCCCCCGTCATTGGACGACATCCAGTTGGAATTGGGCAATATCCAAATCAGGTTCGACGGGTTAGGGACCGTCGATTATCTCATCGAATTCGGCGTGAACGTATTGCCGAATTTGCTGAGATATCAGATAATGGACGCGCTCGAGAAGCCGATTAAAATGAAAATTCAAGAGGCGCTCGACCAAGTCAACGTGGAGAGGATCATTTTGGAGAACGCCGATAATTTGGATAGCGGAAAGGGCCTCCAAGGATTGAATTTGTTGGATTAACGCCCGTCGAATCGAGTGTATATTTGTGTATAGTGCGTCTAAATATTGTTAGGTATATCTATTATTAATCTAATTTTAGCTCCGAATAAACGACGAACCTTCGTGTTATTATTTTTTTTCTATCGATGATGTGGTTTATCTACGCCCTATTGTTTGCCGCGCCGAAATAAAACGATACCGAGGCCCTTTCAGGGCGCCTCCTTTAATCGGAAACATCCGTCGAGCCTGCCAGTAATTTTCGCGGCGGAAAAATCGACGTTATTTATCGGTAAAACCGACGGAACTTTTCGACGAAATTTCGAATTTAATTTCCTCCACAGATAAAGATAACAATTCCGGATTGTTTACCCGGGAACATCCGGAATCTCGATTTACATCCCCATTATTGCCGTTTAATCGGAGTTTGATTCTCAATCTATTTAAATACGGGGTGGACTAAATTTAAATGATTTAGTTTCAAGTATATTGCACTAAAGCGTTGGATGATAGTGGAAAATGAATAAAGGTAGTAAGAAAAAATCAGTAAATCAATATAGTGACTATATCAATAATTTACCTAAATTATATGGGTTTTGAAATAAAAAAATTAAGTACAGAATGTCCCAAATTTAATAGTTCCTATAATTCTATATCACGGGATAGTAGAAAACGAATAAAAATATCATTAAATGAATAATTTACAATGACTATAGTAACTATTTCAATAATTTACCTGCATTTTGATTGCTGTAATAAATAATTAAAATACAGGGTGTCCCAAATGTATAAGGTTTACTACATAATATCAGAGCACGGGATAGTAAGAAAACGAATAAAACTAGTAAGAAAAATCGCGAAATGAATTATTCAGAGAATCAGTACGGTATGTATTTTAATATTTCCCTGCACTTTGAGCGCTGAAATAAATAATTTTTTGTGCAAAAGCGCGAACAAAAAGAGTTTTTCCGACCGCCGGAAACGGCGAAACACGCGCCAGCGCTTTCCGGCGCGCCGTTTGGAAAAACTCTTCGGAAAGTTCAGTGTTTCGTGCGCTTTCCCATCGCTCGGTTTACGGTCGAGTGGGCTGTTCGACGAGAGGAAAAACCGCCATCAGGTTCTCGGGAAGTTTCCCCAAGACAAACAATCGGAGGTAAGAATAAGAATGAGAATTTTCCGGGCGAGTTTTCTTTCCGCCTCGACGGGGGTAATTAGGTGGCGCGGTGGAAATTTAATTAAAAAAGCGACGTGTCGGGTTTCTTTTTATTATAAACTATTTATTTCTAATAGTCGATTGTAATTTACGAACATCATATATGATTCCCTCGAAATCGCATTTTCTCGACACATTACAAGAGCATTTTATTATTTTCCTGATCCTGTTCGAGAGGGATAATATTGAAGTTGGAGAAAATCCTACGTATTTCTGATATTGTATAATATGTTAAGATATATGCAGTATTATATAGTACGCCCAGAAATCGGTAGGTATTAAATTTCTTTTTTAAGGAAGAAAATTTTCAATTTTCGACTACCTTCAATGGGGATTTATTAAAAATGTAATGTGTTTGATATTGTGAATTTTCTCAAGTGTACTTTTATATATTGTGACTATTATTTTTGGGGGCCTGCAGGATTTGAAGCAGACTATTTTATCCACATTATGAGATGTAAAATAAGCAATAAAAATTCTTCATATTTGTAGAAAACGTGCGTGATATTCTCTGAAGGTGTAATTTTGGCACATCTCATCTCAATATTGAGATTAGATTTTTCAAACGTGCACAAAATTCCATTATACCCTCAAAAAATTACCTTTCCCAATACCACATAAACCAATTTATATTTTTTTATACAAAATATGCAATTAAAATAAATCACCAATTTAATACAAAATAAAAGGGTCATTATTTGTACTTACAGGGCAATTCGCAGCTTCTACTCAATTTTAATAAGCGTAATTGAGAGTGGGGGCCTAATTAATTTTCTCTTGCTTCTAAAGGAAAATTTTCCGCTCTCTGCGATGTTTCCACAAACAGCAAAACGCACGGTAACTAAATTTGAATTTATAATCTCACTCTTATTATCTGGTAATTGGTTCTGTGCATTAGAATACCCTTTAAAACGCTTTCGGACGAAAATTAATATTGATCAGAATTTAATGTTTCCGTATAATGAATTTATAGATCATTGAATTAAAAATGATGATCGGTACTTGCAACGTTCATCAGGAATTTATATAACTTTATTACCTTTAGAAGTAAATTAATTGCAAGTAGAAATTATATTGTTTTTTTATCTAATATTCCTTTTGATGGATTAATGTAAATGATCATGAGTATAATGGATAAACGGTTGGGTTTTTTAATCAAAATAAGTAAGCTTAATTAGGCTAATTGATAAAATTTGTTTGGGTTCTTAAATTAGTCATCAATTTAGGGTGTTTCGTTGTTTATAGCGAAACGTAAACAATTTAACAGCTGGGGATTGGATCGATAAATTCATGTACAGTTCGACAGGGATAACTAAAGACACCACTTGTTGCGCATCACACTTGCGCGTCTCTAGCTATTGTTATCAAACTGTAGGTAAGTAATTTTATTTAATTTCGCTGTAACAATAAACAAACCATACATCAACCGGAAGAGAAAATATTTTTCTTTCATTAACCGAGGAAAACCGCTATACATGTAAACCCGAAAAATATTTTTTTCGGCGGAATGATAGAGAAAAGCCCGATACATCGGCATAAGCACGACCTTTTTATTTAAAAAGCAAATACGAAGGATACGGTAAAAACCGAACGCAAATAAAAAAAAAACTCCACGCGGAAAACTCTTTCCACTTCCAAAGTCCGAGATAAAAAAACTGCGACGCTAAACGTCTCATTCAAATGTAAAAGTGAAAAGTCTCTTTTCCTGCGATATACTCCCAGGAAAACTGAAGTTCAATACACAAAAAAAAGCGTAAAAGTCGAAAAGGAAAACTTTATGTTTACCGTACTTTACTCGAGTATACCTTTCAGTGGGAACAAACGAACGAAATGGTAATGGATAAGTTTTACGACACCAAGGAAAAAACTAATTCAATCTACTTAATCTATTTATGCATACACGAATTGATTATATTATTAGTTAATGAAAAAGTTCCTTTTAATTGGCTTGATAGGATTGGGAAAAAATTGTGCAGAATTTCCATCTAACAGCCAAAATTGGCGACTAATTTCAGCCAATTTACTCGAATCGCCCACCGAAATTATTAGGTATACATTCAATACAAATCGACCCCGTTAATTCCAGATTAAACGACCGTCGCAAAAGGAAAATCGATTTTCCCTTCTCATAACAATTTTTCTTCACGACCTCCTCATCGTCCTATCGTAACAAAAATCAAATAAAACTTTCATATCGCGTTTATTAAAAATTTCATTACTTATAATCAAGTTGTTCTGTTAATTAACTATCCGGAATTTTTACAATAAGGGGGGTTGTAAAATTCGTTTTCGCCCCGAATGAGTTCACTCGATTTTGTGTTTGTTGTAAAATTCGTTGACGTCGATACGGGGTTTACCAGACATCTTGAGAAATCCAATTTACTTTCAATCAACTTACATGTTACCGATGTACGGGAAAATAAAACTCGATAATATAGAGGGAGCTTTGAATACCGGCTTAGAGGACTCGGATGTAATTTTCTCATCGAATTTACCGTTTAATTTACTCGATTAACGTGCCGGAAATATATTTTTTACCGCGCGATTATAATTGAATACAAATATATCCGACCGAAGCACGTCTTGATCGTGCCGTGTAATATCAATTTGGCATTATTTAGTCGAAATCGGGCCGTAAATTCGCGTTTGGTATCCGTCCGCCTTAGGGCGAGCTAACCAGCCTCGATATCAAAGCTTTTAATATATCAGAGAGCAGAAGAAACGGAACACCGGGTAAAATACGGAGTCTGCTGACCTGCCGGACGCCATAAATTACCGCAAGGGATAAAGAGAATGTACACCGGGCCCCATACAATCGAGCATTTTCCTATTCTGCTCAAGGTGTTGCCTATTTTATCACCCGTTGCAGCGGGTAATCGAGTTTATACCCCTTGATTTACCTTTCGAAAAATAGTCCGGAGGCGCTAATTTTAACCGTAGCGAATAATTGATTGGAACTAATGAGTTATGAACGCGAATTGCACCGAGCGCAGAATTAATTAGGCGTACAGCGAATGTGCGTAAATTAAAATTTACGAGCGCTCGTCGACGGGCCAAATAAATAATAAATATTCTAATAATTCGCGAAAAAACACATCTGTCCGAGCGCGAAACGCATCAAACCGGCAATAGAAAAGTATTGAAAACCAACAAACAAGCCGGCCGATGGGTATCTGCAAGGAAGGCAATTAAATATTTGCGCTATTTTAATTTGTTTAGCTCGAATAGACGGTGTAAAAATAGGCCTTTCGAATTTCGATTTGCGTAAACAACTCGCGAGCTAATAGCTGGTGTTATTGTCGGGCACTTGTAATTGAATCGAGATTATTTCGAGATTTTTTTCTAGTCTAGTAGGATGTTCTGCGAAATAAAATGCAATCGACGAGTTTATAATGCGTGGACAAACGCGGAATGAGCGTGAATAAAACCGGATAAAGCGCTTGAAAAATCGATGCATTTATCCAAATTAACCAATCGCTCAGAGGGAGGATGTTTAATTAATTGATAAGCTGCGAATTTTTAAATTGCGTTTTGTGTGTTTTTAAATTGGATTAATTCACACGTAACGGGAGGATTCCGATCGGGCAGTCTTGCATAAATTTATTTAAAATAATAGCCTATTTATAAAATACAGTTTCTAGATGGAGTTGATGATGAGAGGCAAATAATTGTTATTTTTAATTTTATAATTAAAATGCATTCTTTATAAAAAGACAGGCTTGTAGAAAAATTAAGTTTGCAGTATTGGAATATGGAATCTGATATACAGGAAGTTAATAAATTAGGAAAACATGAAGTTGATTCAAGTGAGAAGTATCATAATACTAATAGACTAAATAAAACAAAAATAATCACAGCTATAAATAAAATTAGTGACATTGAATATCTTGATTTGTTTTGAAAATCGTATTTATTATTT